GGTAAGGCTATAATAAAAAACTACTATTTAGTATTAGGAGTAGGAGCAAGGGCCTTTATAAATACCTTTTTTTTTTATTTAGTATTTTTTAAAAAAAAAGGCGTGACGGGCCTGTTTTTTAAAAAAAAGATATTAGTAAACTAGTAGCTATCCTAGCTATTATTAAAATAGGCCAGGGGCTGTCTAGCAGCAAGCTAAAAAAACTAAATAAGTTTTTAAATAATTAAAGCTAAAACCTTTATTACATGGACCTTAGGGCTTATTTTTTTTTTATAAGCCTTTATTACTAGTTTAACTTAGTAAGTAAACGCGTTTTAGTAATAAAGGCATTTATTATAGTTAGCAGGATTTATATATTATAAAAAGGCAATATTTTTTTTTATATAAAACAGCAGGGGGAGGCAAGTGCCCTTAATATAAATATAATAAAAGTAGTTATACTTAATAGCTAAATAAATATAATAATTAAGGCCATTAATTAACCTATTATTTTTACATGCTTAAACATATTTTGCACACCGCAAGCAAACCTATTTTTTATTAGCTAATATTTATATTAAAACTATTTTACTAATAAACCGGTTAAGAACAGGAAGTACTTATAAAAAAAAAAAGGCTAAAGGCTAAAAAAAAAAAAGCTTAAGGGGGTAATAGCATAAAACCCATAGCAAGGGTGTTAGCAAGGGTAAAGGCTAGCATAGCATTAAATAAAGTAAAAAAAAACAAGCTAAAAGGCGCGGGGGCTATAATTAAATAATAAGGTAGTTATTATAAATTAAAAGTTAGTATATTTAGCGGAGTGGCGGCGGAGTATTACTAATTAATAGTTATTAAAGTAAAAAAAACTTACTAAATTATTACCTATAATCTTACTATATATTTTAAAGGCGCTTATTAAACATAAGTTATACTACTTGTTGCTATTATTACTACCTAAAAACTAATTAAAATTAAAGTTCTTAAAATTAACGGGGGACTAGCGTAAAAAAAAGATTAGGAATATTAAGGGCTTTTAAAGTTAGTAAAAATATTATACTAAAGGGGTTTTATAACTATACTATAATAAGAGTATAAAGGGCGGAGGTAGGGGTATTTTAAATTACTATAGTTATAGCCAGGCGCTTTTTTTTTACTTGCTAAAAAGCCAGGGCAGCGCCTAAAAGGGCTTTTCTTTTAGCTATAATAAAAAAAAGGTAACTTTTTATCTAGTAAAAAGTTTAATAAGTTTAAGAGTTTATAAAACTATAAACTATATTATAATTTATACTTTTATACTAGGCATTATTAAAGCGCCGCCTTTCCCCTTTTAATTATAAATAAATATTATATTTTATTTAAAGCGCTATAAATAATAAGTATAAAATACTAAATTTAATATATTAAATAATATTTTAATAAAGTTAAGAATAGCAATAATAAAGCTATATTTAATATTAATATTAATAATAATAGTGGTGTTTTATTATTATTTTTTTTTGGTTTAGCGGCGGGTCGCGGACAACCCTTTAATTAAGGGAGGGAAAAATTATTAAGGCTAATATTTTTTTATTTAATATTACTAGAGCTAATCCACTATTAGTTTAAAGTTAGTACTTAAGCTTTAGCCTTAAGCCGCCAAGGCTTGGCATACCTTATTATTATGTTAGGCTATATAACTTAACTAGGTTATTAATATTTAAGGTTTTGGCCACTAGTTAGGCAAGGCTAAAATAAGCCTTAAATATAGGCTAAAGTAGGGACCCGTGCGCAAAGTATTTAAACCTATATTTATTTTTTAATTAGGAATAGCTTAAGCGTAGCTTAAAGGTTTATAAAGGTGGCCTTAAGGCTAGCCTTTTTTAAAATTTTTAAGTAACCCTTTTAATATTATTTAACAGGGTTTAAAATACTCCATTTTTATTAGTTAGATTCCTTTGTTAATATCTTTATTGTTAGTAGAGATCTTCGAGACTTGTCGGTCTTACAATGTTAAAAAATAGTAGCTTAAAAATTATTAAGTAAATAAAGTAAAAATAAAGCAGCTAAAATAATTACACGGTGTAAAAAGTAAAAAATAAAAATTAAAGTATTTATAATAGGTATGTATATTATTACAGCATGCCTTATTTATATATATATATATTAATAGGCGGCTAAAAGTATATATTATAAATAGTATATTATTACTAAACCCTATAATAATATTAATAATAATAATATTAATAGTACTTATAAATTTTAAAGCCCTAAAAGTATAACCTATAATAAACCTGGCTTAAATTAGTATTAACCCACCAACCTAAATATATAAAAAATATATAATAGGATAGGATAATAGCATATAAGGGGTAGTATAATAATATATATAAAAAAAAATTAATAAGCTAAAGGCATGTACACAAAGGGAGTTACTTAAGCTATAAATTAAAATAAAAAAAAAGTTTAATAAAATTAAAAAAGCATTTAAAAAAAGCTTAATAAAAGGCTTAGAAAAATAATAAATATAATAAAAAAGTTAATAAAGTATTTAAATAGGGGCTAGTACGCCGGGGCCCAGGAATTAAAGCTTTTTTAAATTAAAGTTTTTTTAATAATAGGCAAATTTACAAGCTTAATTTATATAAAAATATTAACCATACTACCCTTAACCTATATAAACTAGGCCTTTTAAAATAATAATTACACGGAGAAATATTTATAATTATAAAATTAAAAAAAAAATAGCTATAAAAATTATAAAAAAAATTACTAAAACTATAAACAAGCGCTATATATAGGGAATATAAAAAACATGGTTTTTAAAAGCGTGGTAGCCAGGGCAAATAAAAAATTATGGGGTGCAAAAGTAATACCTACTAATACCTATAATACCCGGTAATAATGGGGCCCACTAACTAATTAAAGGATGAATAAAACCGGGCTGTTGTAGTTACGATATAAATATAAAGGATTTAAAATAGCAACGGGTGGCCCGTGCTTAAGTACATCTTGTCCAGGCTTGACCACTTATCAATCACCGGTTGTCATCTGGTCTTTCTACTCGGTGTAGCTCCTTTTGGCTAACTTTCAACAAGAGCAGTATGCTCAAAAAAGGAGAGAGCATATCGTTTAAGCCCGATCTCTAGTACCCCTGTCGCATCACGTGACTTCGCGATAAAGCGCGTTCTTCCGATTGAAGCATGACAACAGCGCGCCACGCGTCCAAATGTCCTCATGGATCCTCTTGAGCCCATATTGAGTGGGCTGAACACCGCTCAGAAAGCCGCGGTCACCTCACCGGCCTCAATACTCCAAGTTCTTGCTCCTCCCGGCTCAGGAAAGACCAGAACGTTGACCTCGCGCGTCGCGTATCTCCTCGCTCATAATGGATACCGCCCGCAAGATGTCATCTGCTGCACGTTCACCATCAAAGCCAGTCGGGAGATGCGGGAGCGGCTAGGTAAACTTGTGGGCGATCGGGTGCAGTCAAGGCTCATTCTAGGGACGTTTCACTCGATTTGCCGGCGGTATCTGGTGACATATGGCCATTTGATAGGACTAATGAAGGGGTTTGGGATCGCGGATTCCGGAGATTCGCTGGCGATTATAAGGGTTAATATTCAGTTTACTCTGATGAAGGTGGCGTTGGTTTGCTGATGATTTGTAGAGAATTGTGAAGCGGCTACAGCTCGGAATACAACCCAATACAGCGAGATCTCGGATATCGCACCAGAAAGCGCACGGCGTGTCTCCCGATGAAGTGGCATCGAAGCATAACAAGGAGAGCAAGATCCTGGAGCACCAAGAGTTTGTTCAAGTTTACCGAGAGTACGAGAAGGAGCTGGAGACGTCGAATCTGCTAGACTATGATGATCTACTGCTACGATGCGCGACGTTACTGAGGGAATATCCGCACTGTGTGTCCAATGTGCAGGTGGTCTTGGTGGATGAGTTCCAAGACACAAATCAAATACAGTATGACCTGATGAACCTTTTTGCGGCTCGGAACAGGCGCATAACGGTTGTTGGAGACCCGGACCAGAGTATCTACGGGTTTCGCTCAGCAGAAATCAAGAACCTCAAGCGGATGCAGCGACTATACAGCAACACGGAGGTCGTGCTTTTGGAGGACAATTATCGTTCCTCAGGTTCGATCCTCAAGTCAGCTCAAGATGTCATTGAGCAGGATTCATCCAGGCCGGCAAAGAATTTGCAGCCAACCCACACCTTCGGCACGCTGCCTGTATTGCGCAAGCTGCCTTCTGCCGAGGACGAAGCTCAATGGCTAGTGCTTGAGATCAAGAGATGCATGATTCTGACAGGAAAGTTATTGAACTACTCCGATTTCGCCATTTTACTCAGATCAGCGTCGCTGTCACGGCATATCGAGTCGGCCATGGGCAAACATGGAATCCCCTATCGGATGGTCGGGGGCCTGAGATTCTTCGACAGAGTCGAGATCAAGCTTCTTCTAGACTACCTACGAGTCATCAGCCACCCTGATAACACAGAAGCGCTCCTGCGTATCATCAACGTTCCTTCGAGGAAGATTGGGGAGGAGACCATCAGGTTGCTAGTGAGCGGGGCCGAAAAGGCCAACAAATCCTTATGGAACTACATCAAAGATGTAGCGCAAGGTCGCAGGTCGACCGAAAAGGCTTTGTCGAAGCCGGCTAGTCATGGGCTCTCCACTCTGGTCGGTCTGATCGAGTATTCCAGAGAGAAGCTCCGCCAGTGCTTCGATAAATCAGCGCCTCGTAAACTTTTAGAGATTGTGATGAAGAAGCTCTCTTTTCGGGAGTTCCTTACGGCTACCTATGGATCGAATGATGAAAATCGATGGGCCAACGTGGAGGAACTTATGACCCAAGCAGACGATGCAACCGCCGCCGAAGAAAATGAACAGGATGAAAACCTGCCTGAAATTGAGGGCATTGCTCAGCAGGAGGCACACGCTGGTGAGGAAGCACTGTCCCGATTCCTAGCAAATGTTGCTCTATCCACCGAGGTACAGCCCAAAGAAGGCGCTGAGGGAGAGGAGCAGTCGCAAGAGAAGGTTACAATCTCGACAATCCATGCGGCGAAAGGCCTAGAGTGGCCCGTCGTGTTCGTTCCGGCCGCGTACGAGGGTATAATTCCACATTCACGAGCAGAAGACTCTGACGAAGAGCGACGGTTGCTTTACGTGGCCATGACCAGAGCACAGGCCCTGTTATACCTGAGCTATCCGCTTCGGCAGGCCCGAGACAACGCGGAAACTAGTGTGACATCGTTTCTTCCACAGGAATTGATCACCTCACGCATGCGTACGGTTGGACCAAGACTGGAAGAGAAGGTTGTGTATGGAATCGCCGATATACTGCGCCGAGAACGCCCGACCGCTGCAGCTATGCTGGAGGGACTAGACTCTCTCCCTTCCGTATACGACGACAGATGGACTGAGGATGGGCAAGAGGCGCCAGGCACGGTTATCAGATGGGATGGTTCTCGAGCAACGGACGACGGACCAAACAGCAAACGGCGCCGATATGACAATGAGCAGTACTCGACAACCACGGCCTTTACAACCATGTCCTCAACGACCTATACAATGACCGGCTCGAGTTTCATGGCACCCACTACCATGTCCGGGTTCTCGACAGCCCGCGAGTATATAGCGACAACGACGCAGAAGCAGGAGCCGCCCGCGGAGGCAGAGCGCACGAATAAACAAAAACAGGCAGTTGCTCTCAATCGTCCACCTCCTTCTCAAAAGAGCATTGCGTCCTTTTTTGGCGGATCATCATCGCAGTCCACGCAGCAGACGAGGCTTGCCCAGCCTCCGCCTCCGCCTCCACAAAATCGCCCGGGTGCCATGGATTACCCTGGTAGGTCATTAGACGCCCGACCATCGAACGCGATCCCATCGCAGTATACCGGCCATCGACCAGGCCCCCCAACTCAACAATTCCGCCCGCCTCGCCCGGCCCTCGAACCTTCTGACCCAAACCGCTACACCTGGTTGGCTGCATCGTCGAAGCCCGCGGGCAAGGTAGATTCACCCAGCGATCAGATGAACACCAACACCATCTACAATAATGAAGGAGGGCGCAAGGAGTCTGTGGCCAACCAGGCAAACAGCGGTGCAGGCGTAGGACCAGGGATAGCGAGCGTCGGCGCCGGGGGTATGCGACCAGCGACCACGTTCCACACGACGACAATGTCAATGGTGCAGTCTCAAGGAGGGCCTGCGAGGAGAACGCTGGGGATCCGGCGTAGTATGAACGGATGGGAGGAGAGGATGAAAAGAGCGAGCAAGTGAGCTATGAGGTATCATTTGGGCACTGTTGCTGGGCATTTGGGCAGCAATGCCTCTTGTCTTGACTCTTGCCTTGTCCGCTACCTAGCTACGTGCATGGTCGTACAGAGTATGACGCAGGGCTGGTACTCCGTAGAGGCAGGGCAAGGTATGGCGGACGAGTCAGCGACTAAGCAAAGCAGGCAGGGAAAATCCCGCCATAGCCGACAGTAGTCGATCTATGCGCCATACCATACCGCTTAGATAGATAGGTATACAGAGCGCAGCCAACTCAATCTTACGAATCTAATGACGATCATCAAGCCAGTTTGAGTCTGTAGACTACGTACGCATCACTACTACCTTCCACATTCCAGTCACCGCTTCTCTGCCCTGTCCAACGCCCAGTTCACCCTGAACTCGAACTATTGAAGTCGTCAAAGTCTGGAACCTGTCCCTGAAACACGACAACTTAGACAGCTTAGACAAGAACAGAACAGTACCCCTTGACAATTCACTCGGTGTGGAGCCCCGAGATCTAGAATCAATGATTGTCACCGGCTAACCTGCATACCCGGCCTTCCACGTACGTATGGAGTATGGAGTAACTATGGAGTAGAACCAGGCTAGCTAGGTACTCCACGCTGGAGCAGGCGAGTCCGTGCATTGGTCTGAGGTCCTAGATGGCTGGAGCAACGCGGAGCGGTGAGGACTGACTAGGAACGACACCATACGATGCTATGATCTTCGTCAAGGTTCAGGTTCAGGTTCATGTTTTGGTCCTCGGTTGCTCGAAGGGGTTGGGACGAGAGACAGAGTGTAGCCGTAGCATAGTCCCCCTTCGTCGAGACCATGGGGAACTCCGTAGATCTTCGGCGATGGAAGGAAAAGCGTACCGAGTGGAACGGCAAATAGTCTTGCTCCCGTAAACAGAAGTGAACGGCCATTATTCCTCCAGGCTCCAACAGTGCAGGCTTCAGGCTCCAGTCGCAGATTGGATTTGGCAACTTGGCGGGCGTACGGTGCGGTGTGCCTAAGCTTCATGCACGCCGCACGGAGTCCTCCGCAGTCCGTACCTTAGGTACATTCTCCCCTGAAGTTGGGGCTGGGGAACAAAGGAGACGGCCGCTGGAGTCGACGTCAGCCGGCATACTGAAGCCTAGATACCGTACCTTGAAGCTAGTCCCAAGGAGGTAAAGCAGATTGAGCTCAGACTGAGACAAGCGAGCGAGAGCTTGGGCGAAACTGAGAGCGAGGAGCCAGGACTGAGTTGTACTATCCCGAGAATTCCCGTGTCACAGCGCAAAGCGAGGCGCGAGATTGCTTTTTCCCAGCCTAGATTTCCCGATACGGGGACTGGACCGGGCATTCAAGCCTCGTCTTGTCTGAGTCGTCAGCTGTGATGGCACCACGCAGGACTCAGGCTGGAGCCGAGTTATCCATGCGGTATCTTGTTGACGGCTCGCTCAATGCGGTTAGTGCACGTTATGTCATCAGGGGCCTGCTGCTAGGCTGCTTTGGGCATGGTCTATAATTAGCTGGGTGTCAGATGACTGTTGTATTGGTTGTAAATAACAGCTTATGATACAGGAGCTGTCCAATGAAAAGGGGAACTCGCAGTACTAGGCCGTTAGACACAATAGGGGAGTCTGGACTCGACTGTGCTCCTGCTCATCAGGCTGGACACAACAAAGACAAAGACAAAGCACAAGAGACAAGTCAACCGAGACAGCAGAAGAAACCAGAATCAGCCTCATCATATCCTGGTTGCCACTGTGGCGAGACACCTCAATGGACTCGTGTAAGATGCTTCAAGGTCTCGACTGTACTGTCCACAAGGCGATCGAGCGATCTCAGATTCCAGACCAGCACGGCGCATCCGGTTTGCCGCCTCGCTTTACAGAGAAGGAAAGGATAGCAAAGGAAGGCTCCTGAATATCCATCCCTGGAATGAGATGACGCTACGTCGACGCCTATCTCTTTCTGGCGAGCAGCATGGATGATGCACTGATGCAGACTTCTCCGTCCGGGGTCATCCAGCCAGCCGGATCGGTATAGCTCTAGCACGACTGCTAATTTGGTTTATTGACACCCTCTAGTCCTCTTTCGTACAGCTTCGTCCTTGCTTCCGGGGAGCATACAAAAGGCCTCCTTCGTCTCTTCCTACTCTTCTTTCCATCACCATCACCACCATCTGAACAACCGTTCTCAAAGACAGCCTTGCTTTACTTCTTTGCCCTTCTCACCCTCATCCTCGCCCTATCTCACCCTCTCTGTTCAACATTGAGCCTCAGTCTGCCCTGCCTGTGCCTTGCTCCGCCACGAACTGTCAACCTATATATCCCGGGGTATAACTACTATATATACTCCCCAGCTCCAGCTCTTCCCCAGACTGTTCAAACACAACCATCCACTTTACCTCTTCCACAAACCACCAACAACATGCCTATCAAAGTCAACGACTCAAATTCCGACCTGTCCAGCAATGGCAGCAGCAGCGGTGACCAGGTCGTCGTTGTTCCTAACATTCGAGGTATGCTCTACGTTTACTCGACTTTCACAACCTCGCTGACATTCTCCTGCATCAGGGTCCAATGCCGGTCCGCGAAAGTCACATCCCCCGGTCATCGTACACAACGGCGGCGGTCAGACGTATGATGAGACGAGGCCGTCTGACTGGGACAGACAGCGCTGGAAGTAGAGAGTTTACCTCTCTCTTCAACCTTCTCTTCTCCAGCTGCTGGCAGCTCGCGGACAGTCTACTCTACTCGAACGGACCAACACGAACACCCTAGCTCCGTCGGCTTCATTTCATACAAAAGTGAGGCGAGATCGGCGGCCCCAGTCCCAATTCTGGTCTAGCCTTGGTCTAACCTCTTTCGACCTGGAGTGGACTGACCGCATTTCCCCCTGTACAATTATTCCCTACCTCATGATTCCTCTTCCTCGTTTCTCATTCTTGTGGTCTGCATTGCATTGCATTGTATTTTTATGTTTGTCCCCCTTTCCTTCTCTTCTTCCCTTTCATCTCCAAGGCAAGGCCCAAGGGCCAAGGGCCAAAGCACACGTGTTACCTCAGAGTCCCGTCTCCCCAGGTTCGCTCGAGCTTTGTTGCTTCCTTCCCCAACCTTGGCTTGTCCTTGTTGTATATTAAACTTCACTTTGCTTTTTTCTCCCTTCCTGTTCGGCATAGCGTGCGTGGGTGGTTATCTGTTTTGTCCTCGTTGCTATGTCATGTCGCTCCTTGATTCGTTGGCCTGATCTGATCCGATCATCTCACCTCTGAACTGGAAGAGAGACTCTTTCCCTCCTCAGCATCACTGGGCTTGGCCACGGCTGGATCTGTGATCAGTCCATTCTCATACTTCCGACCGCCTATCTCGCGTCATCTCTCCAACCCCGGTTCTCAGTACGACATTTCTTTATTGATCAGCTCAGTCCAGACCACTGATCTGCAACGCACGACACGACAACCCGTGAAGACTTGAGAGCAGGGATCAGGATCAGATCAGGCCTTCGTCACGTTCACGACGATCTATGTTTACTGCTTCTGTTACTACTACTACTACTACTACTACTACTACTACTACTACTGTACTATACCAGATTGCTACAGTTAACAGTCTGTCACTGCCCTAGAGATATATTTTCGGGTTAGCTATAATGGATACTATAACATTCACTATCCCTCTACACCGTCTGCCACCATCTCACTTAATAAGGAAAACAGCTACTCCAAGTCAAGACTAAATAATTAGTTAGCTCGTTCTAATATATTCAGACATGGACATGGATAGTGGGGTGTCTCGCTACACCTCCCAAGCTCACCAAAAGACGGTGAGCAGAGAGAGTGTGAGACCGCGAAGCCACCCAACCAACCAACCAACCACTGCGCTCTTGTCATGTCATACTACAGCTTCCCTACGAGTCGACCTGCTTGCTGACAGTTGCTACTGCTACCCCGGACATTCTCCGGGCCCGTCGGAGCTGGAGCTCTTATCTCCCAGTCTCACCGATCGTCAACGTTAGAGTCAGGACCACCGAGGTATGCAAGGCGGTGCCCGCGACTCTTCGCCGACATTCCAATGGACGGATGATCTGCCCATCTATACGTCCAGGTATGCGAACTAGCCGCGCGGTGCGCACTGACCGGGCGCTGAGTTGGCATCGGTACTAGGTAGATGTGAGGCAAGGTATGCACACAGCAGAACGGACCCCATACGGAGTACGTCGGCGTATATCTGGACAGGAGTAAAGGATCTGGTGCGCGGGTTGGAACATCGACTGACATATATCTACAGCTACGAGCAACTTTATGTAGACCACGGGTTACCGGGGTTAGATGTCATGGGGCGAAAAAGCGAAGAGAATAATTCGTCTTTTCAATGGATCGATTGAATCGTCCTAGATGGGGTGCTAGCTAGCGGTCATCTGTAGGTAGGTATGTAATGTATGCAGCAACTCTCGGGCAACAGGCAGCCCTCTCGTCCCCTTTTCGATGGAAATTGGATTGTCCTCCATGGTATCCATATCCTAAGTCTGGGGCGGGAATGATATTTTTTTGCTCGTTTTGTTGAGTAAATCCTGGTTTTGATGCTTTTTTTGGACGGAACATCCTTCCACCAACCAAGAACTGCGACCATGCTTGATGGTCACATGAAGAGGTGATAAGGTGAAACCACATTAAAATCTTTGTATGTTCGTGTATGGGGAAAAGGGGACGGGAAGGGTAAGGGCAGGGGGAAGAGGGAAAAGGTAGAAGTGAAATCAGGAGTTGGGCATCCGCGTCATCTGTCTAGACGCAAGCGGGCCTTTAAAACTCCGATGGGGATCAAAAGAATAACAAGGAATTCCAGGCAGTATATGCAATCTGAATTCGAGATGCTCGCGCTTGCAATGCTAGATGTCAAGAATCAAATGGCAGGTAGATGCAACTTGGGTACACCCAAGGTATGATATGTCACAACAAAAGGAGAGGGGTATGCAATTTTTGCAGATAACAAAAGGAAAATGTAGTAAAATTTCCAGGTCTGCCCATGCAAGACAGCTGGGAACCACTCCAAAGGGTTCTATGTATGATAAACCAGACCGGCTAATATGGCACAAAATTCGCGACGCAAGCAAGACACCATCGAGAAGGTCAAGACTCAACAGCCTAGAACCCAGTGGTGAAGCTCATTTGGGGTGCGAGGTATTGTTGTTGCGTGGCATAGGCAGGGTCCTGCTGGTAGGGGTTGTGGGTCATGTACGGCACGCTAGGCGAAGGTGTTGGCGACGGTGAGCAAGCGCTCGACACCGGTACTGCCTTGACGTAGTCCGCATTGCCATTGACAAAGCCTTCGTTTTCGGGTGTAATTGGCGGCGTGATGTATCCGTGAGGCATGTTGGAGGGATGAGGAGCCTTTTGGGGAGTAGCAAGCCCGATTTCTGCTTCGTATGGTTTGGATTCGGAGTTGACAACGACGGATGGAGGGGTAGGCGGTGTGTAGCTGGCAATGGAAGCCTGGCGTGCAAGGAACTGCTCAAGGATCTTGGAGACGCGCGAGTAGTGGGACGAAGAGTACTTTCTCGCGAGCACTTGAGACGGCTGGTGGAGTTGCTGTGACAGTCCAACCAGTGTCATCGAGTCGTACTGCGAGGCCCAATCTGTGTGACGAGGCTGGGTGCGGTTGAGGATACAGCGTGATAGGGCGAGGGAGGCTCTAGCGAGATCGGAGGACGGCTTGGACACGAATTCGCGGTGGAATAACGAGATTTCCGCGATGTATAGCGCAAGATGTTCCACCTCTGGATCATATGGGGTGTCCATGACTGCCATCTGGAGGAAGCTGTCGACGGTTGGGTGTCCAATCGTCCACCCAAGGGTTTGCAGAACATGCCATTCCATCTGAATGAACATGTCATCGTCGTACAGGGAGCAGCACATTGACTTGAGTTCGCGAATAGTAGGCACACGATCCTTCTTGTCACCATACTTGGCGGCAATCAGGAGCGCTGCACAGCCGACCAGCTGGTAGTGCCTCTTGTAGACAACACGCTTGGAGCAGTATCTGTCGAGGAGGTTGACGGTCAAGAAGAGGGTCGACGGCAGCAATTGGAAGGCAGTGTGGGCCTCGATCAGGAAATCAAGGAGGTAAGGACGCATGAACCATTGGATTTCGGTCTGGATGTCAATGGATTCAACATCAGGAAGGGTGGAAGCCTAGGACACGAGTTAGTTAGCCATGATCACCCAAAATATCAAAGGGCAACGAACATCCATGTCCATCATGTGTGACCGAACGTCTTCACGGTATTCCTCACTCGTGACCCGGGACAGCTCGTCGGCGATGGCATATTGACGCTCGCGGGCGATCAATTTGGCATGCTCCTTTGGGTCCATCCGCGGGACAGTGTAGTCGTCATATGATTCCACGAAGTACGAGTCACAGGGCTGGTAGCTCGAGGTAGGGCGTTTGTGGTAAGCCATTTTGTCGAACTGGATCGGATGTCGAATTGAAGGTTGAAGGAGTGGACCTGAAGAACACAGTGTCTTGCAGGAAACGACGGAAATAAGAGAGCGACAGTCGTCAGATTAGGTGTTGATTAAGGAGCGGAATTAGTTGGTGAATATTAAAGAATGGCCAGTAGGAAGACAATAATCTCGATACTGGGAGGAAGACGGCGAGCCAACGGGGAAGAAGCCTTGACAAGGCGGCTAGAGCTAAACGAGAGACTGGATTAGTGAATGAAATTAAAGATTAAAAGATAGCAAACGAAAGACCCCGAGTGGAAGAAGTGGAGGGAACGAGAGATGAAGCTGGAAAGAGAACGATGCACTCTGATATAAGGGAACGAACCCCTTGGGTTCGAGAGTACTAACCCAGAGAAAAGGCCTTCGGGCAGAGGGCACAATGCAACCCTTACCGTGACGGCGTGTCTGGCATCTAGGCAAGACGCAGGAATGATCTGTCGAGCTTGAATCTGGAGGAGACTAGTTCGAAAGGCCAAGGACGACTGAACGTCTTCACCCTAGGAACTAGTATGGGCCTCGAGCGTTCCGGAATGTGGAACGGGAGTACAGGCACGAGCCCTATGTAGGGGTAGGGATATTGTCAGGGGGAAGATCAGAATGCAGCAACGTTCACAACGTACAGATTGCAATCCAGCGTTTTGCTAAGCGTCTTGTACAAGATTAAAGTGATTCGTAGGATAGAAAGCTGCGGTATGTCGAAATCCACATCAAAGGGATCCGGTAAGGTCGAGTCCGATCGGTGTGAATTCGAATGGAAACTGTTCCTGAGCACGCCAAAAGAAACAGTTAGCCAGCCGATTCCAAGCCCTCTTTTCAGCTTATTCTGCCCAAATCCACTCGATAGACCAGTAGGAACGACATTCCCCGGGATGTGACGGGTGCATTAGATCGTCCTAAAGTATGCACCGGAAAAAAGCATTCCCAAGGTGATAGCCCCTTATTCCAAGATAACGGAGACGTGAATTTGTTCCTTAAACCATCAAGAGCTGTCCACGCAACAAGCCCGTACAGAGATACATCATCTCTGGGATCCTCGTTGATTTGTACACTCCTCCGCAACCCCAACCCATTATGTCTCGCCCTGATTGATTGCTCCACTCTTCCTCTGACCGGTGGTTTTTTTTTGGACCAAAAACGTCGGCTGATTGAACTGAGGCACGGTGTCATTCGGACATAGGATTGTGACGTTTCGCGTATCCCGATGCATACGAATGTTGAATCCGCTGAATGGCTGCCCTCAGGCACGCAATGAACTCGACTTGTGAAAGATCGTTTGTTCGACAGTTCGGCTGTTGAAAAGGACCGAGGGATCGAGGGGCGATACCACAAGTTGAGGTTCTCGGCCCCGATTGGCATCCGAGGGCTCTGGGTTGAATGACATAGAACGAAAGAAAAAAAAAAGCTCACCTTCCAGCAAATCACAACCGCGAGAGAATCATGCACACGAAAGAAGCGTTGTTCCAGCGGAAGAATGAAAAAGAAATCAAAAGACCCTTCTCTTTGCTCTTCTAACCGGCAGAAGCTGAATCAGGGGATTCCAACCGACGATGCCACGGATTGACTTCGACTGTCAGACAGGGAGAGGGTCGCCGTTTGAGTTAACAAACGTCGAGAGGGGAAGCGTCGAAGCAGAAGCTGACGGACACGGCTCGACTGGAGAGCTGGTGCAGCGGGTGCAGGATCTGGTCGACAGACAGGGCGTTGTCGACTGTATCTCTAAACCTGAGGACCAGTCTCAATCTCTCCGGAGGGATTGACCACGAAGGGGAGGAGAGACGGGAGGAGAGGAAGGGGAGAGGACACGAAGATAGAAGAAGGAGAAGGAGGAGAGAAGAATTAGGAGGAGTAGCTTCTCTCTCCAGGCGGGTGTAAGGGAAGAAAAGAAAAGAAGAAGAGAGTCGAAGGGGAACGAGGCGGAGATACAAGGCCTCTGGGCCGGCTGAAGTGACGGCTCTCCTGTATTCAAAGGTGTAATTTGGATACAGTATCGTAATGTGCACACTGGAGTCTTGTTGCTAATCTGTGCTAACGCGGTTTCAGTTTCACTGGTCTAGATACACTCATACACCAGTCCCTCTGATTGCTTCCTAGAGCGTTGTTTCGTAGTTGAAACAGTTCAGTGCAATGTACAGCCAGAATTCTTCAGCAAGCCGACTACTGGCCATGGCCGGACGGTGCAGAATGGCCAGATGTCGATGATGGTATTACTGGGTCTCACTGCAAGTTCAACTGAGACTGCCCCGTATCTAACGTAGTGACGACTCTAGACTGTGGGCTAGGAGTACAAGTGATAGGCACTCCTTTTCCAGAACTCGCAAGGAGTCTCGTATGGGCGAGCCAATTTGTTAGGCGGCCTGAGCCCGCGGTCTCTCCTTACTGGAAACGTGAGAGTCAATAGACTGCGCCTAGCATTGAATAAGCCCTGTAGACACTGTTTGTCTTTCAATGTCTGGACCAGGCTACTCTTTAACCACTTCTCTCCTCATGTTTCTGGCATCGACCAGTTCGCTCTGGCGTTCGGCGTAGGAGGGGGTCGAGGGTCGATGTATCTAATTATAATAATTGTGATATTCAGGAAAATTGACTTCCCTGATCCAAGATAACCTTTCTGACGTTGCAGCCCCCCTTCTGGTGGTGCAGGGAAACGACTGGTCCTTGATGGATGTTAAGCTGCCGGCGTCCAGCACCCGCGTTCTGGTGGTGGACGCCTGAGTGGGGAGATCTCCTCTCCAACCTCCTCCAGGAACACCTCGGCTCCTTGGCGCTGCCACTTTTATTGTCCTTCTCTTGACTCGTGTATTTTCAGTCGGTAATTTCTAGATCCTTTTGGCCTTCCATACTACTATCAGCCGCGTCGCTAACTTATCCACACTTGGTAGGTTAGCACTGGAGCAGTGGAGCGTACAGCTTGAACGTCTCCGCCAGCCTTGGTCGATTTTGCGCCGTCTCAAGCCGTAATTTAGGCATCACCTGCAGTGGGCTGTCGATGCCTTGAGGAAACAACCCCTCGAACGAGCAACAAACGCAAGAACGCCTCCTTATCTTGAGCTTCGACCGAACCGAACTGTTAGTTCTGGTTGATTGGCTCCTCATGCGTCCAACTCCGCGAGCCCGGCGGATCTATGCTCAATGCCTGCATATCATAAGGTCGAGCTGCGATTCGACGACTACTTTACGACTTACGCCCGATTTGCGCGCTCAATTTACTTTCAGCTGACGTTCGCAATTGACTCGCGCCCTGTATTCATGAAGCACAGGTATACATCTGATGACAATGGTGGTTCGCGACTGTTCGTCTATCTGTGCGGAGTACTCCGCATTGCTGTCTCAGCGCCTGCTGAACATAGACTTACATCGGGGTCTTCGGGGTCAATTTGCCTCTGGTGGCTGATATCCTTTGTCCTGGACCCCGCTGAGGCCCTTAGAAACCAGGATAATCTACACCATTGATTCCCATTCTGATCGCAGAAGGCTCGGTACGATGTATGACGACTGATGTTTATGCTTCCGTAGAAGTTAGAACTGTGTCGCGCTCACCTTCCCAAACTCTGGCTGTTTCTACCTATGGCCGCACGAACGTCTCAGTCCACACTGTATCCAAACAGGGCCCCGACAGCATAAGCTGACTGAAAGCTATTATACCTAATTTGGACACCATGCGACACTTCCCCGTCGCCGGATTTCGCGCTTATGAATTAGGGTACGGCATCGCATCAACTTTGATTCTCCTTCCAAGATTGGAAGAAGCAGGGTCGCAAAGCAACGATACAAGATCATCCCGATCATCGCTTTGAACCCTGATGTCCCAAAAGTTCGGAAGAGGCTGATGTGGCTGACGGGTTGCTTGTCACTTTCTCGCCGATCTCAAGAAAGCAGTCCGTATCACTACTCCGTACGGTGCACTCCCAACCTCCGTACAGCGTACGGGGCTCATACTACTGTATAGCGCCAGGAGCTCATGACCGTCCTTATTAATCATGACCCTATATTGCGTACAACCCCTGTGTTTCTTACTAACGAAGCATTGTCGAACTCTTGGCCTTCCTTGCTTCGTGAAGATCCCAACACCACCACCAGCTCATCTTTGTTGGAACCCAGACCCGGGAAACCACTAGCTTTGTGCCAGCACAAATAATGAGTTCTCGGCCCCAGGAGAACCTACACGGCGACTGCTAGCAATAATGTGTTGCCTGATTCCGCTCACAAAGTATACCACGGATTACCCGGGCTCCCCTGGGTAAAGGGGGCTTACTCATCACATACTACTGACGAACTAAGGGCGCAGGGGTAAGCAATCAAACAAGTGACAAGTCGAAGGAACAAGGATGTTCCAAAACCTCCAATATTAATTTCCAGGTTATAGCGCGTTAGTGACTTGTATTCGTGGATGATGTGAGACCCGACCAGGCCAGGCTGGCTAGTACGAACCGAACGACGAACGCGACTCCAGCCATTATTGCATGATCGCAAGCCTTCTGCTGCAGGGGCTGGATATCAAACGAATGTCCCCTTGCGAGTTGCGACTGTCCCTGCAGTGCGCAGCAGTGGCCCAACTCCAGCCATACTGACCTGTTGCCCCAGTCTCCCAATGATCCGTTGCAGCTGCCCTTACGCTGTGCTTGTGTACTTTGCACTGCGTATTCGGGGCTTGCCATTCGCTTTAATTACCCTGAGGACAGAGGCGGCGTCTACTATATCTATATTTGGTTCGACATGAGGATCAATGCCTGTGCTACGTTTCCATACTCCCTTGGTACCCAAATACCTGCAAGGATATCCGGAGTAGGGACTTTTGTTTTGCGAATCCTCATTTCTAGAAGATTGATTGATACTAGTACCCAAATACCCGGTCCGATATCATTACTTCGATACTGTATATACATACGACCTTCTACACCGCGTTCGGGTCTGGTCGTTAAGTACATACATACAGGCGCAACGAAACCCACTGCGGATCCTAAACGCTCAATTGTTCGAACGTCGGCCAAGTTCCCCTTCGAGCCCTCGACGCAATTTGACGTCGACGATGCGTTCGCAGCTCGCTCAACTGCCGATTTGCATGTATGACGAAACCCAATTGCAAGTGCCGAAGGCAATATCAAAAACAACCACAGGTCGTCCTTGCTATTGTCGGGGATTATTCAGGACCTCAAACAGATCCATATCCAACACACCATACGTACCAGATAAAGTCACGCTCGGAGCCGGAAGGAACGCCCTACCAATTTTACGTACATTCTTATATAGGCCCTCCTCCGTTCGGCGTTCTGCAGGCAAAAAAAAATCTCGAGAGTGGGCCGAGTGGAAAGTGGAAACAGGGAGAAGCACGGAGAGGCTGGAAAAGGAAGGTTTCTAGAAGGTCTGCAGAAGCCACCTTTCCGTCTCTCTGGATCGGATCTTGAAATGGATTCGGCCCTTGAACTGATGCTCGTATTTTGAGTTTTGGATATATCGTGTTGAACAGTTGCTTACGGAGTACTTACTGCAGTGTCAGGGCTGGTCAGTCACCTGGCAGAAGATAGTCGTTGCCACTTTGGAGATCATTTGCGCATGTATGATGTGTTTTGTGATCGATCTCTGGGTCCGAATTGGCTATGAATAATGGCTAATATAATGATTGCCATGGAGTGCTTTATACAAAGCACATCTCCGGAGTCCGATTACTGTACGGCGCGTACAAAATACTGGGCGGTGGTTAGTAATAGTAACGAAGAACCGGCGATCCACTACGCTTTCCTAAAGCCGGGAGCGGTATAGTAATACGGTGTAGAATGGTGGACGACGAGAGATATCGGTGAGGCATGGATGAAGTTTTTTCTGCCTTGACGGGTTTAAAGCCCATTGAAGACTCGATTTGAGGACACTCGAAGATACGGGCAGTACGCCGTACGCCGGTTGTATAGAATCAAAGTGAGGCTTTCTAGTGTTCCGGCGAATAAGGATCATCATAATGCCATCTGCGACTTTGCCTCTGCTGGGTCTGTCTCTCCCAAGTTCCAAGTCCCGAGTCCTGAGTCCGGAGTCTCACTTCAGCCCTGGTTGCTGAGGACAGATCCTCTGAAGAAGATTTTTTAGCCTCACCGAGACTGCGGAGAACTCAACCACGGACGAGGTTTTTGCAGCGTCTTTGATGGTTTTGCTCGAGTTTGACAGCTCCAGATGGGTCACCAAAGTCTGGTTCACAAGACAGTTAGTATGTATTAGACAAAGTCCTTCAAAATACGAAGCCATACTGACTTACCAGTAACGAGCTAAATAGAATGAGAGCGGGCCCAACCGTAGCGCAAATAAACGACCCCCACTTAACCCCATAGTCGGAGCCCAGTTGACGCTCAATCTCACGAGTCACGAAGAGAACAATGTCCCAGACTCCGGGAACTTGGTTCAGCGATGGATGCGATATCAGTCGTACTGCATACGACTCATCGAGATTCGATTGAGGACTAGAAGGAACAACGAAACTTTTCTCGATCGCGTTGCTGATCAATTCATAGAGAGATCCCATCCTGCAGTGCGCCCGGGGCTGCAATTCAATGCATAGACCAAATCCATGGCGTCATTGTTGACTCGCGTCCCACGTTTCGGACATTCGGCCTCGCCGTTCTGGGCTGGATCATTGATCATCTCACTAAAGTTCCAAGTTACAACTTACAACACGCGACTTGTGAAGCGTTTCCTCGACTTTGGGCTTTGGAAGGTCGTTTAGACCGGCAACCATGCCTCACTACTCAAGCCTCAGTGAGCTGCATCGCGTCAATGCAGGAATGACATAACGACAGGCAGGCCCTGGCCCGGCCTGAAGCCTTATCCGCGATCCCCTTGGCAGCCGACTCAGAAAAGCCCTTTACGCGCGTTGATTCGAGGATCGCGTCAAAGTCAATCGCGCTTGTTGCAAATCCGACCTGACTGTTCCCAGTTTTCGCGCATCTGCTCCAGGGGATCCTGGCTCGCGAATGTCGATTTCAAGGCACACCCTGGTCCATCAACTTGGAACGCGCAATCCTTCGCGGGAGCCGGTTCGCTCTCCAAGCTGGAGCTCGTTAGCAGGGTAATATATCGATTTACTGTATCCATGTCTTGGGTTGCAGCTCGGTTCTCCCACTTGAGCGAGATGAGCTGAATCGAATAGCCTCATCATCAGCCACCTCCTGAACCAAGGATAGCTTCTCGATAGTCTATCGTAATCAATTCTGCGATCGTCTGGCGGATTTACCAACGGACTTTGAACTCTGGAGTTGGATTATGTACTGTCACATGCTTTGTACTTTGGAGAGCTCTCGGGGATCGCTTCGACCTCGCCCGTCCCCATAAACCCTATCTTGAATCGAGCCGGGACCCGAATGGCACACTACATCAGGCTCATCTTTTGCGGAGTCGCTTGTTTGAGTTCCGTACGCGACACCTTGCCAACGTTTGGGATGCTAATTTCGCCGTCGCTGAGACTTTCATCGTTCTCGCAATGTCGATAAGACCGTCACTCTCGAGCTGAGAGATACTACAGAGTGCTTGACCATCATTGGGTACAAGCCGCTAGCTTTGAAATGCCATAAACAGATCTCCCGCGGGTGTGATGTTTGATTGGCGATGGTCAGCGCGAGATGTCGGCAAGCAACTATATATAGTGTCAATTTCGAGCACTTTGCCACGCCCGTTTTGTCGATGAAGATATGAAACTCTTATCGAGGGTCGTTAATTCAGCGAGATGTGCGCGGCAGCCGATCTATTCAACCACTCGCAATGCAAATCCCCGTCGTGAGCCATAAAACGCATCTTGGTGCTCAGAGGCCGCAGCAAGTAGTACTGTTAATGAGACCGGGTATCGAGGATGGGTTACCACTTCGCACCGACTACCTAGTATGGAACAGCCGCGAGGCCTGACCCAAGGGCATGGTGGTAAAGCTCAAACGCCAGGCTGATTCCAAACCGGCAGTGATGTGGCTCATCTCGAGGTACCCCGCACCGGCCCGACGATCGAGCCTCGTCGATTCAGCTGGCATTGCAAACCTCAATCATCCGGCAGTCCACCGGAATGATGTCTTTTGCCACTCACACTGCTTTACGAACGTCGCTAAGAGAGTGCATGACTCTATTCATTCAGTGACCGCGCCATGATTCGACTTTCAGCCTCTGCGATCCATGGCTGGGTGCAGGATATAGCCCGGGGGTAATGATATCCCTGCAGTATCATGAAACCCTTTGCCCTATCAGGCCGTCCAGATTCACCAGCGGCATATTTAGCCCGGATGGCACGCCGCGATGGCGGGATGGCGACTAGGGTCCGACTGACGTGGCAGCTCTTCAGACATCTGACGTGCAGTTGTCTGTCACGCTTCCTTCTCGAGACGGAGCGAATTCCTGAGACGTCCGGATCAATTTCCAATCTTACTGACTTCCCTGTTTTCACCAGTCCCTGAGCCTCCATCCCTGTAGGTATTCTCCGGAGTAAGGGTGGTGGGCGGGATATGGACCCGAACCCAGAGTACGCTGCTTTGACTAGAGCCCACGAATCGCCTGCCGCTTCATGAGATACCTAGGTTCCGTTGCTTTTGCGTTGTCACGCCGTTGTGCTGTCAGAACGGAAGCTTATTATATGGTTGTGTACCGGAAACAATGTAGCAAGTTAAACTGGTTGGCTGTCGCTGTTTGGCCGCTGCTTATCTTGTTCCACAGACGCCTATAGGTCAGGCGAATTCTGCTCTGGATCATCGGACGCTGTCTTATGCGAGTCATGCGTTGAGGCTGGACATGGAGCCAACACAGCGGTCGAGCTTGGGCTATGGAAGTCGTTCGTCTCGTGTAATGATAAGGTGATGCTCGTTTCGTGCTATAACTGACAGCTGTAGAGAAGTTGCAAGATCCCGTTAGCGGTGACATCGTGAGCATTATCTAAGTTGCGACTTCGAAAAGCATTCGCTGACTTATCTCGAAGCATGGTCGTCAGATTCAAAATGTCGTCGGACTTCCATCGTGCCTGTCAAGTGCACATCGACACGGAAGCTCGCTCGTGAGTCAAATGTGTTTTCTGAATCCGAGAAGCGTAGTTAAGAATCCATGGAAGCCATGGACCGGTCTGTAGTATGAGACAGGCACGTGACGTGGAGCTGCTTGTGGAACCTCCGCGGCGCTAAAATTTATCAAGAAAAAAAAGTAGAACACCATCAAGTCCAACATCGGACCGAAAGAGCTCCATTCAAACCTACCTTTCTTGATTTCTGACATCCGCGGAATGTCTGTATAGTGGTAGGCTCTTTACTTTGAGCCAGGTTACCGCTTTTTCTCGACACATCTACGCATACTGAGCGTGCGAACTCCGCAAATCGAGAGACGAGACAAGATCGAACCAAACGATTTCTAAGAGTATTGACAGACAACACCACATACAATGGATATCCACCGCTGTCGTTTCGTACCATACAACCCGCAGGCCATCAATGCGCTCGCATTTTCCCACCCACCGTCCGTCGAACTAGGCGGAAAAGGTGTGCCTACCCTCCGCCTCGCAGTTGGACGCGCCAACGGCGATGTCGAGATTTGGAATCCCGCGCGCGGCGCATGGTTTCAGGAGACAATCCTCCGGGGCGGAAAAGACCGGAGTATCGAGGGTCTAACTTGGACGCTTGACCCGCCAGAGCCAGGGCCAGATGGACAAGCGAAGCAAGCGGGCCGCCTGCGCCTTTTCAGTATCGGATACTCGACAACCGTGACGGAGTGGGATTTGGAGCAGGGGCGCCCGAAGCGCCACTCCAGCGGAAACTACGGCGAGATGTGGTGTCTTGCTGCGCAGCCGCGATGGCAGCCGGTCAAGGGGCGGGATAACAAGCCGATGCCGGCCGCGGAGGGGGAGTTTACGGGACAGCATTTGGCTGCTGGCTGTGCGGATGGGTCGATTGTGCTGCTGTCGACTGCGGACGATGACTTGAAGTTCCTACGGACGCTGAGGCCGTCGACGAAGAAGCCGCGCGTGTTGAGCGTTACCTTCCAGAACCGGAATACGATTGTTGCGGGTTATGCGGATAGTTCGATTCGCGTCTTCGATATTCGGAATGGGCAGCTTCTGCGTACGATTAGTCTCGGTAAGGGTCCGACGGGCGGGTCGAAAGAGTTGCTCGTTTGGTCGGTCAAGTGTCTGCCGGATGGGACCATTATTTCTGGAGACTCTGCGGGTGAAGTGAGGTTCTGGGATGCGAAGAACTATTCTCTTATCCAACGGCTGCAGGGCCATTTGGCGGATACCCTGGATGTTGCGGTGAGCGCGGACGGCGAGACGGTCGTTAGCGGTGGTGCGGATCAGAGGACTGTTGTCTACAGGAAGAAGCCTGGTGAGAAGGGCGACAAGAGCAGCAGATGGACAGAGGTGACGCATCGGAGATACCACACGCATGATGTGAAGACATTTGCTGTCTACGAGACCAAAAACCTTAGTGTTGTGGTTTCCGGAGGTATGGACTCTCGTAAATCCTAAGCAGTCAACACTGGCTAATTTATACAGGACCTGATGCCAGCCCCGTCGTCCTGCCCCTACGAGAATTCGGAAAAGAGCACCACCGAAACCTCCCAAGCCTCCCCCAAGTACCCCCTGTCGTTTCCGCGCCTTCCTCCCGGCTGGTAATGAGCTTCTGGGACAGAGAGGTCAACATCTGGCGGGTGTCTCGTGGCCCTACCTCAGTGCACGACGTTCCCGAAGGACAAAGGCACCGCTTGGTCGGGAAGGTTATGATTCAGGTACGGATACCGAACAGTGCAAGACCCAAAGTACGATTCTAACTACTTTTCTATCTTGCAGGGCGAAGAAAACATCACCTCCGCAGCTCTCTCCACAGACGGAAAGATTCTCGTGATCGCCACAATCTCCAGCATCAAGCTCTTCTCCGTACGCCGCCGCAAAGGCGACGAACGCGGCACACTCCGCGTCCAGAAAATTGATACGCCCACCTCGATCTCTGAAGACGGTGCCCGCCTTGTCACAGTCTCCCCGGACAGCCGATGGCTCAGCATCGTCCGCCCCAACAGCGACATCTCTCTCGCCCGGATCCAGCCTGCCTCGTCCACACAAGAGAAGACCACGGTTCTCCCCAAGCTCGTGAACCTCTCCCGCGCGCCCCGCCACACCCGCTTCGAGAACATTTCGCACGGAACCCTAGGCAACTACGAGCGAACCATCCGGTGCGTCGTCTTCTCACACAACAGCAAGATCCTCGCGACCGGCGATATCTCCGGCTGCATCGACACCTGGACGCTCGAAGCAGCCACCGAGCAGACAAAACCCGGCAAAAACACATCCGAGTCTGACTCTGACGACTCCGATTCCGACGACGAAGACGACTCCCCCATTATCGAAGGCGAGCGCTGGCGCGCAATCGCCACGGACTCCCCTATCCCGCGTCTCAAGTCCACCGTCGCCCTCCTCTCCTTCCGCCCTACCCCCACCAACACCTCCCTCCTCACAAATGGCACAGCACCCGAAGACTCAGAATCCCGCCTCATGGCCCTCACAACAGAACACCAGTTCGTTGAGATCGACGCCCGCGAGGGCAAACTCTCCGAGTGGTCCCGCCGTAACCCCAAGGCCTTCCTCCCGAGCGACTTCAAGGGCGTCAAGGACCGCGCCATGGGCTGTCTCTGGGACCTTTCTGACTCCCGCGAGCGTCTCTGGCTGTACGGCACATCGTGGCTGTGGATGTTCGACCTGAAGCACGATTTCCCGTCGAACGAGGAACTGACCGAGGCTGCGACGGCGGAGCAGAATGGCAGTGACAACAAGAAGCAGAAGCAGAAACAGTCGCAGAAGCGCAAGCGCGAGGCCGCTGACGAAAACGTTCCCGGCAAGAAGAGCAAGAAGCACAACTCCGGTGCGGGTAGTAAAATCCCGCTTGAGCAGTCCGGTGTCCTCTTTGACTCCAATGCTCGGACTTTCGTTGGGCCGGATGCCTCGCAGGGTGAGATTATCTCACTTGAGGGTGAGAAGGAGCGTGATCCGGAGGAGGATGAAGAAGAGGAGCAGGAGGATAACGATGTCCGGCTTGCGAAGCTGCGAAGGGAGAACGCGAACACCGGCGCCGCTGGTGCTTCTAAGGAGCTCGTCAAGTCCGAACCGGCGCGTCGATGGTGGTATACATACAAGTACCGCGGGATTCTGGGGATTGTCCCCTTGAGTACAGGTGATGATGATGAGCCCGCGGAGAACACCGGGTCTGGGTTAGAAGTCGCTGTCGTCGAGAGGCCAATGTGGGACGTTGATCTGCCAGACCGATATGTGCGCGAATACGAGTAGAGAAGGAGGCCCGCTTACTCGGCTACTTGCTTTTCTTCGTGCTTTTTTCTGTCCAATTCACAACTGCACATACACTACCCCTACTTTACCCTAGGATACTCGTCTGCGTAAAAGGATACAGGATGAAGACGAGGACTAGCGCTGGGATCTCTCGCAATCCTCGCCCGAACTATCCATCCATTCGATTGATTGATGTTATATTTACCAGTTCATTCCCTTGGCGCAATAGGATACGTTACATTGCATAGTATAGATACTGATTCTGGTTCTGATTGAATTCTAATCTAAAAGTCACATTCAATATATCCACAGGTGGTCAGTAGGTCTTGCTCTGTTTCACGGCCCCGGATGACGCACTCCTCGCGCCTAGAGCTTGCGGTTCGATTTCCAATCCCGCTCCAGCAGCTCACTTCACCCAGTTCAAGTTCTGCGGACAGCTGTAGCCCGATAGCGTGAAATAGCTACCTTTGGGTCATGCTGGTGTCTCAGATGAAGAAGCGGGAAGTAGACGACGGAGCCGTCGTCGCCGGTGAAGAACATTCCAAGCTCGATGATACAGTGTAGTTGTAGTTTTTCGCTCCCCTTCGAGTTTGACGAGGATGGCGATACGGAATTGGGCTGCCCAGAGAATAAGTTGAAGTAGTACGAAAATGTTGGGATTTCAGTTTGGACCGAAGAACAGGAGCGGCGGCTGGGCATCTTTCCCACCGTGCCCTCTTTGGAAAGTTAGGAAGTTCAGATGTGAAAAGTAGAGAGAGGGAAAGAGAGAGAGAGACATCTTGTATGCTATGCTGGAATGCCTATCTAGAACGACCAGAAACCGCGTACTCCGCAAACGGATGAGTTGAGATAATAACACGCAAAAAGTAATCATGCCGCAGGCCATCAACCCAAGTAGAATGAGCATCGGTATATCGTTAGACATAAGGCCTTTGTTGACCAACAAGAAAACAACAGACTAATGAACAGCAATAAGACAATGCAACTCCACTCACTCCCATAATAAACGGCACACGCTCGCTTTTGATGCATCAGCGGGACGAAACAACGTCTGTAGAGAGACAGGATATCGTTGCCCAAGTCGTGATACTGTAGTCTTTATTGCGGGACACGGGGAATCTAATGCAGTTCGTAAGTAATGCTGACCCCTGCGGACCAGCCACGTCCCTTCATGACAGATAAATAGAGCAATACGGCCTTCAAGGATCCGTTTCTGGTTTTGATATGGCGAATTGCAATCGCCATCACCCGTGGAACGCGCACATCTGACAGAGTGTGGCGCAGGATGGGTACCAAAGTCAAGCAGTCCGGCAGTCCGATAATAAACTCCGGTTGACTGAATGATGGCAAGGGTTATCGATCGACCACAACATGAGGGTCGAGATCGCTTCGTAGATGATATGTGAATGCCAGATACTTGGCATGCAATAACTGACACGTCTGACGATTCCTAAAAACTCTGCGCCGATACAACGGCGGGCTTGAGGGCGTCAGCAAGCTGTAGACTTGGAGCGACGATCGGGGCGAAAAGAAAACGGCACCACAGTCTCGGCGTCGTTGCACGAGACGCGGCGCTTCTTCTTGGCGGATGGAACAAAACAAGATAAGACACCACCTACAGGACTGTTGATCAAGCTGTTCCGCTCTTTCCGACCCTTCTTAATATGGCTCTTCAGTGCTGCAGAATCCAGGGGTTTCAACAGCTCAAAGCTACAGAGCAATTCGCCAGACACCGACATGATAGCACCCCAGTTGTCAAATTCTCCACAGTACTGTGATACGGTCAGTCCGAGAAACAGAGCGCAGAAGTAGGAGGTACTCACATTAGGTGCAGAAAAAACGGTCACAAGGATTCGATCCTGATAGAATTCATAGCCGTCCTCGACGACCATATGAGCACGGCAAACAAGGTCAAAGTCATGGCGCTGAAGGAAGTTCATTATCACGTTTTTGTTGAAACAATAACTGACTCCGCGCTCATTGGGTTCCCAATCATCTTCCATATCGGCAGGGTCACTCCAGAGAAGGTCGTTGAGCAGGCCATAATCAGGGACATCCGTTGGGCGGGCAATGTTACGGATGTCGTCCATATGTGAAAGGCTCGGCGAGAGACCACCATGGACACAGAAGATCTTACCAGCAACGGTAGCTGCAATGGGCAGGCAGTTGAAGGTGTCGACAAAAGTTTTCCAGATCTTGATGTTGCAACGCCGCTTGCACTCGTCATAAAAGCCGTACACTCGGGTCACGTTTGCGCACTCGTGGTTACCGCGCAGAAGGAAGAAGTTCTCGGGATACTTGAGTTTGTAACAGAGGAGGAGGAGAATTGTCTCCAGGCTTTGTTTCCCGCGATCCACGTAGTCGCCGAGAAAGAGGTAATTGGAAGCAGGAGGGAAGCCGCACATCTCAAACAATCGGATGAGATCAGTGTATTGTCCGTGGACGTCACCAACAATCTTCACGGGAGCTGAAAGCTCCAGCAGCGCCGGCTGGCTCAGAAAGAGCTCCCGTGCGGCAGTGCAGATGGCGGTAATCTCCGCATTCTTGAGACAGACTGCTTTGGTGACCTTAGTCGAGTAGCCCGCATCGAGAAGCCGAGTGATCATATCGTCGAGATCAATTGACTTCAAGGCACCCATTCCCATGCCCGGGGAAGAGGAGGATGTGTCCGAATGGAGCGGGGTCTTCATGATGAAGTCAAGAATGGGATTCGACGCATCTTCTCGTTTGATCAGAATGGATTCGCCCACTTTCGCTTGTGAGCCTGGAGGGGGCGCTGCGGATGGCGGAGCATCAGACACGTGATCGACCTCGCCGCTCTGCTTCATGGCAGTGACATCTTGATGACCGCGCTTCAAGCTGCTCGACATCGTCGGGGACGGGGGAGGATCGGGTGCATCCGTAGGTGATGCCGCGGCGGATTCATCGGCCGAGGCGGGTCGACTCAGGTTGGTGGAACTGCGCCGACTCCCAAGGGACTTTACGGAACCAGCGTCGGATTTGTCATCTTGACTAAGAGCGGCCGTTGACGCCCGCGGACTGTCCGTACTTCGAATCTTCGACCTAATAGAACCTCGAAAGGACCGTAGGGATTCTTTGGTATCGGACTTTGAAAATGATGGATAAGACTGTAAGGAATCTCCAGGGCCGGAGTTGCCCTTGGAATGAGATTGCCCCATTTCTGCAAGGAGGGATGTTCGCCAGGATCCGACCTAGGCAAACGATATAGCTCAAGGTAAGAAGTTCTCGAATCGTAGTAATGTTGGAATGTCAGGGGTGCCTTGGCCGTGACCTTGCAGTAGACCGCTAACCGTATATAAAGACGATGGATTATACGAAACGCGATGCGATGAGTGATGTCCGACGAAAACGACAGCTGATACTGCGACCGAAACGAAGTCCTACTTGACTTGATAAGGACGAAGTGATCGAAATCGTGGACTTGAGTTTGAGGCTTGATACTGGAATAATTAGTGTGGGATGGAGGGTACGATAGCAGCAAAGCTTACGAGCGACAGAGCTAGGTCACCGGAAGGGAAAGCTCTGATTTGTCGAATGATTGCTACTTCAATCCGAGAGTCAGTAGTTGGATGCGGTTGAAGATGCAATAACGATAGTATTTAGTTGGTTCGAAACGAATGACTTCTAATTTGAAACTTGCGGAGTCGATGTCGAGGGAGGGATGAGAGCAGCGGTGGGAGAATGCGTCATTATGTGGAGGGACCAGAGACCAAAGACCACCCAGGGAAGGAGCAGACGTACTTCTAGCAACGGCGGGAAAGAGCAAGGGACCGTACGTGTAGGCGGAGAGAAGAAGGTGACGATAAAAAAGTGCAGGAGTACGATGAAAGAGACGAGCTGGGTTTCGACAGTTCGCCTCCAGGGCCGGAACTTGCGAGTTGATTCGGTGAAAGTGACGGTCTCGATTCCTGCAAAGCCACTGCGCTGCTGGGCCGATGTGGCAGCCGGATCAACTGTCGGCCCGGGAGCTCCCGCGGGTGGTGATGGTGGATGCCTGGAGAATGGAGATCAATGACTTAAAGATGGAGTAACCATAACAGGGCAGTATGCAATTATAGCAGAGGGCGACTCGTGCCCAGAAGCTAGATCAGACGCACTGGGGACACCTGTCGATCGCTATCGTCATTGACTTCAGCTCGAGATGAAACTCTGGGGTATGAGCTGGTTATGCTAACGCCTAGACTAGAGCAGATTATAAGACTTGACTACGGATGTTCTCCTGCCTGCTTGTTTCTTTTTATAATGGCTGAACGCCTCTTAAGCCGCCCATCCCAGGCTTATCAAAGCATCTGAGTCAACTAAGCGGAAGTTGGAACTCGCAGCCTTGAACTTTACAAAGGCTGGCCCCAGCACAGACTCCGTCACGCTGTGTCTTTCCCCTCATCGGGTCTTGGCTCCAGTTGCGCGTGCGCGCTCATAGGCCTTCCGTCTCAGAACTGCTAGTCTAGATCCCACAACTGCCGTCTGTGTGGAAGCAAACCCCGTAGTGACGGACGATATACGCATGGTAAGCCATCGAGGACGCGCTCCGAAGATACCCGACTCTGCATGGCCACTGACCGTGGCTGAGGTCGCACAATTTAAGATCAAAATCCCCCGTGCCACCTTTGCTTTTTCTGCCCTCTTTTTGTGCGCGTTGCTTTCTGTCATCTAAGCGGCCTCCGGAGGATAATGGGCGGCGCCTTGATCGCTAACTCCCTTCAAGGCGCCAGGCGCCTCACTCACTGAACTGCAGGAACACCGCCAGTTTATCTCCGGCTTCAAACCGACAGAGTCAGGACCATGGTTATATGCTGCCAAGCGCCAACTGCTGCGCCAAGATAACGCAGCTCTATCTGTTTCGTCATATCTCCTAACCACGTTGCAGTAGCCGGCCTCGCGTCTCGCATCTAGATCTTGGCAATTCATCGAAAGTGGGCCAACTCTGACCTAGACCTGGACAAAGACGGCAAACTATCCAGTCCAAGGCAAGCTTGAGCCTCCTCTTGCAGGGGAAGCACACATGCAGAGGATAGTTAGCGAGAAACGCATCCATTTCAGGCAGTTTTCCAATCCATCAAGCACAGCCGTTACCACAATTTCCCACGTGAACATTGCATATCACATCTGTAAGCAGGCGGCGACCCTGAAAGAGACCGGCGGGAAAAAGCAAAGAAAGGGGCAGTTTGAGAAGACGGGTCATCACGGTCATTAGAGTTCGCCAGGGGAGTAAATCGCCAAACTGTCCTCCAGAGTAGCTGAGTCCCGCCATAACGCCACCATCACGATGCGGGTGCTTTCCGATTCTGCGGGGTCTCCTCCAGCTCGATTCTCGTGATGTGTTGACCGGGGACCACCACAAGGCCAATGAATCGACTCGTCATGTTTAATTTTAGCTTCTGCGAGTCTTGCGCGCTCTCGGACGCCGCGTTTGAGGCTGCATCTCGAACAGCGGCCGTTGTTGGATAGCGATACTCGTGTGTGTTGGCGAGAATGATATTCCGAGCCTGCAATGCGAGGACGAATCAGCAACAAGGCTCACTCGATGAACGTCCCGCGATGGCCTACCGCATCTGTGCACTTGAAAAGGCCCACGAAAACTCTCGTATCGGTCGCGTGCACTCGAAGTGTTCTTCCGATCAGTGATTCCAAGTATTGAAAAGCCTTGGTTTCATCCATCGCGCTCTGTACCAATCGACGGCCGTAGCTTGGTGTTCGATTACGCTTCTTGAGTTGAATGGAATCGATGGGGAAGAGAGGAGTAGGTGGACTGGCTCTCGACTGGCTTGGGGGTGTTGACCTGGGGTAACAGGGGATTCATTAGTCAATTCATAAGGTTGGTGTGGTTGGGTTTCAGTGTGAGACGAACCTGTCTTCAAGGTTTGGGCCCTGTTGTACAGTAAAAAACTGGTGCGTTGGATGTTTGAGCGAAATGATCCTTTGCCGGGTTGAGGAGCACGGCATATGCTTCGTGACGCGCGCGCAGACACCTGGATTATGAGGCAGCAATTCTGAACTCTCCGCGGATGACTAAGCAGTCCCTATCCAGCATTAATCACGTCCCATGTCCACAACTACCGACACTATTCATCAACTTAGCATTGCGCGGCCACTTGTGGGAGTCTCTCTGTGCCCTATCTCAATGCCCTATCTCAAGGACAGACTATAATATGGTGGCAAAAGGCAGCTTGTTGAGCTGTCTGTCTTCGGTCGCCGACGGTGGCCATCGGCTCAGAGACAACCGCACGATGAAATATATAGTTGCACTGACTGGAGATCCATTCTAATTAGCCTCCTCAGGAACATCAGCCAACGTGTTGGGGTATAAGGACGGGCCTATAGCCAATTGATTTTTATGGCCTAGCGGAATATGCTAACACAAACTAACCCTCAGCCTCTCGAACTCAAACAACACAATCTTATTCTTCGCAAACGTCTCTCCAAAATTGCCAATGATGAAATCCTCCTCTCCCAGCGTCCTAACATTCAGCACGCAGACCTCCACCCCATTCATCTGGAACCTCTTAAAATAATTCTGAGCCGGCGCCTCCCACACTTTCCCATGTCCCTCGAAGACATACTTGACGGCCGGCAAGGAAGAGACACGCTCACAGCCCACAGAGGCAAAGGTTTGGTTCCCGTTATTTGGAGCCGTTTCCTCGTCAAGTGTGATCGGCTGCGCCCTCGTGATTTCAATCGGCCGGGCATAAGTGTTCTACATGGGCGCCCCGCGTTCGCGACGAGGTGCCGGGTTGCCGAATGTCGAGTTATAGCAGTATAGGAAGGAGATGATGGGGCCGGATACACGCCTTGCTCGCACATTTGGTAGAAGGTCGACTGGGTTAAGGCGTTGTCGGAGCTGAAGACCGGAGAGAGCCTATAGACGCCCTCAAAGGAATAGGCAAATTCGTGCTGGAAGTACATATCTGCGAGCTGAAGGGTTACCCTGGCATGGTGGTCTGAGCCGACATGCTGGATATCGGAGCCGAAGCCGACGGAGCGATCATCATAGAAGAAGAAGTGGTTGGGGCTCCACAAGCGGTCTGGGTAGAGATTGGACTCGTTGACGAATGTCCTTGACTGTGTCCGGTTGTAGAGACTCTGGCCTGGCTGCAGGCAGTTTCAAGTGTCCTCGAGACTACCATGGCAACGTGGAGTAAAGGCATACTGGCCGATCCAGGTCCAGCCGACGAAGGAGTCAACCGACTGGGAGAGCACGGATTCGAATGGTGTTGGTGGTGAAGCCAAACGTGGTCCAGGTCAGGGGCATGTCAAAGGTCGTGGCCTTCCGTTTCGCTGACGTCGCAGGCGCCGCCAGCCCTGTTCAGGAGGGCCAGAACTGCAAGGGATTTCCACATGGTGAGTATGAATCTCTATGAATCTCTGAATGACAGTATTTGCTGAAACCGTCAACTTAGATCCCGCTTCCAGTAGTGTAGTGCTGAAGTTTGAGCCGCCCAAAGACAGACGCTGCTTAGCCCTAAGAAGTGTCGCGGAACTGCACTCAATCCGAAATCAACCCTACTTTCCCCGACGGATTTACATAAAAGAATAATCAGCATGCCGCAGCAGGAAAGACACCATAACCATGGAGACCATGGTTCACATCCAAGGCAATCCTGATTCCCCCCTTACGCCGCTGATCCTGATCCATGCAATTTCCGGCCTAGCCCTTCCCTACTTCGCCATCGGAGATCTATCATAATGACTACGATGAAGGACAAGGACGAGCAATTTACGGCATATCCTCACCGATATTCAGTGAATCCACCTCCGCATCCCACCGTCATCTGCACGAGACTCCCCTCTCTGGCATAGGAATACGTCTACGCCGCGAGGTTCAGTGTTGGTTTCGAGATCAATCTATTTGATGATTCTTTATTGTCCAATGGATGTAGGATATAGAAGAGATGGGGGAGAGGTTGCTCTGAGCATGGGTCATGCGCCCCTGTTTATACCTAGAGGCAACTTGCGAACAAAGAGGGAAAGTCGCAGACGGAGCGTTTTCCATCGCAGAGTCGGCGTCAGAGGAACTCACGTCAACTCGGAAACTATCGACTTCTCATCATTCTCATCATCATCATGCTGATTCCCCCCAACCCAATTAACAGGCGTCTCCGGCCTCCCAGTCCTCAACCAGCTCTCCAAATTCCCCCAATTCCCGCTCTCAAACCCCTCCCAACTACTCTCCGAGCAGACCCCGATATGCGGCAACAGCGTCACCATCCAGTTCTCCTTTAGCTGGTCATTAACCCCCGGCTCGTCCTCATGCACGTCCAGTCCAACACCAACGACCTTCCCAGCCTCAAGCGCCTCAAGCAGCGCACCCTCATCCAGCATCTTACCGCGCGCAACATTCACAACCCTCAACCCGCCGCTCTTCGCGCGCGCAAACTGCCCATGCGAAAGCACATGGTGCGTAGCAGGCGTATACGGCGCAGAGAGAACAACACAGTCAATGTGCGGGATCATTTCGTCGACAGAGCCATAGAACCTCGCGCCGCCGGCAAGTTGGCGCTCCGCATCGACTTTCCGACGTGGCCCCGTATATACAACCCTCATCCCCAGCGCGCTCTCGCACTTCCTGCCAATGGCCAGCCCGATGTCGCCTAGCCCCACGATCCCCAGGACTTTGTCCCTCGGATCAACGGCCTTCAGCCCTAACGCCCGACTCGCCATCCAGTCGTACCTCGCGCACCACTGCGCATAACTCAGGTACCGAAAGCTATCCAGCACGAGCGCCAGCCCCGTATTCGCCACGGCCTCCGTGCATGCATTCGGGGTGTTGCAGTACCAGATCCCCCGCGCCGTGAGAGCGGGGATGTCAGCTGTATCGTGGCCGTGGCCGCTGCAGCAGATGAGTTTCAGGGACGGCGGGAAGTGCGGGATGAACTCGGCGGAGAAGGGCGTGTGGTAGGCGTAGGGGCCGGCCTTTAGCCACCCGTTGCGGAGGATGGCGGTGATGGCGCTGTATGCGCCGCCCGGTGCGAGGCGTTCTTTGAATTGGGTGGTGGTGGTGCAGTCGTAGTAGATGAGGTTCAGGTTGTATTTTTGCACGAGGGACTCGCGCCGCGCATGGTCGATTGCTTGGACGGGAGATTCGATGAGGAGGATGTCGATGGGTTTGCGGGTTCCTTCAGCTGGCGGCATGGTGAGCTCTTTGGTATCGTGTCTTTCTTTTATCTTTGTCTAATACTTCGATGATGGACCGATACTAAGTCATATAGACGGCTCAACAGTTGGCCGACCGATGTGCGTTCGCGATAAGACAGGCCGATTTGGAGTCGGACTGCAGCCGATCTGCTCGTCTCCAACTTGATGGCTTGAGATAGGCCAGATAAGACGATTGAGATACGCACGACAGCCCAGATGCATTCATTCTTCGTCTGGCTAACTAATTGCTAACAGCAACAGCCTCCCTCTCCTTAACACTCCCACCACCCATCCCCATCCGTTCTACCCCAGCCCGATCCCCGATCCTAAACGCCCCAAAGACCTGCCTGCCCTCAACCCTCCCCGGATCCCTCCCGTACCCACCACCCCCAGGCGTAAGCACAACGATCCGATCACCCGCGTTCATATTCGCCGTCGCCTTCCCACCAAGACTAATCGTCCTCACCGTGCCATCGTGAGCATCCTTCCTCATCCACAAGTTAACGCCCCTCTTCCCCTCCTCGCCACCGGCCATCCCATACGGCGCAATAACCCGCCGCTCAGACAGAATCGACACCTGCAGCGGCATGCGGAATTCAATGTCCCGCACGCACCCGTCGCCGCCCTTGTTTAGACCACCCCCGCCACTGCCCTGTCGGATGGAGAACTCGCGCAGAAGAACCGGGTACCGCTGCTCCAGGATCTCGGGGTCCGAGATGCGTGTATTCGTGACGTGCGTGTGGACGCCGCTTTCACCAGCCCAGTCGGCGCCGGCGCCGGAGCCACCCGCTATAGTCTCGTAGTATCCGAAGCCGTTGACGACGCGGCCGGTTTCGGGATCCGTACCGCCGTATCCGAATGTTAGGTTGTTGCATGTTCCTTGCGACGCGGCGCATGCTTGGAAGGCTTTGAAGATGAGGTCGACGATGCGCTGGGATGTTTCGACGTTGGAGCCGACGGTTGCGGCTTTGAGGGATGGCGAGAGGATGGAGTCTTGCGGGAGTTTGAGTTTGATGGGGGCGAGACAGCCTTGGTTTAGCGGGGTGTCGGTTGAGATCATGGAGCGCAGGCAGTACATGATTCCCGAGAGCATGACGGCCGGGGGGCAATTGAGGTTCCCGTAGTGTTCTGGTCCTGTCCCCTCAAAGTCGAAGACTGCATCGCCTGTCTCTGGATCGATGTTGATTTTCAGTGCCAAGGGCGTGCCGTCATCCAGATAATCAACTGCCTGTAGGTCCTGCCCCTCGAACTTCCTCGCGAAGACCTTGAGCAGGTTCCGCACAGACTGTGCCGCATTGTCCTGGATAGCCTTCATATAGAACTCAACAACCGGCCATGTATAGTCCCTGACTAGTGCGGTAATCAGACCGATCCCGCGGTTGTTGGCGGCAATGGCTGCTTTCAGGTCCGCGATGTTGTCCTTCAGCGTTCTTGTACCGCTGCACCCTGGATACGAGCCGGGGATGTCAACTAATATCTCATGCAGGCCTGCATCGTCAAAGACCCCTTCTTTCACAATCTTGAAGGTCTCCACAGCCACACCCTCCTGCCAGAGCTCCGTTGAATGCGGCGGCATGGACCCAGGCTGGATGCCGCCGATGTCAGCGTGGTGTCCACGGTTGGCCACGAAAAACAGGATCCGTTCCGGATCGTTCTCATCGAACACGGGTGTCGTAACCGTGAGATCTGGTAAATGCGTTCCGCCTGCACAGGGGTGGTTGCTCAGCAGCACGTCGCCGGGCTTCAGCTCTCCTTTCCCATAGAGCTTCGCCTGGTAAGCGATGGCGTAGGACATGGAACCCAAGTGGCCCGGGATGTGCGGCGCATTAGCCACGAGCCCGCCGTCCGCAGAGAACACGGCACACGAGAAATCAAGGCGCTCTTTGATATTGACCGAGATGGACGTCTTCTGCATTGTCTGCCCCATCTGCTCTGCCACACTCATGAACCGGTGCCCGAACATGCTCAGCTGGACTGGATCTACGACCCCGCTGTTGAGTCTGGGTTTGTCGACGTCCAGAATCTCCAGCAGCAGATGCTCGGGGAGTACAGTTGCCGCGCTGAACGGATCAACAACAACTGTTTGAGTCTTGTCGACCAGCATCGCGGGCCCGGCAATCCTGGCACCAACCGGGAGATCACCGAGGAAGAACAGCCCGGCATCCGTCCAGCCACTGGTCTCGAAATACACTTTCCTCATGGACTGGGGCTTCTGTGGGGTCACTGGTGGCGATGCCTGAACCCTCCGGAGCTCTTCAAACGGCTTGGTCAGCTTGATGTCTGCTCCTTTGCTGCCGATACTCCGTACTCGAACATCATCGATGACAATATCACGCGGCTGCGTGAACCCGAACTCCTGCTTGTGGCGGCTTGTAAAAGCGTTACCGAAATCAGCTAGTTTCCCGGGCTGTCCTTCGATCATGAGGGCAGTATTGCTACCCTGGTATCTCATGTTCAGGAAGTACTCATGCCGCACTTGCTCCTCACTGAATCCTTGCGAAGCAAGTCCCTCTCGGCCTCTCTCTGATAACCGTTCAAACCGACTCTGCAGTGCGGGAAGCGCACTGTCTGAGAAAGCCTGTGTCTCCGGTTCCTGATTCTCGACCACAACGTCCGCTAACGCCATACCATATGCCGACAAGATGCTCGAGTACCGAGGGATAACAACATGTTGAATCCCCAGGTCCCGCGCAACAGCAACAGCATGCTGTCCACCGGCACCACCAAAACAACCCAGAACATGGGCCCTGGTCTCAAACCCACGGCCCTCACTCAGCGTTCTAATCGGCCTCGTCATCGTTGTATTGGCGATCTGCAGAAACCCCATCGCCACCTCTTCCGGCGTGAACTTGCTGTCACCGCTAAGGTTAATGGCCTCAGCCATCTCGGCGAACTTCTTCCGCACAACGGCAAAGTCAAGTGGTCTGGGAAACAGATCCGGGATGATCCTCCCCAGGAAGAAATTGGCGTCTGTCACGGTTAACGGCCCGCCTTTCCCATAACATGCCGGGCCGGGATTCGCTCCTGCGCTGCCTGGGCCGACCTTGAATAACCTGTTCTCCCAGGTGAGGATTGACCCGCCGCCGGCTGCGACGGTGTTGATGTCGAGGTGTGGTGACTGGATTGTGACTTCTGCAATGGTGCTCTCGAAGATATGTTCAAGAGACCCGGCGTAGCGGCAGACGTCGCTTGATGTTCCTCCCACTGTCAAAAGCATTAGTGAAAACATATAATATGCAGATTACTAGAACATACTGTCAAATCCTAATACAGGCTTTCCCTCTTTCTCGTCATAGCATGTCTTCGCCACGCCAATGACTCCCCCAGCTGGACCGCTAAGCACGCCGCGGAGCCCGGTGAAATTCGTATACGTCGTCAGCCCTCCATCAGACTGATTCAAGAAGAGCTTCTCTTCGAGGCCCCCTTTGAACCCCTTCTTAAAGCTCTCCAAGTACCTGTCGGTAATTGGCGACAGGTAAGCATCAACAACAGCCGACTGGCTCCGGGGCACAATCTTGGCCATCTTCTGCAACTCCGAAGACGCCGCGAGCTTGAAGCCGAGTTCGCGCGCGATTTTGGCAATCCCGAGCTCGTGGTCTTGAAAGGTGTACGAGTGCATCATGGCAATTGCTACCGTCCGGTATCCCTGGGCCCATAGGTCTGTGAGGTCCCTGCGGACCAGCTCGTAATCAGGGACCTTGATGACTCGGACTGCCTCACCGGATATCCCGGTCGTTAACTGGGGATCCGAGCTGATGTCTATCGGCTGCGGCTCTGGGTTCTCTGCGAAGCCTTCGATCGTGACTCGCTCGTCCACCTCCAGGACAGTCTCATACAGCTTCTTCATCCGGCGAACCGAGAGGTCGAAGATATGAGGGCGAGCCTGATTCCCGATCTCCAGGAGATCACGGAACCCCTTGGTAATTAATAGAGCCGTTCGCTCGCCCTTTCGTTCTAAGAGCGCGTTCGTGGCGACGGTCGTGCCCATGCGTATGCTCTCAACGCTGTCCAGGTCCAAGGGCGTGCCCCGTGGGATCTTGGTGTTGGTTGCAATCTCCAAGATCTGCCGGATGCACTCGGTTGGAGCATCGTCGTATTCGTCGGGGCATTGCGATAGCACCTTGAGCACAATCTCTTGGTCTTTGCCGGTTGTGCTGTTCGGGATCAAGGCGATTCCGTCGGTAAAGGTTCCCCCACGGTCGATGGCGATTCTGATTCCTGGCATGATGGGTAGATGCTTAGGCTCGGTGCTGTCTCTAGCCGTCAGGTCAATAGCCAGTCGCTTTCTATACTTGGCCTGGGATTGGGGTCGGCTTCCTCCAGCCGATGCAGCTTATCAGCCAGCCGTGCCGACTGATAGGAAGATCCTGTGTAGATAACTTATCACGCCCAGGGGGATCTGTAGATAGCGCTATCTCGCCGGATCGTACGAGGCTAGGCCAGTGCACCGTGGCTGATATGGCGGGCATGCGTATATCTATAATGCAACGGCCGATTCGAGGCCGCTGAAGGCCATGTCTAACCCTGATCAAGTCAGTCACTATGGAAGAGAAAGGCCCGCAAGTGCAGAGTCCAACAGATTCTGAGAATGGCTCGTCTGATGTTTACGTTGACCCCGTCAAGGAAAGACGCATGATGAGGAAGTTTGATGTACCTTCTTGCCGATTCAGGAGTTGCCATGATAAACTGACCACTGTTAGTTGTTCGCCGTGTGCGCAATGGGCGTCTTGTACATGATGTCGAATCTCGACCGAAGCAACCTGGGCAATGCCAATGTCGCAGGACTCCCCGAGGAACTCGGCCTCGTGGGCAATCAATTCGGTACCGCGACGACTTTGCTGTGAGTTTCAACAAGCTTTCTAGGACCGTGATCAACAACTCATCGTCTTAGATATGCCACCTATGTCCCCTTCGAAGGCCCCGTCGCCGTGCTCCTAAAGGTCATTGGCCCAAAGCCATTGATGTCAATCAGTGCATTGTGCTGGGCTGCTGCCAGTCTCGGAATGGGTGCGTTGATCTATACAAATCGATAGATAGATCACTGACTCAAGTGTCAACCTAGCCTTCGTACAAGACCACCGAGGTCTTTATGCCTGTAGACTTCTCATCGGCCTCTTCGAAGCCGGCCTGATCCCATGCATCAACGTCTACATCGGATGGATTTACAAAAAGTCGGAGCGCGGACAGCGATCATCTTGGATCTTCGCATTCAGCGCATTCTCCAGCGCCTTCGGCGGGATTCTCGCGTACGGCTTGACCCAAATCCACACTGCCCACTTCTCAGGTTGGCGGTGGCTCTTCGCCGTAGAGGCTGCCATGACCATGGTTGCTGTGCCCTTGTTTTGGCTTGTTTTCCCCAAGTCTCCAACCACAGCCTGGTTTCTAACAGATGAGGAGAAGAAGATGATGCAGCTGCGATACGACGCGGACCCTACCTGGGGCGTTAGCGAGGAGTTCTCTATGGCAGAATGCCTCAAGGCGTTTGTTGATCCCAAGTGGTATGCTTTCTTTGCGTACCAGTTCTCGGTCGATATCTCGCTGTATGGTTTAACCACCTTCATGCCGACGATTGTCAGCGGCCTGGGGTACAAGTCTGTGCAAGCCAACCTCATGACTGTCCCGATATACATTTGCGCATTGATCTTCTTCATGGTCATCGCGTATTTCTCCGATCGGACTGGATACCGAGGGCCTTTTCTTGCGGGTAGTCTTTTGTTCTTGATTGTTGGGTATGCGCTCTTGATCAGCGTTGAGAACCTCAAGGTGAGGTTTTTTGCGTGCTTCAGTAAGTACCAGACTCCGTTCCAATTCCACCAGATTCACTGACAGTTGCCAGTCGCGGCATTGGGAATCTATCCAACAACCGGCTTGTCGCTTATGTGGCTGCAAGACAACGTATCAAAACACTACAAGCGCGCAACGATGGTCGGCTTTACCCTCTGTCTCGGGAACACGGCTGGCGTTGCGGTAGGCCAAATCTTCACCACCGAGAGCTCGCCGCGATACATCACAGGCTTATCAATTGCCATGGGGCTGGCGTGTTTCGCCTTCGTTGACGTGCTGGTTCTCATGGCGGGCTTCACCTGGGTCAATCGCAAGCGAGCCGCGAAGCTTCGAGCTGCAGAACTGGCTGGGACCCCGATCGAGCCAAACCCAGATCTGGGCGACTATGATGTGCATTTCCGGTACTCGCTGTAGATTAGTTGACTAGACTCCATGAACTCCAACCCAGGAGTATATGTATCAATGTGTCACTAATAAGCGTCCGCCATTTTGGTAGAGAGTCGGCTCCCGGGCCGGCTACCGATCGGGATGTGGTGGGCATGCGTCATCCAATGCAGTTGAACATAAGTAGTCGCATTTGTCCACTTCAGTAAAGATTGCGACAATGAAAGTTGCAAAATGGCAGATACACCGGTCGTCAAGCTCCTTGAGAAGCTGATGGAGATTCCCTCCGTCAGCGAGCAGGAACAACAGATCGGAATATTTCTAGCGGACCATCTCAAGTCCCTGGGCTATACCGCGGAGCTCATACCGATATCACCCAACTCCGACCGCTGCAATGTATACGCGTACTTGGGTAAAGACCGCAAGGCTAGAACGCTCCTCACTTCACACATGGACACGGTCCCGCCGCACATTCCGCTGAGCATCAAGGGGGACGTTATTTTCGGCCGCGGGGCATGCGACGACAAGGGACCTCTAGCGGCGCAGATTGTTGCGCTGGAAGAGCTGCGGGCGGAGGGTTTGGTGAAAGATGGCGACGTGGCTCTGCTCTTTGTTGTGGGGGAAGAGAAGGGAGGGCCTGGAATGCTTGCTGCGAATGAGATGGGCTTGAGCTGGGAGGCTGTCATTTTTGGAGAGCCCACCGAGGGCAAGCTGGCTACTGGGCACAAGGGCCATTTTGTCTTCGAGCTGTTTGTAACTGGCACTGCTTGCCACTCGGGGTACCCGCATCTGGGGAAGAGTGCCACCGCAACGCTCGTTGCTGTGCTGGATGAGCTGAAAGCACTCGAGCTGCCTACATCGCAACTCCTGGGTCCGACTACATTTCACTGCGGTAAGATGCAGGGTGGAGTCGCCTACAATGTTCTCGCTGCTGACGCCTACGCCCTTTGTGGTATTCGTGTTGCGGCTGACTTGCACGGCATCGAGAGAATGGTGGAAGAGGTTGTCGGTAGATATCCCGATGTCACGATGAAGAAGTCATTCGGCTATCCGGAGACTTTGCTGGACCATGAGATCGAAGGTGAGAAGTCCAGTCCAGCCTAGTTTGCTGGCAACTAATCTCAGCAATAGGCTTGGACTCGATGCCGGTTTCATACGGCACTGATGTCCCTCGACTGAATGGAACCCATAAAAAGTATCTTTATGGCCCGGGTTCGATCTTGGATGCGCACGGAGAAAACGAGCAGGTTGCGATTCCGGATTTGATCGAGTGTGTGGCTGTTTACAAGAAGCTGGTTCTCCAAATGCTGAATCCTAATCAGTGAATCAATGCTTCAACGTTCATAGAGAAGCTAGAACGTCGTATCCCCATGCAGCGACCTTCCAATCATAGTCCAATTACCTCTGTGCGTCTTATCAAGTACTCCAACAGAGTGTCGAGGGTTTATCACCGGTCGGCACGGCTTGGGCCAGCCGATGGGCAACATAAAGAACCTTCGTAGTCGCATTTCTATCAAGTCAGCGCTGATTTCTGTCTCGGGTCCAGGCGTTTTAGCTGATACCTACCCAAAATGCCGGCCGATCTTTCTGGCATCCGCGATTTACCCAGGGACGAAGCATTCGCCATCACAGCAGATTTCCAAGCCGACGACCACCCGCAGAAGGTCAGTTTGGGGGCAGGAGTCTACCGAGATGAAAGCTCCAAGCCATGGGTTCTGCCCAGCGTCAAAGAGGTGCGTATCAGCCGAAAGACAGGCAATGCTTCAACAATAGTCAAGAATTGACCCTTTGATAGGCCAAAAAGCGGCTTCATGAGCAGGAGTTAAACCACGAGTATCTGCCAATCCAAGGCTCCGAGCCATTCCTCACTGCCGCGAGGGAGCTCATCCTGGGCCCAGCGCAAAGCGAAAACACGGTGATCTCGATCCAGACCATCTCTGGCACCGGCGCAAACCATCTCGCAGCCGCCTTCCTGTCCCAACACCTGAAGCCCAAACATGTCTTCTTCTCAGACCCAACATGGAGCAACCACTCGCTCGTCTGGGAGGTTGCCGCGCCCGACGTCGTGCAAAAGACCTACCCCTACTATCTCCCCGCAAGCAGGTCCCTGGATTTCGAGGGCATGATGTCGACGCTGGAATCTACCGCCGTCGAAGACGATATCGTTGTACTGCATGCCTGCGCGCACAACCCCACAGGGATCGATCCAAGCCGAGAGCAATGGCGCACTCTCGCTGAACTGATGAAGCGCAAGAGACTGTTTCCGGTGTTCGACTCGGCATACCAGGGGTTCGCAACGGGGGATGTAGACGCCGATGCTTGGGCGGTCCGATACTTCCAGCAAACGCTATTTGGTGCAACTGAGTCGGAACCACGGCCGCAGGGGATGGGGATCGCACAGTCGTTCGCGAAGAACTTCGGTCTGTACGGCGAGCGAGTTGGGGCCTTCCATCTTGTCCTGCCTCCACGGGCACCTGCAGCAGGAGCACGTAGCCAGCTCCTCCGCCTTGTGCGGGCGGAAATGTCCAATGCCCCTTTGTTTGGCTGTCGAGTTGTGGCGATGATTCTCTCCGACCCTGAGCTTAGAACGAGGTGGAAGGAAGACCTGCAGACGATGTCGGGACGCATCAAGCGGATGAGATCGATTCTCAGGCGGGAGATCGAGAAACATCCAAAGTCGGAAGTGGGCGATTGGAAGCATCTGGAAGATCAGATCGGTATGTTTAGCTATACGGGGCTGAGGGAGGAGCAGGTGTTGAGGCTGAAGGACGTGCATCACGTCTACCTGATGCGTAACGGACGAGCAAGCCTGAGTGGTTTGACGGAGGCGAACGCGGAGTATGTGGCTGATGCCATTGCTGAAGTGATGCGTTATCATCCGGTAGGACTGAAATAATGGAGGAAGAAGCAGAAGCCGTCCGGAGATGTAGAAATCTCTAAAGACGGTGTGACTGGAAGGACGAAGAAGAACAGGAAGGAGTTGGAAGTGGGGGGTTCATGGGCAGTCACGCCCACCAACCGCCTCACTACATAGTCCGCTTTTTGTCTTGAATACTATCCAAGTAGAAGCAAATAGGGTTTGAATATTGGCATTCTAGAAAGGAGATGAGAGTATGATCTTGCCATCAGAAACAAATAGTCATCCCCCGTACTATGCTGCATTTATATATCATCAAGACAAACAATAAAAACAAGTCACAAAACAAATCCCATCTCCTCTCCGTTGATAACAGCATCATCACCCCGTTCTGCATTGCAATCCAAAAAAGCCTGGAGAAATGGACTGTCCAAAGGATCCACAGCAGTTGTATTCCTAACCATTCCGTCCTCGTGGTTCAAGGTGAAGGGCAAGGACCCCGGCATGAGGAAGTTACCCCAGTCACAGTTATCATGTTCTGCTGGGCTAGGTCCGATTTCCGACACGTTCGGATCGGCAAGAGCTTCATTAGACCTCGATGGAGGAGCTCCTGTGCTTTCCGTAGTCACAGTGGATGGCACACGGCCAAACAGCCGGCTGACATTCCATTGTATCTGAACGAGCCGAGCGTAATACTGGCCAGCCGTCGCATTCCCTTTATCTCGCATGGTCATCAGCATCTGGAAGGCTGTCTGTACGGCGTCCGAGTCTGCCAGGTTGGGCGAGATAATCGCGGAGGTGATGAGGATGAGCGTTGAGGAGAAGAGATGGTGGGCGTCAAAGTATCCGTAAGTGGCCAAGGAACTGTCAATGAAAAGCTGAGAGAGGATTGAGTTTGATGTTCGAGACGCGGAAATACAGGCATCGGCCAGCGTCCTCGTTGTATCTGATATCGGCGCTGATGCTGGTGCCGATTCTAGACCATCCCCGCTCTGGCCCAAAGAGTTTGCGATTGCGAACGGATTCTTGACTTTCAGCACATACAGCAGGATCGGCCGCGTGGTCAAAATGATGCAGTGATTGAAATGCAGCTGGAGAGAGGCTACCGATCGGAGGATCCCGGCATCCTGGTTCCACCGTAGGCTCTCGGGGATATTGGCGTCCCATGTCCGCAGCTTTTGTAGAATAGACCGAACGTTATGTACCAGCTTGCCGGCGGCCGCTTTAGAAGATGGCGCGTAAATATCTCGCATGATGAGGCCGGTGATGCGGGCCAGTTCCACGTGAGCGAGCAGATGCTCGGCTCGTCCGAGTTTCAACTGCATCTGGCTCCCTAGTACCGCAGGCGGCTCTGAAGATGGCATCTCGACATCGATGTCCTCATCGTGGATCCCTATGGGCTGGCCAAGCTTCGAACATGTCGACCTATCGAAGACGTACACCGTCCACCACAGCCGGACTCGGTGTTCTCGCTCAATGGCTGACAACCCAGTTTCGGCCGGTGAAGCGCGATGCAAACCAAGGCTGGTGCTAAGGCGCATTGCCATGCCACTGTACATGTGTGCGGAGTTGACGCGGCCAAGGGCATTGGAGTAGAAACACTGCGCACTGCATTAGCCAGATACGGCACGGCAAACAGGTTCTACATACAAGCAAGAGCATTATCTCAATCTGGGCCAGGGACGGCTCCTCGAAGAGGTCCTGCAGTAGACCAATAGCAACCAGGAAATATCCCGTCCCCGGCACGGGAAAATCGCTGGCATCGACCTGCACATCCCCACGTGCTGGTGTTGTCGAACAAGAATACAACTCACCGAGTGCTAGAACCACGAACAGCTTGCACGCCCATGTAGAGTCCCACTGAAACTGCTCTCCCAATCGATAGGCCTCTTCAAGTTGCTGCAGAAAGTCGCTATGCAAGAAGAAGTGGTAGTCCTGGCCAATGAAGCGAAGGGCAACGCGGACGAGAAGATACGTCCGAATACGCTCCGGCAGCTTGCAACCAGCAACACTCTGAGACTGACGCGCAAATGCGGGATTGCGAACGTAACGACGCTCAGGGGGTGGAGTCGGCGTGGAGCGTGGAAGCAAGCATTGCAGGATGCGATCGCTAAAGGCCATGCAAGTTGACTCTCCCACAAACTGTGGTTGTGCACCATGGTCGAGCTGGAAGAGGCGCTGTGGCTCATGGATGGGATTGCTGAGATCTATTGCAGCTGGCTCCGGTCTTTCACCTATGGTAGGTGATGGGGGATCGGTGTTGTTCCTCTGCAGCTGGGTCAAGTAGCTGATGCTGTATCAATCTCCAATTCAAGATCAGAATTAATTCAATTGAACAACACACCTTGCAGATACGGTGACTCTCCGCTCGCGCAGGGGATAGGAGCAATTAGTCGCCTTTTTGGCACTGCGGCATCTCTGGCATGGTACACCCCCTGAGCACTTGACTTTGAGGCCATGACAACGACGGCAGCTGGAATGAGTGAGTTGGTTAAGTGTCACGAGATGGGCCAGGTACCATACGCAATATAGGAGCGTTTAGGTCGGCTTGACGCAGTAGGCGACGGCGCAGTTCCAGTCATGTTGGAGACAGGTCGGGTACAGCTGATGAAGATCGGGAAGACAAGACCGACTGATAAGAGAAGTCGCAGCCGAGTTGGAGTCCGGCATCCTGATTATCTCCGTCAGCGATAGGATGAGATGAATGAAAAGATTATTGACATTGGTTACTGCATACCGCCATCTAAATCAAAAATCCAAAAAATTATTGAAACACATAACAAAATAAGCCATTCAACCAATATCTTCTAAAAGAAAATCGTCATCATCACGCATGGAGAAACCCCGTCGCCTTCCAAGCCTGTACGTACTTCCTCGCTACCTCCCCACTGACAGGCCCCTGTGCCGCAAGAGTTGGCGAGTGTTCCCTTGTACGAGTAGTATCCAGCAAGAGACCACCGCACGACATGCGCAGGAAATGGTGGTCCAAGAATCCAATCAGCCGGCCCGCAGGGTTATCGGTATCAATGGACAGGGGCGATTCGCGGACCTTCCGCACCCACCGGTCGAAAGGGATGATGTTTTGGCGCGGAACATCCAGCGCGTCGGCGAGGACTTCGATCATCTCCGGCCAGGGCTGGCCCTTGGGGTTGTCGATATGGTAGGTCGGATACGGGGTGCGATCAGCTGGCGCAAGAACGAGGTCTTTGAGGGTTCCCGCGACGTCATTGACCGGGACCCAGGAGAGGATGCCCTCGAAGTTGGGCAGTGCTTTCAGGGTCTGGCATGACTTGATGAGGAATGAGAAGTGCTCATTCGGGTTCCAGAAGCCGCTGGTGCGAGAGCCGGCGATCTGGCCGAGGCGGACGCTCATGGGCTGGAAGTGCTCGGGGTATTTGTGGAGTGTGGCATGTAGGATTCGCTCGCAGGCGAGCTTTGCCTCGCAGTAGCCGATGGGAAGGACGGATTTCATCTCCATACGCTCCTCTGGTACTGAAACTTGGCCGCTCCAGATTGGGTACTGGCCGACGACGCCGATGGATGAGACGAGCTGGAAGCGGACCTTGATGTCTGGACGAGGGCGCTGGGTTGCAATGTCTCGTGCAAGGTCAATTAGATTTCGTAATGTGTGAAACTGTTGCTCGAAGGCTTTGATGGGGCGCGTGCCGCTCATAGGCCAGGCGTTGTGGACAATGTGTGTGACATGTTGCACTAGCCAGGCATATTCAGCCCCCAGGACGCCCAACTTCGGCTTGGCGGTGTCAGTCTCGATTACCTTGAGTTTTGATTGCGCCTCGTTGGACAGCTTGATCCCTCTGTTGGTCAATGCTTGCTGTTGCCGGGTCTTGCCTTCAACGCCGCCGCGACGGTTGACGCAAACAACAGTGTGAACGTCGGGATTAATGGCAAACTGTTCGACAAGATGAGATCCCAAGCTACCCGTGGCACCTGTGACGAGGACGCACTGTCCCTTCGGGGGTGTTGATGCCGTTCGGGAGGCTGCCGTTACGGGCATCAAGAAGCCCTTAGAAAACTGGGCTACATATCGGTTGACCTCGGCTTCCCGGGCGACGTCGTCAGTCATGATTTGCGCCTCCGGCTCCACAGCCTTAGGTAGGCGATCGTAGGTAGGGCCCGACGCCAGGGCGATAATGATCTTCTGGGTATAATTCTCGGGCATGGCGCCATCGGTCCAGTCCACATGTCCATACCCAGCGGACTGGAGGTCCTTTTCCCAACGAGTTTCCGAGGCAATTGCATGGCGTCGACCATCATCAAAGAGCCACCAGCCTTCCAGAAGTCCAAACGTCAATTCGATATATGGTACGATACCAGTCATCTCCAGCATCATAAGGAATCCGTCTGGGCGTAACGCTGTTCGGATACTGCGGGAGGACGCTTCCAAGTTATGCGTGGCATGCACGGCGTTGCTCGCAATCACAATGTGCTGGCCGCGCAGCCCTTCCGCGACAGGCTTTTCAATGTCGTGTACGGCAAACTTCATGAATGAATAGCTCTTCCATTTTCGGCGCGCTTGAGCAACCATGGATGGAGAAAGGTCGGTGAAGGTATATTCCACGGGGACGTTGAGCTGAGCCAGGAACGGGACGAAGGCCATGGTTGAACCGCCAGTGCCGGCGCCCATTTCGAGTATCTTGAGAGGGCCATTATCGAGGCTTATCCTTGCGATCAGCCGACCAAGGAAGTCTCTCATAAGCTCATAATGTGTATGATTCATTGTGCAGTAGCAGTACAGATTTGTCACCAGTTCTCGGCCTTCGGTTGTTCCAAAGATGAGCCGGATGCCATCCGTCTTCCCCTGGAGGACGTCGGCCAAAGCCTTTCCAGAAAAGTAAGCTAACTTGGCAGGGTGTGTCCAATCTGGTAGCTTCTTCAGTATGTCCTGCAGCAATACATGGCTGGACCTTTTAGGCGGAGAGTTGGCCGTTCGAATGAGCTGCATGCCTTTCGTGTCAAACAACCGCCCGTCATTCTCGAGCATCTCGTACAGATAGTTCACAAGGTTCGCCTGCTGAGGAACATGGCTGACGCGCGGGACCGGTTCACCGGCAGGAATAGAGGCAATGGAGACACCAAGCTTTTCAAAAGCTTCCAGTACCAAGGCAACGCAGAGCTGGGTCGAGCCCGGCAAGAACATGTTCGCGTAGCCATCTACCTTGCGATCCCGCATGAATTGGTCGGTGGTCAGTTTGGATTCCCCAAAGGCATCAAGGATTGTCGATGAAGACAATTCGAGGGAATTGCCGCCGGATGGAGGTACCATCTTGATTTCACTTTTGTTCTCCTCGTTCCAAGGCTTCAAGCTAGTGGGTATTTCAATCAGATCCTTGGGCGATGTCTTGGTATGATGGCTCAGGTTTGCATAACTGCTCTGCGGTGGGATCCGGCCTTCTTGCATCGTCATAAGCTCCTTGATAAGCGATATCACTCCAGAGGCGCCTTCAGTATGCCCAAATGGCCTAGATCGATTGCTTCCTCCCAGTGCTGGAGAATACTTTCGTACTCTGCGGGGTCGCCAACAGGAGTTCCAGTGCCGTGTGCTTCTAGAACAGATATTATCTGGACTCAGCTGTGCTTTGTGGACAACTTCTTGGAACAGCATCGAGAGGGAGGGAGAATTCGGAACAAATATGGGCGTACAGTTTTAATTCTGTGACACGGCGGTACCAGAGATGCACCCGAAGATCGGATTGCCATCCGCAATTGCATCAGACATCTTCTTCAAGGAAACGCATGCAATACCCTCGCCACGACAGTAGCCATCAGCTAAATTGTCGAATGGTTTACATTGGCACGCCTGCATTAGAAGGCGTTGCTGCGGGTCCATGGACGCAGCGTCTCGCGGACTCCGCTTGAAGAATCTGTGGTCGAAGGCGCCAACGTCGTCAATGAAGTTGTGTACCATTTGCGTTTGGTATCCAACTCCCGCCACTGACATTCGAAGCCAAAGGAGCTTTGGAGGACATCAATGTGCTGTGACGTTCCCTCGCAATCATATGCCATAACTCCGCTAGGCCATCTGCGCCGGCGTCTTTGATGGCCATGCCAATAACAGCAATGTTCAAGAAGCATCCGATGAATGACGCAAGATTGGAAACTCCATGCTCACAGATCGTTCAAGGCTGGAAGTACTGCGCGCCGAAAAGACTTGCGGACTAGTGGAGGTCAATTGAGAGAAGCCCGAGCAGTTGAGCCTATCTTGAGCCAGTTGCCCAAGCCGCCGATCTGAAAGGGTCCCTGCTCCGGGAGTCCACATTGAACAGATAGCGCTGCTAGCTCCTCACTCGCCGGTCTGCCCATTTACCAATTTCAGAGTGTAGTGTAATCGCTCGAACCCTCCGAGGGTCGCCAGCCTTTCTACCGTCCCGAGTGACTGGCAAAGGCACATTCCGTCAACAACAAGCGGAGCCTAGACAAGACAAGAAGGAATAGAAGAAAGCCACTGAAGGTCCAAAGAAGCGGGTCCAGCTGACTCTGCCTGTCCAAGAAACAATAAGCTCTGACTATTCATGCAGCGTCTCGATAGCTTACGCTGATCAGGTGCAGCTCAGGCGAATTCCCAGCTCTATTGCTTCTTTCTCCTGAGCCTGAGGAAACCATGATATGCATGACCGGTGGGTCAGTCATATTCCGAGAATGTACTCTCTCCGAAGCCAGAAGGATGCATCACTGCATATTTGTTGTCAATGTCAAATTGGCCAAAGGCAGCTGGAAGAGCCAAGAAGGGATGCATGACAGACTCGGGAGCTGCTGACTCGCTTCAGGAACTTCGTTTTTCCGAGAGGTTTTTCCACTGCTCTCGTCTGTTCCTTGACGGCCGACGTATAGGCGAAGCGTCTAATGGGAGAAGTCTGGTGTATTAGTGTATTGCCTTAATTAGCGGGAGAAAACTCTGTGGGGCACGTGACGCGCTAGTCCTAATCTAGTATAATAGTGCTTTAGGCACCCCTTATGCTAATATACCCCTTAACTAGCGTGGCTAAGTAGCCACTATTTATATAATATATATATAAAGTTTAAAAACCTAAAAAAATAAATAAATTTTTAAGCTTTTATTATCCTAGGTATAGTATAACTTTTTATTAGCTAGTTTAAAATTATACGCTATACCCCTTGTACTTTCCTGTATTTTTAAAACATGTTTTTATTTTAAGTAATTAATAATCCCTTTTTTAATAAGTAATTTAATTAATTAAAATATCTTAATACCATCCTAGATATTAATATAAAAAGCTTTAATTAGTTTTTATTTTTATTTTTTAATACTTAAATTTTATACTAGGGTATTTATCCCTTGGGCCATAGCTTAAGTTATAAGTAAAAATAATTTTAAGTTATATACTTTTTATAGCTATAATAAGTATAGTAATTATTAGTATTAATTTAAGGCTTAATTTTATATATTTTATTAATATAATTTTTATTAAAAATACCTTTTCCTAGACCCTTGCGTGTTAATATAGGGATATTTAGATTTTTATTAAGCTTATTAATTAAAGTAATTAATAAAACCTTTTATATTTTTTTAATTAACTTTACTTGGGCGCGTGTGTTATTATATAAATATTAAAAATAATTTTTTATATATAATTTAAGGTTTGCTTTTATAATTATTAATTTTTTTATTATCACCCATGTGGTTATCTTTACTTTAATTTTTTAAAATATAAAAATTATAATAACTTTTAATATTAATATAACCCTTAATTAATTTTTTATATCCTATGTATTTAAATAAGCTTTAATAAACTTATTAATTTTATTAAATTAAGCTACTTACATGTTATAAAGCACTAGTATTACCTTTAAAATTTAAGGTATTTTATTATTTATAATAACACGCTTAATAATAGTCCAAGTATTATTAATATATTTTAATAAGTAAAGTAATTAGCTAATATAATAAAATAGTTTTTTAAATAATTACCTAACTAGCTAATTAGCTATAATAATTAAATAATTTTTTTATACTTTATACTTTAAATCCTTAATCCACGGCCTTGGTATACTTTTATTAATAAGCTAAAATATTTAAAAAATACAAAGCTAGCATATTATATAGTTTACTTATATAATATAATTTTTTTAGTTAATTAAAGCCTTTTAAATAGGCGCTATAAATATTAAAGGTGTTTTATTAACTAGCTATTTATTATAATATACTTGGTTAATAATTATAGGCGCTGGCTAAAAGCCCTTTCTAGCCCTTAATTAACTAAAACTTATAGTTTTTAATCTTAATTCTAATTTTAAGGCTTTAGTATTATCCACGGGTGTTATAAATCCCTTATTTATATCCCGTGGAGTACTTTTAGTATTTAAAGCTATTTTTAATTTATTTTTTATATAATTCCCTAGTAGTTATCTAAGCCTTTTAATTAGCTATTTAAGCTATTTCCTAATTTTAATATAATAGCTATCCCAAGCCTATTATTCCCTAGCAGTTATTTAAGCTATTTTTATTTTAATTATATAGTTATTTAAGCCGTAAAATATAAAAAAGCCATGTAATTAGTTAATTTTAGTATATACCAAGCATATGGCGGCTATTTAAGCCATTAATAATAAATATTAACTTAGTAAAACACTTTAAAAAACTTTTAGGGCTTTACTTAGCTAATAATATTATAGTAAATATTAAAATAAGGTTTTTTAGGTACTAAAACACCTATATAAAAAAAAAAGGGTGTATAACCTAATAATTAATATATAGGCAAAGCGTCCAATAGGAGAAGTCTAGTGTATTAGTGTATTACCTTAATTAGCGGGAAAAAACTCTATGGGGCACGTGACGCGCTAGTCCCAATCCGGTATGGTGGTGCCTCAGGCACCCCCCGTGCCGACATTCCTTCATTTTCCGAATCCTCGAAAGTCAGACTCAGTAAGATATTGAGGCACAATCACATCAACGTTCCCATCCAATCAACACCTATTCTTCACCGGACTTTATCGGATGATCGCCATTATCAGTGGATCCGCCCATCCCGCCGCGGAATCCACGGAATGCACGAGATTTGTCCTTGTCCGGACACTGCCTTGGTCTATACAGTAGCACAATGCTTACTAGACAAGATGTGATGATACGTCGTCTTATCGGAGTTGGGTAATGCCGGCTTAAAGAATGCCATCTGAACCAGGCTTGTCAAATCGCCATGACTACCGCCAGATAAATCTTCATTCTTATGCTCCGTGTTACCCTGGCCTGCCCCGGGAAACCGCCGATAGCTTTCTGCTAGGAACGAGCAACAACCTAAACGAGCAGCTTTCTGACTACTGGTATTCCGCCGACTTCACCCCATGATGTCCCAACCTGCCCAGCGTCCCCAACCCGAGACAGCCGAAGGACAGAAACTCAGACGTCTCGCGTGTGATCGGTGTAGAGGGCAGAAGCTCAAGTGCGTTCGCTTGGGGTTGTCTGAGAAGTGTCAGCGCTGTACGACCGCGGATGCCATTTGCACTTTTGGAAAACCATTGCCCCCGGGGCGGCGTGCAACGAAGCCGGCGGCGCAAAAAATGGAGGTCGAATCCACTGTACCAAAGCTCCCTGTTGCAGTTTCACGAACCGAGCTGGAGAGCACTTCAGTCCTCAATGAAATTTCCGCACCAGTAGGGATACTTCACGCCGACAGTCCGGGATTCTCGGAAAGTCTTTGGGTTCACGGAAGCGACATGGACGCGGACAACTTTTACAACATTCTCTACGATGAAGGAGGCGCCATTGACCTAGACGGCCACAGTCTGGACACATGGCCAGCCAAGGCGGATTCTATGGGAGATACATCCCCGTGGCAGACGATGGGACCAATCGGCGACGAGGGAGACACTCTGGTATTCAGTCCCCATGAGGGTAGGTCGCCTCAGAGTCAAAAGCGACTATCAACGACTCAAAGCAAACGAGAAGGGCCGACCAAGCGGCCAGCTTCCCAAACTTCGGGTTCAACAGCGGGAAGTTTAGACGAGGCTGCTACAACTCCCGACACGATGGGACTAATGCAACATCTGATGCATCTTAGCCGTGCCTTGTATGAGCTCGAAAGCCGTTACCTCCCCAACGGTGATAGTAACCATACTTTGATGGCCGCTTATGGTGTCTTTCCCACTGAACTTTCGGGCCAAGTTCTCCAAGCCGCCATTGATTTCCTGGCGTTCCTTCAATGCTTCTTCTTGGTAGATGAGCCTTCATCATATTCGCCAGGTCAATTTCTAGCTACTAATCGACGGGATCAATCCTTCCTCGACCTGACCGACCTGGACCAACGAAGCTGTCTTCACGCGTATGGTACGCTAGTACCTCCTCCGTATGAGCACATATATCTCGCACCAACCAACTACGGCTTCACTCATTCTTCCGCCTTGGAATGGCCCCCAGCCCGACAGATTGCTACACCAGACAAACCGACAAGCCAACAGCTCATCAGTAACTATATGCGCTTGCTGCGCCTGTATCTGTTACTCCACAAGTGCATCTACGACTATGTTCGGCTGACCGCATCGAACCCCAGCCAACGCCAACCCATCTGGAGCAACATGACCCTGGGTGGCACAGTGCTTGACCAATTCGCGGACTTCCAGATCAAACTTGTCTTGCAGGTCGTGGCGCGCTTGCTAGAAGATATCGAGGTTGCCCTCGGACTGCCCGAGGGCTGCCGGGTAGGCAAAATGGCTGCTGCTGAGAATGGCCGCCGTGGGATTTTGGGCACGTACGTTTCGACTCACTTTATCGAGATGTGCATGTTCGAGGCCACCGCGGGACCTGATCAAGGACGCTATACCATCATCCGGTTGCGTGATATCATGCACCGCTTGTCCAGTGCCTTGGACACACCTACCGTGTGCTGAACGTGCAATACTCTCCAGGGGGGGTGAGGTAAGCCTGAATGCGCGTTTTGTCGTATATACATGAAATAATCGATTCGGTGGACATTAGATCGTATTAGACAATAAAGGGTTATATTGCTTCGCGGCCGATATACCCTATTTCCAATGTATCAAAGCATCGATAATCCAACCTGCCTTCGTCCTTCAATACGAAAGACAACTGGACCCCTTAGCACCGGCAGAACTTCATGCCCCTATTCCAATTCTACTCTGATACCACGCTGAGGGCTCGGAGGGTACTGAACAAGGCAGCCTGACCTTGGAGTCGGGTATGAATGGAACCTACCGAACAACCCCATTGTTGGTGCATCGTGCTGAGACTTGACGCGATGTCCCTCCCCAGAACGGAAGCCAGTTTGGCCAACCATTCGGAGACCCCTCCCCCCGAGTCTCGACGACGCGCGTCCTCCTGCCAACATGCCAACTGCATGGCTTCGCCGAGTTTCAGCCTGGTGCTGTGATCCACGATTCCGCACCAGACTTCACTCTTTTCCTCGCAACATGGATTCAGCGTCTTGGCGGTGTTCTTGCAAAAGCTTATATCAACATGTTATTGAAAAATACGGTGCACGTAGCACTCGGAAATTGATCTCTGGATGAGAACGGAAGGATCCAGTCAGAAGTACCTCCATGAATTCGAAGGATCCCATCGTCCACTGGCTACCTCTTGCTACTCCAACCTGGCTACGAATCTCTCAGTCCTCTTATATGACTCCCCTCTCGATCATTTATCACAGATCATCAACTTCTCCTCCAACCCTAACTTCAATTCCATCTTCATCACCCAACAATTCCCTTCAAATTGACATCGCTCGTCCTTTGCCATAAAAGGCTTCGTCAAGTTCCATCAATATTGTCATTCACTCCAGTTGTTATCCCGCAGTACTCAGCCTCATTCCCAACTCGTGCTCTGTCATGGCTTGTCTTACTGGGACCAGGACCAGGGCCAGGGCTAGGGCTAGGTGACTGTCTTTCGCCTACCCCTTTATGGATCGCCCGCAGCGCAGCCATGTACTCCTTGGGCTCACACCCCCAACTCCCTCGGTACGCTGCCGTCAAGTGCTTGCTCCGAGCAGCGAAATTGTCTCCCCGCCGGGCTGTCTGCGCGAGACCCGTCACGTACGCCGCTACCGCATATGGCTTTGTGTTGTACGGCGCAGGGAGGTAGTCTCGCGCATTAACGGCGACGATTGTGCTGTAATCGAACTCTTTGCCAACTCCATCAGCCTGGGCAAACACCACCTCCGCACTTGCCGCATGAACAGCAGCCGTAACGCTGATCCCTTGCTTTTTACAGGCCGCAACGAGAGCCTCTGTCGACTTGGCCGTGAACTGCAGGCTTGGCAACGCGAGAAGGAAGGCTGTGTGCTGGAGTCGCCCTTATAGCGCAGTCCTGCGGATGTGAAAAAAGCGACTTGGTTCCGTTTCCCAGCTGTGGCTGCGATTGCTTCCAGGGCGGGCGTGGCGGCGGTATTCGGAGGGCAGGAGAATGCGTCTTCGAGGCTGGGCGACAGCTTGGTACTCGGTTTTCTCCCCATTTTGTGGGGCGTTGGTGCTGGAGCCAACAAGCTCAAACAACCGATCCAGCACCATGCAAGTCCCCAGCGCATCGATCCGCCAGTGCTGGGAGTGAAAGATGATCTCGGACGAGCCCGGGAGGTAAACTAGGCAGGGCAGATCCCGCAGAGCCAAAGTGGGCACGATTTCACTTGCAGGACGACCTGTATCATCAACGATGAACGTCTCCGAGGCCCAGCCATCAATCCTTTTAGCAGAAGCGCTGGCGCGGTACTCCTTTCTCGGCTGCCCATCCTTGTCCTGAGCGATGACAACGCGGAGCCCGGGATAGTCAGCCCCTAGAGCACTCCAAGCATTATAGAGCAGCTTCTCTCTTTCACCAAGCGCAGCATTCAAGTTTGCGTTGTTCTTCCCTTCGAATTGGAGCTTGCAAATGCAGTAGACAGCAGTATACTCCTTGCCCAGGTGCCTGAATGCCTGAGAGAGATTGTAGAATACTTTCTCCGCGCCATCGAGCTCATCGACCCAATGGCCGGGCGACGTCTCTGCCCAGGTCATTTCGCCACTGAACGCCAGACAGTTTATGGGATTGATTGGTTTGTGTGGTGAGAGAGGAAGCAGAGAATGAAGATGAAGCCTTCAAAAGTGGCTATTAATCATGGACGACTCGGTCTCTTGCGCGGGAATAGTAAAACTCCGGTCCTTCAATAGGTATTAGGGCTAGGGACGGCCTGCTTTTCCAGATTTTTGCCGGGCAGGCGAAGTTCGATGCGTGCCATCGCGCGCACTTGCTTGGTGAGCTGGTGAAGGTTCCGCCCAAGGGCCTTGTGCAGTTCCGGAAAGGCTAACAACGTATGTTAACATTAAGGAGAGGGAAAAGGTGGCTCTGGAGTTCGCGGACGGGAGTCCAGCTGAAGCTGACCTCGATGTTGGTGCGTACTTTGCCTCCTGGTGAGTGCGGTACGGAGTTTCTAAGGTCTCGGTCTCTTGCTCACACGAACAGCAATCAGCTCCGACTGCGTCAAATCACGCATGCGCCAGGCCTTGTCTGGACCCGAGAACTCCGTCCCATACGCGCACTACACGCACAAGGTCGCCTTCCGTCCGCGGATTTATCGACATGGACGCCGTGGCGTCCGTGGACGATCCGGCCGAGTAGCCGGTCGAGGAGATGAGCGTGGGTGGTGACGCCCATGGCTGCCGCGACAGCCCTTGCGGACTGGAACCGCACCGTGCGCGCACTTGTTGACCTTCTACCTTCCCAGAGGACTTCACCAAGGGGGCTAGGCTATCTTCGACACGTACGATTATCGCGCGCCGAGTTATGCGCGTGGGCGCGTGTGTCTGGCTGGTGATGTGGCGCACGCTTCGAGTCCGCATCATGGCGCTGGTGCGGGATTCGGGGGGGGGGGGCGCGTTGGCGCTTGATACGGCGCTGGAGAGGGCCGTGGACTCTATACGTGATTCTGGCGTTGACAAGACTGCCGCGAGCTAGGCGGCGCTGCAAGCTTAGAGTGGTGTGCGGCTGGACCGGACGCAGTGGCTTGTGAAGAGTGCGCGGGAGGCCTGTGATGGGTCTTGGCTGCAGAATGCAATGATGTATACGGTAATGCTGAGTATGGCCGGGCCCGGGTGCAACGCCCGAGCTCTTGCTCTCAGCCTCTCACGGAGGCAGTGAGGTTGTGTTGAGGAAGTTGTGAAGACTACATAGTGCAGCGCAAATTCTGTGCTCCGTGATACCTATGGAATAGCCACAAAACCCTCGGAAGTGGATTTGGGTATATGCCCACGCATCGCTCAAATGGTACAAAAAAGCTTAGCATCATATAAAGAACCCCAATATATCAGCAACCAACCAAAACCCTACACTCAACGCCCCTCTTCCCCAAAACCCCATCTACAAACCCACTGCGCACATCCTGCACATAAACCGGCTGATTCGGCAAGACAACCACCCACTTCTTCCGTCCCACAAGCCTCAACCCCCTCAAGGGCTCCAGAAAAACCGGCAGTTTCTCAACACTCTCACAGAACCACGCACCGCTAAGCTGCAGCGTGAAATCCTGCAGCCCCTTCATGCGCGTGATCGCAGCACACGTCTCAAGCCACTGCGTCCGCCCCGCGGAGAAGTACACCGACTTGACCGGGTCTTTGCTCGGCAGCCAGTGGCCGGGAAACGCCCAGGCCAGCTCGACGGTGCGGATGCTGTCCCAGAGATCCGCGGGGACCGTGGGGCGCAGGTACGTGAGGGACCAGGTGTTGCTGAACTCGAAGGTGTTGAGCGTGTAGATGAGGTGGATGGACTCGGTGTAGATCTGTTTGCTGGTTGTGGGGAGGGCGAGGAGGTGTGTTTTGTTCTGGAGGTGTGGGGAGCGCGAGCCTGAGCCTTCCCTGCCGCCGCTGCTGTCGCTACCGCTGCTGCTGCGGCGGCTGCGGCTGCTGGAGGCAGAACTCGAGGGTGGTAAGCCGCCGCGACAGATATCGCAGGGTTCGGCGTCGGGTTCGAGAGCAGGGCATACGACGTGTCCCATGCGTTTGTCCGAGCGCTGGATTATGTGGATGCGCATGCCGCCCAGGACTGCTTCCCATATCATGACGCGTAGCTCGGGCGAGAGGTTCGAGAGCAGGGCGCTCTGGGGCTGGATGTCCCAGCTTATTCTCGGATCGGTTTCTGGCGCGGTGGAGGTCGATGTGGAGAGGGCGCTTTGTCTGCGGGGGCGGGGGATGGCTGGGGGTTTGTTGTCTGGGTTGGATGCCTGGTTAGTCCTTTTGACGCGATACAGTGAGATCATGGAGAAAGAACATACTTTGGTACCGATGGGCTATCACGTCCTCCCATGAGAACACTCCCTGCTTGATCCTCGCCATGTCTGCTCCTGCTACCTAGTATGGGGGTGGGGTCGATTCTGGGGAATAGGTTGGGGGTGGGGGTAAGGCGCAAACGGTGACGGTGACGGGCAAAATCCGCGTTAGAGGGCCATATTGATGATCTGGTCGCGATCACTCGACAGAAGATAAAGTTTCGAGGGCAGCTGGCAGCCGGAGGACTCGATGTTGAAGTCACGCAAGAGTTGGCGCGAGCTGGCAAAGACGTGGCTGTGAGGGGAGACAAGGGGATCCGTGCCTATCCTGCAGTACCCGGGCCTCTGAGCGCAACTGAAAACACGGGCGGGGCGAGAGAAAGCAAACTTAAGAAAGCACCCATGGCGAAAAAGAAAGCAAGGTGAAGAGTCGGTGAGAATCGAGAAAGGGGCCGGGGATGGACGTGTTTTAAGCTGGAGATAAGAGTCTCTTCCTCCCTCCGTATCGAGGCACACCGTAGATTCACTGATAAGGACCTCTTAGCCTTTGTCGCTGTTTCTCCGCCATGGGTAATCCCTAGTGCTCCTGCGGGGAAATTTAGGCCTCCAACCGGTTTCCTCGCTGCTCCTTCGCCCAACTTTGGAAATCCTAACCTCGGACTACAAAGATTCGAGAACAATAATCCCTATCTTACCCTGAAGCAAGGTACCGGCCGAAATCGGCGACAGGGGTCGTCCCGCTCTGTCCCGACTGATAAGAAGAAGAGAAGATATACAAAGATAGAAGGTGAGCATGTGATATGCAGTATGTACATTCTTGCAGGCAAACAGTACAGCCGAAATCGCAAACGAGTGTATGGAATGAAACGGCAAAGAGTCGCCATCAGATGGATATATAATAAAACCGAACAGCAGCAGCTCAAGAGCGGAATTGCACCAGCATCTATGCAGTAGGCGTGGCACTGGCCTCCGAAGCACTGGTCGCCAAGGTCATGGTCTCCGAACTTGGGTTCTCCATCGCACTGGTTGTCGGCGCAAAGGTCCTCGACCCATTCGTCTGCGAAGTCTGCGAAGTCCTGGTCTGCGTCGCATTGGAACCACCCCCCAGTCCCAAGGTATTCGTCGGACAAGGCGCCTTCAGCCCCTGCGTCAACAACGCCAGCCCAACGGTATCCAACTTGTCGACGGTCTCATCAGGCGGAACAACCCCAACATACGCGTTGAAGTTGTAGATGCCGCAGATACACTCGTCCACGATATCCTTCAGACTCGTATCAGAGAGGACCGTCTTGCCATCCCGAACAGCCGAGAAAGTCTGTTTCCCAACGCCCATTTCAACGGCGAACGCGCTGGCCCCCGCAGGCGCCTCGAAACTCCCCTCTTTCTCACCGGATGTGACCTTGATCGTGGCGGGGGATTTCAGGAGCGCAACAACGAACACCTCGTCCTGCATGATCTCCCACCCGTCAGGGCGGCCGCGGAAGAAGTTTCCGGTGGAGTTGTCGGGGGTCCCGCCCATGGTTGTGTCGGTGTCGTCGCACTCGACGTCTTTTGGCGTCGGTCGGTACCAGTAGATTAGCTTCTCGTCTTGGATGTGCTGGTCCGGTGAGGTCTCGCCTGCTTTGTAGGCGGCGATGAAGGGGCGGGACATTTCGAGCCAGCCGGTGTGAGGCCTGCGCTGTTAGCTTTGCTCATAGTCTGTTATGGAGGGTCTCACATATCCATAACCCATTTCGAGGCGCCGTCGTCTGTGTGTGGTGACGAGAGTGGCCCGATATAGTGCGACTCGCCGTAGTCGTTCCAGGTGACGATTTCGACGAATCGAGGACCGAGCTCGAGGATTTCTCGCCAGCGGTTGTACCAGAGGAGATCACCGGGGAATACCCAGTTCTTGCTGTACGAGACCTCGCCTCCAAAGTGCGTGAAGAACCAGCCGGACGCAGCTATGTCCGTTAGTAGCGATCCTGACAGCTGGAAGGTCAACTTACGCGCAACGTAGGGCTTGTGTCCCAAGGCGTCAAGGTACGCCTCATCACCATGGGCAACAGTCACATTATCCCCGGGCTTGGGCGCCTTGTTGTTACCATCGTTGTCCCAGCCCATCCAATTGAGCGCAGCATCGACATCGCCAAAGTCACCCATGCCAGGATGGTAGTTGGGCGCCCAGAAAATATCCAATCCGGCGCTGGACTTAACCTGCGCGACGTCGATGCCATCCCCAGCAAACGAAGACACAAACACCTTGTTGTCAACGATAAGCTGCGCAGAGTGGTTTGCGTACTGCTTGATCTTGGCTCCGACGGCAGCCGCCTGGTCGACCTTGTACCAGTTGAAGTCGAACGACAGGAAGACTTTCATGTCGTTGCTGGCAGCGGACTCGTAGGCGTAGGCCAGCTGGGTGTCGGTGTACGGGTCCACCCCGATGTTCAGGGCGAAGGCGTCGATGCCGAGGTCTTTGGCTTGCTTCATGTCGGTGTCGTAGTCGGCGGCGCTTTTGCGGTTGCTTGAGATGCCGATCTAGACGGGTTAGAGGTGCCAGCGTCTGAGGGATGTCTTTGTCTTACCATGAAGTGGCAGAAGACGAGTCTATCTGTGGCTTCGTCGGCTCGAGCAACATCCTTGTGGACTCTCGGTACCACTTTCGGCACCTTGAGCTGGGGAAAGGCAGCGGCGGTTGCCACGAGGGCTAGTAGGAGCGTTTTCCACAACATTGTCTAACCTGTCAGTCGGCTTCAGGCTCGGGTCGGGAGCAAGTGCCCACATACCAGTGACAGATTCAGTCGAGGCGATCAAGTGGTGGTTTGAACGAATCCAATCTGGCCAGACAGAGCATCAGCAACACTCAAACAACACCCAGCAAGCAGAAAAGAGTCCGAGAAGATGCTCACCTGTTTGATCTGTCGTCCCAATTCACTGTTTCGATTCTTTCTCTTCAACTCCAAACCACCACCAACCTTCACCTTTTATACCCATCCCACCTCCCTCCAAGACCACCAAGCTCTCTGAATGACCCCATCCAAGCCCAGCCCAAGCAAGCATCACAAGCCGAATCCCATCACGAAACCAGGCAGCCGCGCTTGTAGCCGAAATTCTCGTCCCGCCATGCACCAGGATCCATCGAACCCCAAACCCGGAAGGCCGCCTGCGTCGACATCGACCTCGACCAGTCCAATCCGTTCCCCAGATCCAAGGAGGCTCATGCTCATGCTCAGGGAGACGTCGAGTCAAGCGACGTCGTCAGGCGGCTGGCGCAGGATTCGGTAGCGAGTAATATCAGCGATTGGAGTACACAGGGAGATGGTGAAGATCTGCGTGGGGGATGGGGATGGACCCCTGGCTGATGACGTTGGGGTGGACTGTGGATGGGCATGGGAGGCAGGAGGGAGAATGCGATTGTGTGTCGACTCGGATGTCGGGGATCGCCTTTGGTTAAGTTTGAGTTTGCTCTCTCCGCGTTTCCCCAGACGTTAACGCTGCTGATATCTGGGTGACTACTACTGTTTACTTATTGCTTATGAACATATGGGTAAGGGATCGGATAACTATTCCGTTGGGATCTTACTCATTAAGTTCTTCTCTAAGCACACACACCATCCGTGTCTTAACAGTGACGAAAATGCCGATGCCGACGTCCCCAGTAGCCCCCTGGCAGTATACGCCTCAAACTCAATTCCACTCTGTAAGCAGCTAGGGTCCTATCACCAGACCGTATATCACCCTTGTCCACTTGAGACAGAGACAGGAGTTTCGAGATCTCGGGCCAGGCCTACGCGTCCGTAAGGTATACGATTACGTAGTCCTTGCCTGCTGCGATTCCATAGCCAGTGTTAGTTCTCCATGAGAGTATCGACGTATTACTATCAGATCAAAGCTGCCGTTCCACCATATCATAGGCTACCACACGCAGACAAGCATGCGTAGGCCGGGGGCCGAGTTGACGGATCGAAGCTGCCAGTTCCAGCCATATCATAGCTTACCACGCCGCAGGGAAGCTGCACGCAGATGCGCAGGACCGAGTTGACGGGATCGAAGCTGCCAGCATCCACCTAGTCTGCATCGGCATCCCAAGACAATGGAGATGTCGAGTCATCGAGTGCCGACGCTACTGTGCGCCGCGACGCCTTGGTCGACTGGACTCCGCTTGTGTGTAACGTCGCTGTGCCAGTCAGTTTCAACGTCTGGCTTGGTGCGGGGACGAGTCCATTGCCTACTGTAGCCCAGCCATGTGATGACAGGCGTGCTCTAGCTTGGTTCCGGCTTACTTGGCTCTTCTGGTATGTTCTGGGGTGGGGGAGGGAGATGGAGCGGTGGGGATGCTATGCACATGGACGGTATAGGCAGATCGGTGTCTTGGGGTTTCTTGACCTTACCTAGAAGATAGCTTTCAAGCAGATTAAAGGAGAAGGAATCAAGATCTCATTCTGGATGCCGAGAGAAACGCGTAGCCTGTCATCGAGTTATCCTGCTATGGAATGCGACGATTACGAGATAACCAAGTCCTGTACGGTAGGCCTGGAGCTGCACTGTCCTACACAACCGCAAACGCCGAAACATAGCTGACCGAGCTATCCTCAACAACCTCCCCAATGTCCGAGCTCCGCTCATACCGCGCAAAGTGGAACTTGCCCTTTCCTCCCTCCTGCATCCCCGCAGCCTCAATGGCCGCCATGATGACACCAATGGGGTGGCGCCCACAGACCGTATTCCCTGTCTTCTGAAGAATGTCGGTGAAGCGGTCGGCCTTGCCCGTGGCAATCGCTGCCATGGTCGCAATGTCGAATGAGGAGATGCTCTCGTGGATCAGCGGCTGGTCTCGGCGGATCTTGTCGCGCCGCTTGAGGTGGTGGCCTGCACAGGCGGTCTCGATCCGGTCTTCAATTTCCGTTTTGTCGTCCTCGGGCTGTGGCAGGTCATATGAGGAGAGCGGCAGCTTTGGGCCTGGCACGGGGGCTTGGGGGACGTAGTATGTGTAGCGGAAGCGGAGGCCCCAGTGGCAAAAGTCGGAGCTGATGACAAACGCATTGCTTGGGTCTTCGAGGTATGGAGCCAGTAAGGCGCCAAAGGCGCTTTCCGTTGACTTGGAGGTGTTTCCTACCAGTATCGGCACGAGTGGGGGATACTCTGCGGTCTTTTTGTTAGGGTGTTGGAGTTGCAGGAGGCGGTGGATGTATGGGAGATGGAGCTCGATGCTGTGTTCGTCTTCATCGACTGATCGAGACATGTCTTCGAAGCCGATTGTTGAGCCATTGGGCCTGGTTGCTGTTGTTGCCCGGAGTTTGGCGATAAGCTCCGTATCGAGCGGGAGGGGGTCGTCAGACAGCGGGGTATGGTAGCCGGTCAGCTTGGGGAGGGCCAGCGTCTCAAAATAGTGATGATGCGATGGGCCAAGCACGAAGATACGTTTTCTGCAGAGGCTTTAGAGCGAGCATCCTACGAGAAGACTTGACTCACGCCTTGGAGAGATCCAGGGCCTTGTAGGCGTACGCGGCGCAAGGTCCGGAGTAGCTGTATCCCGCATGGCTGGTTCAGATATTAGTATATGAGCAACAGAATGGGCTGCTGTCTGTACGTACGGGGCAATGATGATTCGCGCGCCAGGTACTGGCAGAGAACCCAGCCCTTCGAGTGTACCTGGCACTCGGTCCAGCCATTGATCGAGCTGGAGTGAGAGGGTCTGGCGGCTGCCTGAATACCAGGAGCCAGCGTGAGATGCAGCCCTGGTGCTCATTCTGTTTACTCTGAAGATATCAAGCTCTGGGATCAGTATACTGGTGTTGTTGGGGGTCGAATCGGCAAGCTGGTGTGTGTTGGGTGATCGCTGAGGGGAGAGCGGGGAAGAGATGGATCATCGTCGTCATAGCACAGTGACAGCCAGGAACCAGACCATCAACCAACTGAAGCCGCGAACTCTGCAGCTCTGCTCTTTTCACATACAAAGCTTGAATGAAGAGGAACTGGCCAATGTCCCTCGAGATCCGTCCCTTTACAAAATAATCTCATTTAACCGTTGATGCTCTAGAACTCCTCAGCGGTTATATATCCCCGCATGACCGGCGCCCGCGAAACTCTGCAGTCTTTGACCAACTCCAGTCAACAAAATCACCAGATCAACCTCGAGCAACTACAGCACGGCAGCTAAAAGAATAATCCGGCTTCCCTGAACTGGATATTGGTTTTGTTATGTATACTGCGATGTCCAAACCACTTAATCCTGAAGTGGAATAGCGCAGAGTCCTGACGCGCGCGCGGATTCTTCTCACGCGACAGCGGGCCAGCTCCAAATCCAATTCCTCACCAGCCTCTCCAAGAGCACTTTAAACCATCCAGCGAAACCTGCTCAACCCCAGCTCAATTGCCTCAACTAGTCAAGCCAATTCCCTCACCACGCCACCATGTCCCTCAAGCGCAAAGCCTCATTCCCAAACATCGCATCTCCGCAATCCCCCCAAACCCCAAGTGCCCGACACTTCACGGGCATGGACGACAGCCCAAAGCACCTGAACTGCCGGACCAGGAAACGCGTCATGAACATCCGTCCCAATGACCAGGCTGTATACGGTGAGTGCGAGTTCCAAGCGACGCGATGCTTACACGGCACGGCATGCTGACAGGAGATATCGCAGACAAAACCCTCCGATGGCTCTTCACAGCCCAGCAGCGCGTCCAGCAGATACCCACCCCGCCGACGGAGCCTGAACACGACGAGGATATGGAATTGGAAGCGGAAGCGGAAGCGGTGCCCCTTCCTGCCCCCGACCATCGCCAGCAATCACTGCTGCAATTCTTTCGTCCCGCCCAGCCCCAGCAGCACCCTCGTCCGTCCTGTCCTTCCACCCCCGTAACCCGGTTATCGGGTGAGCCTGCGCGGGGTGGAGCGGAGAGTGTCTCGCCGGCTGCAAGTGAGGGCGGGACGATGACGCCTTCTCGGTTCGCTGGCTGCAACATGGACGGGGACATGGATATAGACATGGACATGGACGTGGGCGGCGGCGAGCCTACTCAGGGCCCCGGGTGGATGCGATGAGCTTTCCTCTAGCTCGGCAATTCACTTTACGATATACTTGCTTGCTTGCTCTTATACCCTGGTCCGCCAATTGGACCGTGCGTTTTGCTATCTGATTTTGTCTCTTGCTTTCGATACTTGGAGCGTTGCTTTTGAGTCCGACTGCCAGTGATTGCTGGCGATCGTGGTGTTTCTGTCTGCTTTTTTCAGAGCGTTTTCTTTGAGTCATTCACTATACATCTCACAAAGCCATAATCTATACCAACTTTATCTCGCGACGGGACAGGGCTCGGCATACGCCGGATCCATGTTACAACATACAAGCGAATACAGCTGATTAGGGTTCAGAAAGTAAAAGCCAATTGACTGCCATCCGGTAAACATAAAAGTCAATGCCTCTTGTAACAATAATACCTACGTCACTCTCCGAGAACGGGGTCGTGGAAGAACCTACAGTACTCCTATGCAATCCCCAAATCTCGCGGCCACCCGCACAACTCGTCGTGATCATGCCATACGACTATGTAGGGTATGAAGTCAACCAGGCTAGTTTCCATGCAGTAAATGTACAGACAGTCCATCAGTATGTCAGGATACCAAATACCAATTATATCAAGAGCGCAGCTCTTCCGGGGTTCCGACATCACTAGGCAATAGTAAATACCTAGGCACAGACGCACAGTAACATTAAGTACTAAGAAGCCGGAGCCTCGGCCACGGCCGGCCAAAACAAGGACATTATACTCCATAGAGATAACGTCAATTCCTTTGTTGTTACGGAGTATCAATTCCAAATAATAATATCATCACCTGCAGGGTGTACCACCTGACAACCAAACCCCAACGAAGCCCCTGATCCAAACATCCAGATCAAACTATTAGTATCGTCCGCATCTGCATCCGTACTCGTAGACTACTCGACTAGCTCGAAGTCGAACCACGACCACGACCACGACCACGTCGCCCTGTCGATCGCGTCGGCTGGGCCGTGGAAGAGAAGTTACCGTAGAACCTCTAAGATCCGTGCACGAAGGCCGGACCGGATCCGAAAGAGCCGGGCGGATCCTATAACGATAACTGTTATTTATAATTATAGGGGCCAAGGGCCAAGGGCCAAGGCTAAGGCTGGGGCCGGCCAATCAAGCTCTGCGCCTGGAGGGAACGCGGGGAAGGGGAGGAACCTTGCTTGGCCAAGGCTGGACCTCAATCTTGTCTTCAAGTTCAGGGTCTTTATTCTGGGATATATCGACGACTGGTGATTCTGCGTGGTGAAATATGGAAACTGTGTCAAACTCGATCATATTTAGAGCGACGGCTTGTCCGAACAGGCATGATGGTGCGCTGGCTGGTGCCTGGGCCAGGCTCACCCTGATTCAGGGCCCGGCCGCGAAGTGAGACAGTTACGCGAGTGATCGGCCCTCGCAATTAAACCTGATTCAGGGCCAGGGCTGGAATTCAGGGTCCGAGTCCGCGCCCCACTCTCTTGTTATTGTTTTTGAGGCTGGTAATTTACAAGTTTTTGTAAGATGGAAAACAAGTGTCTTCTTGGATATGTATAGATATTCCATATGGTTGTAGTATAGTTAGTCACCGAAGGAAAAGGTATAGAGCGATACAAGAAAATAAACCACCATGAAGGATTAAAAGTAGAAAGGTATCGCTGAGCGCCCCCGTCCATGCCAAAACCGAAGATAACCGATTAGACTGAATATCATATGCCATGGAAACATGAGTCTGAAGTGGAGTGTTTGTAAGAGAAAAGAAAATAATTCAGGGATTGAAGACAAGAAAATCCAAGAATGAGGTATCATGACAGAAAAGAAAAGTATAGGGACCGTCAAGTTATGTAATGTTATAACTGGCAATGTCTGCGCCAAGACCGTCACGGTGTCCTGCCGCGTGGGCGAACACTCGGGTCGGAGCTGTAGACAGGTGCATCATGCCTTCCAGATCGTCTTCAGATCGAATCCTAGATGGCATGTGCATAGAGGTGCGTGAATAGCTCGTATGAATTCGATGACAAGCCGAGGCCAGCCGTAGCGTGGTCACCGAGTTACACATCTCACGCACCAGCAAGTTCTTTGGTCGGACGAAGCCTTTGGCAGGCGAAGCCGTGCTCGCTGGCAGGTCGACTCCACCTGGCTCGACTCTGAGGTGGTCCGACCGTAGTGGGTTGGAGGTTATTTGAATCCGTGCTTCAATTGTGCTATCGGTCGCCCTGTGATCTATCAGGACCGGAATGGCCCGACCTTTGACGGTTGTTGTTCCAAGCAGCCTGGGGCTCCGCGGACTGGGGCACCTTCACTTCGTCCGGTCGGCCAGTCGGGCGGTTGGATGGCAAGAGATTGTTCAGCTCGGCGGCAAGCGAGCAGGCCGTGTACATGCGGAGTTCCCGTTCCTCGCGCTCGTCTTCCTTGAACAGTCGCCTCTGTTCCTCCTTGGGTCGGTTTTCGCGACGCATCTTCCGGATTTCCTGGATGACCCAAGCAAGCACTTCCTCCGGCACACGCGATCGGGGTGCTCCATGCTTGGCTGGGCTCCGAACATATCGTCGAGTGACATCTGTTGCACCGTCGATGGAGAAAGCAATGCAATAAGAGATTTTGCGACCCCATCCTGGGAAATGTCAGCATGTCATTTACCTTATGGGACGTAGGCCACAAACCTTCAGCATAGAGACGGGGCTGATCCCATGCCTCCTCACATGCGTCTACATGAATCCATCGCTTCTGGTGCTCGGAATAGACTTCGGTCCACACATGATCCTCCGAGTTCCACACCCAGCGTACCCGGCCACCAAGTGCTCGGCAGAACATGCTGAAGCAGTTTGCCCATTCACCGACGCGGCCCCGTCGAGTCTGTAATAACTGCCATACATCGGAGTAGCGAGGGAAACGTTCGTAGGCGCCACAAGTAGGTTCTGCGCATCGGTACAACTCGACTCGAGTGGCGCCGCGGGCGGCCTCATCCGGCGTGGGCGGGGCTCTGCCTTGGGCAATTGTAGGTGTCATGCATCGCGAGCAAGGGGGGTTATTGACCCATTGGAAGAAAGACCGCTTGAACCACCTAATGAAACAGTGGTTAGTTGAATCTTTAATCGAAGCTGAATCGTTAGGACGAGGTGGCGAACCTTAATAATGCGCGGATGACACAATCCTGGTAGCCCCATTCAGGCTTTCTCTTGAGACTCCGTGCTTGAGCTTGAATTATCTGGCACTCCTCGTCTGCTTCCGAGTACAGCTTGTCAAGCGGAATCACAGACAGAGCCTCATCCAGAAGACCAGGATTTTCGTACTTCGTTGGCGTTACGGAGAGGACATGTAGAAGATTGCGGAATTTGAATGCGTTTTGGTCTTGCGGGGGGTACGGAACGATTGGGAGATTGCGTAGCGCGGGCGATTGTGATGATGGCTGTGGTTGCGTGTTGTGTGGTGGTAGGGGGGACGCTTGCGAGGGATGGGGCGGTTGCGACCGAAAGGGTGAGGGCGATGGAGATTGTGAGCGAGAAGAGCGCGATTGTTCCATCAGGCGATCGAATCTCTTCCCGCGCATCAGCTGCTCGAACGCGTGGGTGAGCTTGTTAGCATCGTAGGCGTCGGTGGTTGGCGCCCGCCGGCTATGGTGATGCCTTCCATCGGCCATGGTGTAGGGACCAGCAGCTGGCTGTTGAAAGTCGTGTCTCCAGGTTGAGTGTTTAGTAGTGAAGTTAAAGCCGTTGGAAAGTCGTCTGTTGTCGATTCCGGATCAACGAGCGACGCAAATCGACAAAATTGTGAGGGAGTTGGTCGGGCAAGGGTTGTTGGACGTGGATGGGATCAGGGACGGAGCGAGACTTGAGGATACGGTCACACACAGCCCAGCCAGGCGGTCGCTTCCCTTGGCATTAATCAGCGTCTCGTATTGTAACCACCAATACCGCTAGCGACCGACTGCCAAAAATAACCCCAATGCGCGGTCGCTGGACTCGACACAAGGGCGATATCAGGTCGGAACAAGAGCTGGGCGAGCAAGCAGCAAGCACGATCGAGACGAGAGCTGAGGTCGGGAAAGGGCTTCAAAAGAAAGAGAAGAGAGAGGAACAGCTGGAAAAAAGGCGCCTGGAGGAGAGAAATTGCACAGCATCCACGCCAGCAATGAGGGCGAAGCGTCGTCAGCCTGGGGCTCCTAGCCCAATCACAGCCCCGCCACCAGCGCAAGCCGCGTGTGTCCGCCCAAATCGGGTTTAGGGCGCCAAGATTCATGGCAGCATGCTCTCCTGCGCTTCTCTGAGGATCTGCTCGCGAACCACGGGGTTAGTGGGAGAAGTTACATGATCATCTTCGTCCCAAATGTTGGAACCTCAACATCTGTCTCGAGATGCTTGGCGCTGGTGCTCGAGTACGTGGACGCCGGGTGCAATTGCGGCTCCCGTTGTTTGTCTAACTACGGAGGTTTACAACTGTCGCTGGGCCCACTCATGATACGAATAAGCCCCCGTCATATCGAAGACTTGAGCTTGGGCATAAGGCTTGTGCAGCTATGAAAGCCCTCTCCACTGCTGGGGTACGTGTCGATGCAGCCTCACAGCTTATCCGGTCGGAGTCGGATTCCCAGCGCGACGCAAGCTGCTCAACCTAGGACTACGTACGAACATCGTCATTTCCTGCCGAAATGTAGGTAAGGTATCACTCTTGACATGTCGATGCCCGCGTAAGAGACCAGGTCAGCCAGTCTTACGCGGCTCCGATGAACATGTAAACGTCAAAAGTGTCACCAACTCAGCGTCCCAGAGCTCAACGCAGATTTCTCAGCAGCGACGGAGTCGCGTTCATGAGAAGGGTGAAAGTGGTTCGGCACTACTGTCGGAGACAGCGGCGGAAGACCGCAAAATCTCCTAGAACAGTAATAAAGTGCTGGCCGGTGGGTACTTGTTTTTTTTCTACCTGCCTCGGATGACGAATCCCGACCGAGTTTGTGGTTGGGAAGCGCGAAGAGGGCACCGGGATTGCTGCCGGTGTTCTCATGACTCGGAGTAGTGTCCTTGGTGTGGATAGCTTGCTAAGCTATCGGACGGTATAACTATATGTACTCTAGATATCTGCTGAAGCCTTGAAGTTGGAGGTGAATCGCCGAAAAACGAAGAGCGAAGATCATGATCTCAGAGCATCCGGTGGTGACATGGGGTCCTGCAGAAGTCCACGAGTCCACGAGTCACGACAGCATTGGAATCACACAGTAATGCTCCTGTGTACTGAGGTACTGGTGAGAGGCCTCAACATTATTCAACTTTCAGAAGAACACGCGGCACATACAATCGATGCCCCATCCGCCCGCATCCCCACCGGACGGTTTGGATTTTCTTCTGCGAGAAGACTATGCAGACGCTGTGCTCTGTACGATGTATGAATTACAATACATACATGGAGCGCTGAATCCGACTTCCGAGATACAGGGGATCGCCACAATTCTGGCTTGGATCAAGGCACATTTGCAGCCCTTGATTACTTCAAAGTGATGTCGGTGCTCGCAGTCTGACAAGAATGATGTGGCGGAGACGCGCAAGCGTCCGTCTTGGCATTGGACAAGATCTGGCGCTAAACCCCTTGCGGTGGCGTCACGGGACCGGGGGCTGAATGGACCCTGGATCTCAGGGCCAGACCGCGATCATCACCACTTTCGCAGGCTTTCTATTATTGAACTTTCAGTCTCTGTATACCATTATTGATTGAATGGAAGACTTCAGGTCGAGGTCTAGCTTTGATCATGATGATTCCATCTCCCAGCCAACCGCTTCGTTCATGCCGATATTTGCTGCTGGTTGAATGGAACTCCGCGCCGGGCTCGGTGCCAGCCTCGAGTCAAAGACGCAGCTCGCCTGACGACATCATCACCACGTTCTTCATCCTGGAATCCTCGATTGAGGATTAGCTTCATTCTTTGTGCGCCCGAACTGTGTCTAGATTAAGTACTCCGTAGACTTCGATCAATGCGGATGTCAGATTTGCCGCTTGTGTCTCACCAAACAACATGTCTATAACAAGGGTCTGGGTTCACTGCAGCACACTGACTCTGTACCCTGTTTCAGGCGAAGATACCCTGGGTTCGTTGGAAGTTACCCCTGGCTCCATCGCCCTTGGACCCTCGAAATCTTCATGATTTCCCCAGGCTCTGGAACGGTCCACGCCTTCAATTTGCTGCATGCCATCGCCGGCATTTACGATTGACTATCTACGGAGTACTTCTTCGGAGAACCTGCGTATTATCCCTTTGCAACAGTGCTCTGCATTTGAATGTGAAGCCATCTGCGCTGCCGCTCGGTGGCTACTTGGTGTTGAAGGTCCGCTCGACTTTGTGAGTAGCCGACTGTCTAATCACCTCGGGCCTTGATCTGCTTGGCATCTCCAAGATTGTAAGTACGTCTACCGGTCACTTCGCTGAGTCTACCGACCAAAGTAGTTTCATCGCTCTGGTCTAAGTTTCTTCTGTAGGCAATAGCGAAATCAAGCCGGACCCTTTCGGCTTCAAAGTCAAACAAGGTCTTACGCCGTAGATTTGGCTCAAGCACGGTCATGTTGTCAAGAGATTCAAGGGAGTTTCGAGTTTCACTTTCGACCGCCCTTCTACTTCCATCCCTTGCCTCGGGACACTCAATAGACCGTTAACCAGAAAGCACTAAGCTCGCTTAGAGAAGTCGAGTCGGGTATAGTCATAAACCGCGTTTTTGTGCTATGGGCATAGATTTATTTAACACCGAGTAATGTAACAACCAAGCTCTTGCTGGTAGACAGTTCAGCCTTACGACTCTATACTAAAAATTCCCCGAGGGTCATCACTGGCTCAATAGTGATAGTTCATATTGAAACGGCATGTGCGACTGCGGACGCACCCGCTGGTAGCTTCTCGAGTCTTCGGAGATTTTGGACAAAGAAGTCCAACAAGGTATCGACGATTTCCTGACACTTGATTTGATCGTTTATCCTTACTTGCCTGGTTGGAGTGGGATAATAGAAGCTAGTCCTTTGACTGGCGCGCGGAAATATATAATTGGACGGGTGAGCTGATCAGTCGAACCTTGGATGTAAATACATAGTTCACTCCTCTTTGCACAGGCAATCTGAATGTGACAACTAATTTGGAAATATCGGCTGACTGAATACACACTGGCAGGACTGTAGGACATGTTTAAAAGATATATCTGCATCATATAGCCAATCCCAAGTTGTGCTGCTGATGCTTAGAATCGAGACACTTGCATTGGGCGGGCCATTTGAAAGCGGGAAGTGCTCTGATTGGCGAATGGGCAGCGCGTTCAACCACAACGCCAAAAGACACGATCTGCCATCCATCAACTTCAATGCAGAGTCAGGCTACTTTCACCTCTCCCGCTTTTTCAGTCTGACCTGTTTGTTTTGTCCCCCCTGTCGCTTTGGCGCGTGTCCTTCTGCTCTTGCACCACCACTCGGCGCCTGGAATCTTCCGACGACACCTTACCCGACTCTTCTTGGAGCTCCGACAACTCCTCCCAACCTAATCACCGCACCCACCACTATCGAGTTAATCACTTGAGCCCATAATCATCTATACGGATTGACCTAAGCCCATCTGCCCTCGTCGATCGGGGGCCCTGTCCTCACCATGAAGGCCAATCCGTTGCTCATCTCCTGGCACAACGACAATGCCCCCATCTACTCAGTTCATTTCGACCCCAACGGCAAGGGTCGCCTAGCTACGGCTGGAAAGTATGTTTTCAAGCTCCATCCCTGCACCTTGTTCGTCCGCCGGCTTTAACTAATGATTTTTTTCGCTGTAGCGATAACAATGTCCGCGTGCGTTCGCCCTCCTCCCGATGACCATCCCCACCTTCGATAATTCTGACTTTCAAGACATTATAGCTGTGGAAGGTGGACTCGGTCGGCCAGGAACGAAAGGTGACGTACTTGAGCACCTTGGTGAAACACACACAAGCGGTCAATGTTGTCCGCTTTAGCCCGAAGGGTACGATTTCCGGACCGAACACCCTCCTTGTTCTCTCTAACTCGGTGTAGGTGAAATGCTGGCATCGGCTGGAGATGATGGCAATGTACTTCTGTGGGTGCCATCGGAACTTCAAACACAACCTGGTCTGGGAGAGGATCGGTCAGATGATAAGGAAACATGGCGCGTCAAGCACATGTGTCGGTCGTCGGGTGCGGAGATTTACGACCTCGCCTGGTCGCCAGACGGCGTCTTCATCATCACGGGAAGCATGGATAATATTGCTAGGATCTACAACGCACAAACTGGTGAGTTTCGACTTCGCGGGGAGTGCTTGAGTTGTTACTGATGATGAGTGTCAAAATAGGCCAAATGGTGCGACAGATTGCCGAGCATTCGCACTACGTGCAAGGAGTAGCCTGGGATCCCCTCAACGAGTTTGTTGCGACGCAATCATCCGATCGATCAGTCCACATTTACAGCCTGAAGACGAAGGATGGCCAATTCACCCTAACCTCACATGGAAAATTCCTGAAGATGGATCTGCCGGCGAGACGGATTTCACGTGGTAGCCCTGCTCCTCCCGACCTCTCTATCAGATCTCAACCTGCCACTAGCAACTCGGTGGCTGTTGCCTCTCCTGCTCCTTCAACACCTGGTACACCCATGACTTCGCATCTGCCCATGGACCCGCCGCCAGTGTCGCACAGCCGCCGATCTTCCTTTAGCTCCTCACCGAACATTCGTCGCTCCGCATCGCCAGCGCCATCTCTACCACTGCCTGCTGTCAAGCCTTTAGAAGTGACATCCCCGGGACTGGGCGGGCTGGGGGTCAGAAACGCGAATATTTACGCTAACGAAACGTTTACGTCCTTTTTCCGACGACTAACCTTCACACCAGACGGAAGCCTGTTGCTCACACCGGCGGGTCAATATAAAACGTCGACGATAGTTTCCGCGACAGATCCTACCAAAACGGTTGACGAAATAAGCAATACAGTTTACATTTATACTCGTGCCGGTTTCAACAGACCTCCGATTTCTCATCTTCCTGGCCACAAAAAACCATCAGTTGCAGTGAAATGCTCTCCAGTTCTCTACACTCTTCGGGAGGCCTGTGAGCCTTCCAAGCATATTACCCTGGGTGGCTCGTCTACAGAAGACACATCTGCTTCCGGCACTGATGACAAGAGCAATTCCGCCACTAAACCTTCGGAATCTCCTGCCCCTGGTCAGCTTCCACCTGTTTTCTCTTTACCCTACCGGGTAGTATATGCAGTGGCCACCCAGGACGCCGTTCTGGTGTACGATACCCAGCAACAAGCGCCGTTATGCGTAGTGAGCAATCTTCATTTTGCCACATTCACGGACTTGGCTTGGTAAGTAGTTTCAAGTAACTCCGTAAACTGTTCTGACGATATCTAGGTCCAACGACGGCTTGACGTTGATCATGAGTTCGTCTGATGGGTTTTGCTCTACTCTATCTTTCGCGCAAGGCGAATTAGGACACCCATACACGGCACCGATAATCGCACCGCCAACGACTAGCACAGGGCAAACAACCCTGCATACACCTACGGAACCAACGAAGCCGGTACTGCCTCACAACATTCCGCCCCCACCAGCAAGTCCTGCGCGCTCAAACTCAGTATCCTCTGTTGCAACGCAGCGCGCATCACAACAAGCAGAGTCTGTTGTCAACAACCCCACACCGACCCTCGGATCGGTGCCATTAGTGACTGCAACACACTCTGCCCAGCCTCCAGCTACCTTGCCTCTTACCACACCCCCTGAGACGCCGATGTCCGCTGTTTCCCAGAGCGACGCAAGCAGCACTGTTCTAGGGAAGCGAAGTGAGTCCGAAAAGGAAGAAAGCCAAGGCCCGAACCCAACCGAGCAGGCCCAGCCACCGAAAAAGCGACGCGTGGCACCGACCCTCATATCAGCGGGTACTGGTTCGATGTCAAGCGAGGGCCCTCCTGACACGAATACCGGTGGATAGTTTATCCTCCATAGTCCATTGCCAATCCATCGATGTTACTTTTGATGATTCACGCGGCTTATTTTGCTTTCGGCGGCGTTTACGATACCTTGTTTTTAATGGGAATCTGTGTTATTTGCGCGTTTTGGTAGTTTGCCCAACATCTTATGCAGCGCATAGTTTGTCAGACAGGCTTTATCGTATTTATCGGCTGGCTTTGGTATGGCCATTTACTTCCTTGCTATTCAGCAAGTATGGGACCAGAATGTTAGTGTATTACGGGGAACTCAAGACCAGCTTATGGGCCCGTCATGGACTACTCACTATGTAGAGTCAATGTCATGAGCATAAGTGTCATCAACTAAGCACATAACTAGGTTGTTATGGCAGCCTGACCCAGCCAGGATGAATAAAATGTATGCTAGATATATAGCCCTTAGAACTCCAACTCCTCAACCTCCATCCCACAATCTACGCACTTCTTCGTCCCGATCCCCGTCTCCGGATCCATAATCGATCTCCCCCACTGATGCACATGCTTCCCCCGCCCCCCAATCTCATCGCCGAAATTCCCGCCCGCTGCCCCTTGTCGATTCCGCCGATACGCTTCCACCCGCGTCCGCTTCTTCAGATCATCCAGTTTCGTTTTGAACTTCACCTCTCGCCGCCGCTTCTTGTCGTTCTCGCGCTTCTCGAACTCGGCGTCCAGCGCCTCGGGGGACCCCCATTTCTTATCCGAGAACGCGTACTCTTCAACCTGGTACCGCAGAAAGAGCATCATGTTGTTCCAGGTTGATTTGTGCGGGTTCGGGCGTTCGATATGCGGGAGGAGTTCGGTGTCGCGGAGTTCGGCTGTACCAAAATAAATCAGCAAGACGATCCACAATCGGCGAGGATACGCCTAAAGAAAGAAGTACGGCAACTCACGATCCGTCAGCAAATAATCCTCCTTCGCCTCCGTCTTCGTCAGCAAACTATACCGCTCCGGAAACTTCTCCTTGCACGCATGGCAAACCCGACACTGCAATTCCTCCGCCCACCGCCAATCGATCTCGAGATTCCCGCACTCCCGGCAAACCTTCTGCTCGCTCTTCTCATCCAGCACGCTGATCCCCGGCTCGAACGGGCCCGCGCGGTCCCGCCGCAGCGACTTCAATAGTTGCTGCCGCTCCCACTCCTTCTGCGTCATATTGGCCGGTTTCTCGTCCCTCCCGTCTTTCACATGGAGCGCCTTGTTGAAGGGGTCGTCTTCCGCCGCTAGAAACCCGCCTTTCGTGTCGGTCATCTTGCTGAAGTCGTACTCGACGAACTTGGTGAAGTTGCGCGCGGGCTTGATGGCGTTGAGCGGGCGCTCGGCGGCATTGTTGGCATCGCGGAGTGTAGATGGTGTTTCGGAGGTGAGGGCCGAGTAGCTGCGTTTTACGCCTTTTGGTGGTTGCGCTGCTGCGGCGCGCTGCTCGGCTTCGCGTTGCTCGCGGATGGCTTTGGCTTTCATGCGGTTTATTTCCTGTTCGTTAGGTCGTGTTAGACGGGTCTTTATGAGGCGGTGGCGCTGCGGAGTTGAATGGGACGTACGATCCTCTTCCGTTGCTCGGGGGTGAGTTCTCCGCGGGCTGGAGTGCCGGTAGATGGCGGCGGGGTTGAGCGCGTGTCGGATGCCATGGTGTCCTTTTATTTGAGGTATACTGGTTGTGGAAGGAAGATGGAGGGTGGTGAGGCGTTGGAGAATGCCATTGCGGGTCATGGTTCGATATCGATAAGCAGCTAATCACGTGGAGATAAGTGCCGATAAGTTGGTCGCCGGTGGGTCTGAGCCTTAATGCCTGGGCTTCATGCTCTCCTTCCGGGTTCTTTCTCTCGGGGTATATGCGAGAAGCGCTTTTATATCCCATATATTGCAGTTGTTTCCATTTCTCATATAACATTACTCTTTTCGTGATCCGATTTATAGCGCACAATAAATCTCCTTATCCTCTACCCTCTCTGGCAAGTTCTTGAATCTTGGCAGCACCACTTTGTCTTCAATGGCGCCGACTAGATGTATGCTGCCGCAGAGAACACCAAGTTTAGGTATGTTTTCGAGATGATTTCACACCCGGAATGTCGTCATCTATCCCGTTAATGGACACAATCATTGAAGTTGTTGTTCAGATGAATTTTCGCCAGAATCGGGTATTGACTTGGACCGCTGCTCATTACCAGTATACCCACGGCCGACGGACGTTAGAGCAAGGTACGAAGTACCAAGTGAGGGACTTTCCGACTAGAATCTATTTTGCCTGGTGTCAAATTGGCCGGAGCTTGACCGAAAAGACGTGGAATGCAGCTATTGGCCGCTTCGACGCCTCAGCCTCGTCAGCGGTAATGATCTCGATTCAGCCTTGCGTGAGAAACCAAAGGCCCGATGGGAATCATTTCTCCCCACAGAACGACAGCTCGATGTCCTAAGTGTCATCCACGATGGAGCCGTTGAGCGCACTCAGCATCGCAACTGCTGTGATTCAACTCGTGGAATTTGCGACCAAGCTCGTTTCCAAAGGCAAAGAACTGTACACGAGTGAGAATGGGGTTCTGGCGGACCATGCGGAGAAGGCTGCAATCTCGTCAAGGCTGAACAGTTTATCCAAAGGGCTGCTCCTTTCAATAAACGGCATTGCAACGTCACAAAAATTATCACCGGCTCAGGAGGGCCTACGACAGGCTGCGGAGGAGACTCATGCCTTTGCAGAAGATTTACTAGCGACACTCGATCGGCTCAAAGTCGATACCTCGAAGCGAAAATGGGCGAGCTTCCGTCAGGCGCTGAAGAGTGTCTGGACCAAGGACCAGTTGGAGGGAAGAATGGCCATGCTCGATCGCCTTGGTCGGGTAGTCGTTATCCATCTTCTAATGATTCTCAAGTAAGAACGGTATTATCTCTGCGCTTCTCAACAGCCTAGGCTGAACTGGTATTAGCGAGGGACAGATCAAGGCTGTTGCTACGATGGATGATGCTCTTCGAAGCATGGAAGACAGAATCCAGAACACCCTCCTGCAGCATAGAGGTGGAATCGAAGAAACAATTGACCGGCTGCAGCAAAGATTAGACAGTACGGCCATTCAAACCACAACCCAGACAAAGGATACCGGTGAAGAGAAGCGAGCAAAGTTACTCGAAGAATGGGCACACGATCACAGAGATGTGCTTTCGCAAATTACCCAGACAATCCAACGAAGCCAATTGGATCAACACCAAAAATCCTTCAAAAAGATGTTCATCAAGAGCTTGAGTCTTCCGAAAATGTATGACCGGCAGAACATGATATACGACAACCACGATTCTACGCTAGGCTGGGTCTTCCAGACATCCACAGAAATGTCGCGAACATGGTATGACCTTCCCAGATGGCTTCGTGAGCCCAATGGTCTATACTGGGTATCAGGCAAGGCTGGGTCTGGGAAATCCACCTTCATGAAGTGGCTTCTTCATGAGCCGCGCACAGAGGAAGCTCTTAGAGCATGGGCCGGAGACAGGCAGCTTCTGGTTGCTTCGCACTTCTTTTGGAGCTCGGGTACACAGGACCAAAAATCAATGTCTGGCATGCTCCGTGGCCTTTTGCATGAGCTGTTGATTCAGTCGGCAGATACGATATGGGAGCTTTCGCCTTCCAGATGGCGGGCTTGGGATCTCGATCTGGGGTACTTCCCTGCATGGTCTGACGACGAACTATTAAGCACTTTACAAAACCTCCTCTGTCGCCACCGCCATGATTATAGGATATGCCTGTTTATCGACGGACTGGATGAGCTTGCTGGAGACGATGATCAGCGCGAGAACGCGTTTCGCCTTCTACATGCTTCATCCCAAGAGCCTCATCTTAAAATTTGCGTCTCTAGCCGCCCGTGGGAGCTATTCAAAGACAATTTTTCATCCTACCCTCATCTCCGCCTGGAGGAGTTAACAAGTCCGGATATCCAGCGATATATCAACAAAAAACTACAAGCAAATGAGAGGTTTCTAGTTCTCCGGCAACAGGATGCACCACTCTGCACTCAACTGGTGCGAGAGATTATTGAAAGAGCAAAGGGCGTTTGGCTTTGGGTCGTTCTAGTCACCCGTTCACTCTTGCGAGGCCTGAAAAACCATGATACAGTTGCAGACCTATTGAACCGCTTAAGAGCCGTGCCTGAGGAATTGGAGGTGTACTTTCTTCAGATGTTCTATAATATCGAGCCGTTCTACCGCCCCAAAGCCCTCAAGCTTCTCAAAATGGCTTTGAATTTCCCCGGAACTATTTCGTTGATGACGTACTCCTTTGTAGACGAGAACGACCAGGCGTCGCCGACCACAGCACTTGGGCTATGGACGGATGAGGGTTTGAATCAGCGGCTCCAAAGGGCCGAGAGCAGAGTCAACGTCTTTTGCTTGGATCTACTCCAAGCCTCGTACTAGGGTCCGGAGAGACACATTCTTTTGCGTCAAACTGTGGACTTTCTCCATCGCACGGCCCGGGACTTCCTTCTTGAAAGTAGGACCCAAGATCTTCTGCAGATGCATTCCGTAGCAGGATTCAATGTCAGCCTCTTTGTCTGCCGAGCACTTGTGTCTCAGATGGAAATGGTGGCGCAACCACCTCGGTGGCTCATCGCTGAGTTTATGGAGCATGCGGAGGAGCTCGAACAGGAATCCACGGAGGAGCTTCTCCCTCTGTTGGACCGTCTGGCTGAAGTTCTTGACAGTCGGCGAGGTTTGACGTGGTACGACAACGATATACCACCAGGTCCAGTGCTGGGATGGAATTGCAGCTCTCAAGGATTGCTTCCTTTAGCCATTCAGTATGGACTCAATCGATACGCAAAGGCCTATTTGGCATCAGACCCCAGCCTCATCATCCGTCACAGAGACCGACCGCTGCTCGACTACGCCTTGCGTCGGAGGATCTATTCGCCGCTAACAGCGCAGGCTGAGCAGATCGACTATCAAGTTGGTGGTCCAGGTGACCAACCAGACCCCGAGCTGGTCTCTTTTATTCTACAGCACGGCGGCAACCCCAACGAGGCGTACGGCGACTCTACCGTATGGAAGCTTTTTCTTGAGTTCCTCAGCAGCTTCGCCAAGGACCTTAAGGAGCTCGACGATAGTGGCAGGCAGGTCTGGATAGGAACGATAGAGCTGCTCATTAGATATGGGGCCGCCCGTGTCCTGGAACGGTACACTGTGATTCCAAAACAGCCCTCCAGCAGAATCCACGTCAAGCTTTCCCACCGAGAGGTGATTGCTCGGGATACGCTGGCCGCGGTGTTTGGAGAGGACGAGGCTGACAGACTCGATTCGCTGGCTTGGAGGCTGAATGCTAGTGGGCAGACGCTCTTCGTGAACTCGGTCCGAACTGTGCGGAATCTTTTGCGGTGGGCTATGTGAGCATAGGCAGACAAGAACCCGCCCAAATATACTCCAGAGCCCTCTTTGGCGAGATTAGATCCGATGGAAAGATACCAAGTCGAATTGTTCCAGATGGGCTCGACTAGACCTAGGTCAGGGGGGAAACCAACTCCCAAGCCGATCGTCACCCCTGCAGTAGCCTACGGAATCTATCTTTAGGACCGACTGACTTCCTTTCGAGCGATTCGAAAATCATTGGCGATTGGAAAGCCAGGGAGTGACAAGGACCCTATTGTTGACATCAGACTGATGCGGGGATGACACCCACACAGATCGGGACCAGATCCACGATCACGAACCCTAAACGACCACCATCGACTGGACAATCGCGATCGAGCTATATCCACCCGCACACTGTATACGCCATCCCTGCGACAATCAACCAGGAATAAGCATTGACATCAGCATCTCGCCATTTGAGCTCATCGTCGCGACATTGACCTCACAAACAGACGATCCGACGGGTATAAGTACGTTCGAAAACCCGGCCTCAGTCTTCAGAATCATCAAGCACATTTCCACGCTCACAAACTACACTACCTCCACCAAACCAACCAAACAACCTTTCTCCCTTCACATCAAACACAACCGCCAAAATGGTCCAAGGCTCCACAGCAACCGGCGAGAAGTACAAGCCTACCGGTACAGCTCCCATCTCCCTTCTTCCTTTCCCCCAACCTCAGCTTTCCCATACTAACGTCGTACTCGGACAGAACACAAGGGCCGCCGCGAAGACAACCAGCCCGACAAGCGCACGCAGCAGAACCAGTTCGCGTACGGCAAGGTCGACCCCCATGAGGCTGGCCACGAGGGCGGCAAGGTCGGCGGCCATGCTGGCGGCGTCGCCAGCGGGAAGGGTAGTGCGAGCAAGTATAACCAGCAGGGCCAGGAGCAGCTGGAGGACGAGGAGCCGGAGGAGTAAGGCGTGATGTATTATATGACACTTCATGTGACGATGCCTTGAGGGCATTTTTATGATGAATATTTTGGAATGAAATGATGTATTTAGTGTACGAACAAGACAGCTCTGGCTAGTTATATTCTCTTCTGGTTCTTCGTATGGTTATGTCTTGAACTCCACTGAATTTTGTATCTACAACATACCTTCGCCTACCAAGAAGCCAAGGCAGCTATAGTCATTTTCACTGAGGTGACCGGAGGAGCAGGCAGGCTCAGCACGTGCACTCGTGGACATGCACTGAGGTCTCGTGATCCCCAGCCAAATGTTCCCCTCAACAACTCCGCCTTCCTGGATACCTCATTCTCATCATCGTGTATCCTTGCGCATACTTTCTCGGCCCATTCTTTGCCATCCTATCTGGTCAATTCTCCAGGAGATGCGGAAGATGGACTGGACTCATCTCAGCAATACTCGTATGTGACGCACAGGGTGGATCAGTGAGGAGTCGCTTGTGTTTCTCAGTGGTCAGCTAGGTAGCTGAGGTCTTTCAGGAATCAGAGGAATCGGTACTACTCGAGGGTCTCTCAGCTTCCGCCATCAGTTGTCTGTTTGCCCATCAGCCGAAACGGCACTTGGACGACGAATGACCCAGCGACAAAGACAGAATCCAACGAGAGACAACAATGATGAGTCCTAAGCCTCGAGTGCGGGAAGGATTGTACTCCGCTACCTAAATACCCACGGAAGACTGAATTTAAGCGGCGCCCACAGCACTTTCCAGCGTCCCACTCTACCTCACCCAGCTGGCGCATATGCTGTCGTGGAAAATTCATCAAGGAACCGCTCGCTGGGCGAAGCACTACACCAGCACTGCGAGCACTCTCCTATACGACCAGTTCACAGGGTGTCTTCCAGTGCCGTGGGAGAGCCGCTGAAGGTGAAGGAGCCCGAGCTGCTCGGACTTGTTCCGTCAGCGCGAAACGACCCCAGGACTACTTTGTTCCTGGTAAAAGTGAGGATTCCTAGCGTCGTTACTTCAATCGGCCTTGTTCAACAAGAAGGGGAAGGGGAACGGGCAGGGATGTGCAGAGATGGCGGGGCGACTTCCAAGCCATCCGACGAAGTCTTCGAATCGATTAGGTGTACCGTGTGCGACGTCGCCTCTCTCTCCTGCGCTTCTTGGGCTGAAGCACGACGCACCTGGGCGAAAACAAACCAGCGACTGCCTACTTCGCCGCCAATCTTGTTGTCAACTGTCAGCATATCCTGAGCGATCGGGCATCCACGGTTCGGGCTCCAGCCGTGGCATCGTGCAAGTGGATTTCGGAGGATTGTACGGAGTACTTAAGGCAGTATCTCCATTGCTCCAGCTTCCACCGTCGGCAATCTAGAGATGGCCGGATGTGACGGGACGGTATCGATTCGAAGCAAAGTTCCTGTGGATTTATTATCTCCTACCCAGTCTCGACGTGGATTACCGATTTGAAGAACGTGCCAAGGAGATTGAGAAGATTGTTTGTAAAGGGAAAACACCTATGAGCAGAATAGACCAAATTGGGTATGGGTTCGTGCTCAGGCAGTTTATCGGTGGCGGTGATATTATTGTCAGTCTGGCGAGCACGTTATGGGTCGACGATGGGGACGAAAGAGCCGGCACTTTTGGACGGATATACAGGTGAGTGAGGCGTTGGATGGAACTGGAGTTTGTGTTTTGAGCTAGAGGCAAAGCATGACGGTCTCAGCGGCCTATATAACGTTTTCTCGGAGTAGGGCAATTCACTGACCAAGCCAATTAGGGTCACGACGGCGGACCTCGATATGTAGCAGCGGCCTTATACATTGTCGGTGGTGTCGATGAGGATGAACGTTCACTTACCCACGCAGCCTGTCTTTCCAAATCAGCCGCGTAACGGCCGAGTCCTCTCGGGGTTCGCAAACTCGCCCTAAAGCATAGGAAAGGTATGTCCGCAGGCGATGCATGAAGCGGCGTTCTGAGACCGAGAACATGATTGAGCTGCTGGGACACCGTGATATGGATAAAAGACGGCCGAGATGTCTAGGACTATGCCGCGAACGAGTGCGATTCTGCTACCGAGGGCTCGGCCTTTGCGAGACTTAGGAGGCAACCTCGGTGCAGTCACCTGCAGTCACCTGTAGTGCCACCATGCAGTTGCCCGGCGTCTTCAACAGCTTGCGTTAGTCAGGCCGGGCTGCGGGCGCTGCAAGGGTCGCGTATCGGGCCCGATGCCCTTGCTTCGACTCCTTCGAGTCCCACTGCAGCCATCGTTCCACTGCAGCCGTCCGACCACGTTGTGTCGTCTGTCGCGCGTGGCGACTGTCTCAGCTCCGAGCGTGGGGCCCGATACGAGTGCCACCGGGTCAGGGATGCCGTGGTGTGGCTTGTCGATAGAAGAGGGATCCTCGCGTGCGGGTTCGATTGGCATCGAGAGAAAGCAGGGTCTGGCATGTCATCTTAACCGAGGGATGTAAGCAGGCGTGTATGTGGTGCTACACTGAGAATGATGCTGACATTTAGCACCTAGTTAGTATATGATAACTTCCATCTAGTCTGGGATTCGATCGGAAATGAGTCTGAAATGGACCAGACGTCCGGTCTCCGTCGCGGACATTTCCAATCCAGTCGGGCAAGCACACACGTGCCCTCTTTCGCAGGACGACGAGTCAAGCACTGTCAAGAGAAGTCAAGGCAAGTCAAGGCTGGTCAAGCGTCAGTCAAGGCTGCTCGCAATCGAGACCCCGGCCAGCCAATGCGAATGAACGGCGGCGGCCCCACCACGTGCGGAGGGGCGGCCGGGGCATTGGCCGCCACCGGAACCTTAAGGAGCCCTAAGCGGCCTGCCCAGACTATGCCAAGCGCTAAGCCATGGCTCCTGCCCAGATATGCTTTCGGGCTGGGCGAATCGCAGCCGTGGCAGGCCAAACGTGCTGCAGTGACAGATGTCGCGCAGTCTTCTGGAAGGAGGGCCCGGAGACGCCGTCCAGCTCATGCTGCTGTCAGGCCGGTCTCACCAGCGCTCTGCAACATCCCATCCACACGTGGGCGTCCTCGATGCCAGGTTTAAAAGCTCAACCCCTCCTGTTTCTGTCCGACTTTCATCCTGGTCAGACAAGACAAGAAACTGAAATCCAGCCTCAAAGATCAGAGAGTTCACCGTCAAGATGGTGCTCCACGAGTACACCTACATCTTCGCCATCGGCACCATCTTTGCCATGCTCGATGCATACAACAACGGTGCCAGTACGTCTTCCTACCCCACTATCCCTTGATTCCCTCAATTCCATTCTAACAGCAGCAGACGATGTCGCCAACTCCTGGGCCACCAGTGTTTCCTCCCGCTCCATCTCCTACCGTCAAGCCATGGTCTTCGGCACCATCTTCGAGTTCCTGGGCGCCGTGACCGTCGGGGCCCGCACCGCCGACACAATCAAGAACGGCATCATCCCCCCCGAGGCATTTGAAGGCAATGCCGGTGTTCAGATGCTGGCCTTTGCCTGCGCCCTCGCCGCCGCTTCATCCTGGGTGATGTGGTGTACCCGTCACTCCACCCACGTCTCGTCCACCTACTCGCTTGTCTCGGCCATCGCTGGTGTTGGCGTTGCTACGGCCGGTGCATCCTCCGTGCAATGGGGCTGGAACAAGGGCAGCGGACTCGGCGCCATCTTCGCTGGCCTTGGAATGGCACCCGCTATCTCGGGCTGCTTCGGCGCAATCATCTTCCTGCTGATCAAATTCGTCGTGCACGTGCGCTCCAACCCAGTCCCCTGGTCCGTCTGGACAGCCCCTTTCTTCTTCCTCATCGCCGGCACAATCTGCTGCCTGTCCATCGTGTACAAGGGCTCGCCCAACCTTGGCCTCTCCAAGAAACCCACCGGCTGGATCGTCGGCGTGACGCTCGGAACCGGCGGCGCCGTCTGCCTTCTTTCAGCGCTGTTCTTCGTTCCCTTCGCCCACGCCCGCGTCATAAAGAAAGACCACACCCTCAAGTGGTGGCAGTTCATCTACGGCCCGCTCCTCTTCTCCCGCCCCGCCCCCGCCGACTCAGCAGGTGAAATCGCGGCAAAGGTCCCCAACTACGCCGTCATGCAAGACGACGACCTGCCCAGCCCCGGCTCCCCCGAAACCCTCGTCGACGAGCCACTCCCACCCGCCGCCAAGTCCGAGAAGAACAACACCTCCGCCTCCGCCGCCGAAGCCCAGCTCGACTACAAGGAGCTCGTCGCCCGGGGCCAAGAGCGCTTCCACGCGAAGCTCCGTCGCGGCCGCGGCCCTCTCGCCTGGGCCATGCGCACGCTCCACGAGAACCCCATGGGCTCCGGCGAGATCTACGAGCTGCACAACATTAAGATCCTGCTTAAGCGCATCCCGGCTATGGTTACGGTTGGTCTGCTGTACGGTCTGCACTACGACATCCACGCCGCGCAGTCCGGTGTCCATGGGACTCCTGAGGGGGCGCGCATGGAGCGCGTATACTCGCACGCGAAGAAGTACCCCAACGAAGTCGAGCACACGTATTCCTTCGTCCAGATTCTGACGGCGTGCACGGCGTCGTTCGCGCACGGCGCCAACGATATCGGTAACTCGGTTGGGCCTTGGGCTGTGCTGTACTCCGCTTGGACAACCGGCAAGGCAAGCGAGAGCAAGGCCGAGGTTCCGGTGTGGCAGCTGGCTGTCCTGGCGATTATGATTTCGATCGGCCTCATTACGTACGGGTACAATATTATGAAGGGTATGTTCTTCTCAATGCACCCCCCTATCCACATAAGAAAGAACGACGCTAACTTGGATGTTTACAGTCATGGGCAACAAAATAACCTACCACTCCCCCTCCCGCGGGTGCTCCATGGAACTCGGCGCCGCCATCACGGTCCTCGTCTTCTCCCAGTACAAGCTTCCCGTCTCAACGTCCATGTGCATCACCGGCGCGACGATCGGCGTCGGTCTGTGCAATGGAACGCTTAAGGCCGTGAACTGGCAACGGGTTGGACTGCTGGGGCTCGGATGGATCATGACGATTCCGATTGCGGGGACGCTGGCGGGGTGTCTTATGGGGTTGATTCTTAATGCGCCGCATTTCGGGTCCTAGTGTTTTTCTTTTCATGTATGTTTAGATTTATGATGGTATGCAGACTGGCTAGGGCTAGTTCTGCTTTGTGCCCTAGGTACGGGGTTTTTATTTGATACCTAGCGACAAAATTTAATGAACGCAGACTATCATGTGGTTAATTCAACCTTGATCTTCATCTATGGTCGAGGTTCGTTTCGTTCTAACCAGTAGGTACCGTTTCTCTTCTTCTGTTTTACGTTTCTGAATTCCCGCCCAGGGCTTCGGCATCCTCCGGTGCGTATTATTTTCAACTTCAGTAGGACTGGAGCATAGGGAAAGATTTGCTACGCTAACTCTGCCTCATTGCCTGTTGGTTCTCTTTACCTTCTGACGGACGCCGTCTTAGCGAGCTTTGGATCAACGGGTCGAGGTTTTTGTAGTAGGTAGGTATAGTATGCGCCAGCGCCTTTACATGAACGTGCGTTAGTACCCGTTTCGGCCGAGTACGATGATCCTAGAGGGTCCTCTCGTCCCTCTACGCAATGCCCATCTGCGATGGACAGATTCCGCCTTGACTTTCGCTACCATCCATCCATCCATAGTAGCCCTAGGCTGTTCCGGACGTCCCGCCTCAGGCTCTGGCGGCCACTCTGCGGTCCTGGGCGCTTTCCCCACGGCTCAACTCGTTAAGACCAAAAGCGCGAAGACCGCGTCGATCTCGCCCTCGCCGCCGTACGGGAGAGGCCCAAAGACAAAGACACGCCGGCAAGCGCATCCGCATCCGCATCCGCATCCGCATCCCGCCCGACGACGTCTCGAGCGCGCTTCCACCTCTTCTCCAGCGCATACTACGACTACTTCTGCGAAGAGGAGACCTTCACCGCGAACGACACGAAGACGCTCACATCCTACGCTGAGGCCGATCGGTACGGGGACGACCTGGCCAGCGGGGAGCTTGTGCTCGAGCCGCATGGGACCCTCACGCTGTGCCCGTTTGAGCTGCGGCGGTATGCGACCGTGAACCTGGTTGCCGTGAACACGGAGGAGAACCAGGAGCTTGAGCCGATGTTCTTTGGGGATGGGTGTATGCGGGTCGCGCTTGATGTGGAGGTGCTGGATGGGGAGTATGCGGATTATGCGAGGGGGCCGAGTTCGAGGGGGCGGTGGGTGGTGTTTTCGGGGATGGTTGATGTTGGTGTATAGTGGGATGTATGGATCTAGATGGGTAGGAGGGGGAGGTGCAGCAATGGGGCAGCGTAGCCCTCCGTGACGCCTCTGCACTAGGGTAGGTAGGGTTGTAGAGAACAGCTCAGCCATAACCTCATGCGTGTGAGATGCTAACGCTGAGCCAGGCATCAGAAGCTACCATATGGTCCACGGGTAGATAAGCTGCTGACAGTACTCCTTCCCCAGGGTCTTTTCTCGAATCCCCCCGTCAGAAGGCTGTGCAAGTGCCCTACCCAGGCTACCACACTTCACATCTACAGTACCCCAATTAATTGGTATGATGTGGTGGTAGTGGTACAGCGACCTCAGTGTCCAGCCGCTCGAAGGCGTACCCGAATGTATGTACCTCGGGCTACCGGCCAGTAAGCCCAATGAGGGCAGTGTACTATACTCAAAGCATGAAGTTCAAGCTCCGATGCCTTAGCAACAAGATCTGTGTCGATAGTCAAATGCAATGGGTTCGGGTTCACGGCGACCGTCTTGAGAGCACAGGGTAGGTACTTTATGCAGCGGATTTCTTTCAGTACGTGCGCGTTTACTACTGAGCCAGCCACCTTATCTATACTTGCATGGGCAGAGTCAGCATCTCGCCCTTCCTCATCTTCTTCACCTTATACTGCACTTCCCCAACACCCTCCCGCCTATCCCTAGGAACCGGAACCTCAACCTCGCCCTCAAACCCAAGACTAACCCTAACCACCCCATCACCCCAAGAAACCCTAACCGCCCTGGCCTCACCCCCAACCCCAACATTAACCACCGCCTCCCCGCTCTCCCCCCAAATCCCAACCCTGGGCTCAAATCTCACACGCCTATACCCGGGAGCTACCGGCCTAACCCCCACAACATCAACAACCGCATCGTAAATCGGCACACAGCTCCACCCATGACAGTCACTCCGCGGCATCGCAGCGCTCTCCGCCCACGTCGTCAAATTCATGTTCACCATATCGCTCCACGGCCGCAGCAAGACATCTCTCAGTCCATCGTATACCCCGACCATGGCAGCGGCTTCGAGAATGTAGAACGAGTGCGCGTAGGAGCACTTGACGTACCCCGAATTCGTGGACGGGTGGAGGGCTTGCCGGAGGAGGGTCATCGCGCGGGAACCGGTGACGGCACCGGAGAGAACGGACAGGACCGCGACGTGCTGGCTTTTTTCGGATATGGGTGAGTCGGGCCCGTCGAGTAGGGCCTCCTGGCCGTTTGAATCCGTGCGCAGGCAGTGCCGGGTTACGGCGTCGTTGACCCTCCTCGCTCTTTCTCGATATTCATCTGCGATTCCGGGTCGTCCCACAAACTCATTCACATCCGCCGCTTTCTGCAGTGCGTATGCGTAGAAAAGGCTATTGTAGCTTGCGATCCCGGTTCTTCGATACGCCGGCGGCACAGCAAGGCCCTTGAAATCCCCTCCCGGCCCGAGAGAAGACCACTCCGCCGTCCAGTCGACAAATGGCCAGACGTCATCTGAGCTCTCATCGAACCGTCCGACCATTCCTTCGCCGATTCCTGACATCTGAATCGCAGAATCAAAGTAATTCAGCACACCGTCAATCCCGCCCAGGAACTTTTTCACAAACCGCTTCCCCTCATGTGTATCCGCAGCAGTAGCGTACATAACCCAATCGTACACCATGAGCACCCAAGAAAGCGAGAAGACGGGGATATTTATCCCAGGAAAGGGCGTGGGGAAATGCGTCTCGACAAGGCCGTCGGATTGCCGGCGGGAGGCATGGAACTCGTTTATTGTCTTTCTTGCTAATCTGTCGTCCGAGGAGAGCTGGTAGCTGTATAACATTTGCAGACGAGAATCGAACGCGAACTGGTTCTGCTCGTAGAAGGGGCAGTCGGTGAATGTTTCTTGCATGCAGTTGAGGAGGGTACTCAGGCTGATTTTCCATTTGCGGGTTTCGAGAGATGGTAATGTTAAGAGGGGGAGGGTTGTGCTTATATTCAGAGGATAGTGGGTTCGGCGGTAGCTTATCCCTGTGAGTTTGAGGGGCGTTGAGGAGGTGCGGACTGAGAGCTGGATGTAGCGGAATGTGCGGAACCAGTACGGCTCATACACGCCTTCTTCTTCGGTCGAATTCGAGTTGATGGTGTAGGTATCCTCCGGTCCAACCAATATACCATTCGTATCAGCGCGGTCGCCCTTATTCCGCGCAAAGGGGTTCGGGTTTCCATTTGGTGGCGGGTACTCGAAGCACTCTGCGCAGCGGATTGTTATGGTTGACCCTGCACCTCCCTTGAATTTGAACTCCAGGAACGCCGTGATGAGTTCCTCGTTTTCCAGAATCACGGTCGCGGTTGTATCCGTCGGGATTTCCACAATCCCATCATTCAATATCAGATCCTCCCAGTCTGGTTGGTCGTGAGACGGCTCAGGCTTGATTACACCGCAGAAACGCCCCTCAGCCTCCGGAAACAGCGGGATAGACCTAGGCACAAGCCTCCACGGTTCTAAGATGGGCAACATGGGCGTCTTAACAGTGGCCCTCTCAGCGTCAAACCAAGCCGCGTCGTCGTAATCGGCATCAAGCCAGTTCCCAACTTCCACATCCCCACTGACCTCCTCATTAATCTGCATAAATGGCGGCCCCAGCGCCCGATTCCACTCGGCACTCGGCTTGATGCGGACGCTGTCATCAGGCACACATTTCCACCCAGAACCCGACACTGTCGAGATCCCTAGAGAGTCCGTAGTATCGTGCAGGATGAATCCCCCAATTGGCCCCCTCGCCATGCCCATATTCCCCTCCTTTGCTGGGGAGTATCGTAATACCTTCGCAGCCAGAACATTCGTTTCTTGCCGCAGAAACGGCGCGATGTCGATTGTTTCGTGATTCCATTCATCGAGATACGACTTCGCCGGACCGAAGAGGAGTCGTCGGCCGTTGAGGAATAAGATATACCGTGTATCCGCCGAGACGTGGATAAGGGCTTTTTCAAGGGGTGTAGAGGGAGTGAAGGTCTTCCGGAAGAGCACGATTCGCCCTGTGGAGTGGCGCTCGGTGAATGTGGGGGTTGTAGACGGGAGCCAGAGCCATGGTGTTGTTGATGTCCACGGGAGCATAGTGGTTATCTGATGTGTGTGAGGTGGTGAGGCTAGTTGAGTAAGGCTGGCTTGGCTTGCTGAGGCGTGATATAAGTATGAGGTGAGGTGAGTATTTGTAGGCCGATGTCGGATATCCCGGCTGAGCTCACAGTGTGGGGGACTGTGGGGGGCGGGTAGCTGGAGAACATCATGATAACAAAGATGTTGGGTCCCAAGTAGCTATCTCGGGGTATGAGTGGCCGATGTCATCTGTACGGTAGGACGAAGTAGTCTATCAAATATCGAACTCGCAGCCTACAGTCAGTCAGCTAAGTATCGTGCCTGCAGATGGTTGAAAACCTAAGAGGCAATTATCCCCATACACCATGAGAATGGGGGTGCCAACCTCTTTTCGTAGAAATTCGTAGTCCGAGCATCAGATTGTGTTGTCTGCATTTGTGCTTTGTATATTGATCTGATGCAGTTCGAGTTATTGTTGAACGTTCATTGATCGCGGGTAAGGGTGTGAGTCGTGTCGGATATCCCGAGACAGCAGGTGAGAGTCAGATCCATCAACCAACGTTCCTAACTTGCCGTTTCATGACTCGGTATAATGCCACCCGAAGTAGTACAAGCGCCATAATGAAGTAAGACAAACGAGTGTATGGTATCCAGCAGGCCGAATCTAGTCTAGGCCATGTATATAAACAAGGAAAATGCAGTTATGCAATGGGACGAAGATAAGTATATACAACGAAAGTCCAGACGCGTCCAGCGCTATACACTTCCCACGCGATAAGACCGCTCAGGCGTGGACAAACCCTCTAACAACATCCTCGTCCAGCCCCACCTTTACAACTCTCAGCAATCTAGGGGTACCTTTAAATAAGGGCTCTAAATACTTTAAAACTATTATAAATATATATTTTTATTATTTTAATTTTATTTTTAACCTTTTTTCCCCTTTTTTATTACTTTTTATAGTATAATAGCTAAAACTAAGATATATATTTTTAACTAGCTTATAAATATTAATTTAGCTAACTTTACATGGTTATAAAACCCCCTATTTTTTTTTAACCTTTATATTATAAAAAGGTAAAAGGGAAAAAAGCCCTAGTAAGCTTATTTTTTTTTTATTATTAAAAATAATAATATATTAACTTTTTAACCTAGCCTGGTTATAAAGGCCCTTTATAATTAACTTAATAAGTAAAAGTACTAGGCATATATTAAATATAAAATTTTTATAAGCTTTATAATTATTATTAATAACTTTATAGCTAGGTAAAAAACTTAGGATTAAAAAGCCTTTACTTATAATATTTATAATAAATTTATATACTTTATTTTTTTAAAAAGTTATATTAATATTAATAATATTAATTATAATCCCCTGCGGGTATATAATTAGCTTATTATTATAATAATTTTTAGTAAGACTATTACCTAGGGGGGAATAAATTTAACCCTTAAAAATTTAAGGGCTTAGCCTACCTTTTTTAAAGTAGGTTTTTTTACCTTAACTAACGCTACCTTAGGCAAGGCACCCTTAATTATTAAGTTAGGCACCTTAGTAACTTAATTAATATATAATAACTTTATTATAGCCTTAACCACGCGTAATAATTATAAAATACTAATTACCTTTTTTAGTAATAAGTTAATAACATGCCTAAAAATATATATTATTTAGCAAGCCCTTATTAAGTGCATGTTAAAATTAATTATAATTATAGCTATTCTTAAAATTAATACCACTTATATAAGCTAGGCTATTATTTTTAATAACCTTTTTATTAAAAATTTTTTAATAATTAATAAAATAATTAATATAATTTATTATACCCTAGGTATTATTAATATATATATTTTTTAAAAATAATATAATTACATGGTGCAAGAAGTGCCTAGCATTATTAAAGTATATAATAATAATAAAATAAATATTATTAAGTTAATTTAAAATAAAGTTATAGCCTAAACTAGACTAAAGCTAGTTAAGCTTATTTTTTTAAAATATAGGCCTAATTCTAGCACTAGATAAATTACTTAAATAATATTTTTTTTAAAGTAGCCTAAGGCCTTTACTTTATTTAACTAAAGTAAGTACTACTAACTTATTAAAAAATACTAGCTAGTTTTATAATATAATCCTAGTTATTAAAAGTACTACTACCTAGCATAATATAACCGCGTAATATACTATATATAATATAATATAATAACCGTGGATTACCTAGGTTTTAATAACCCTAATTATAAAAACCTTATATATTATATAAACTACTTAAGTTTATAGCTAATAAAATATAATAACTATCTAGCAGCCCCTAAGTATAAAAATAAAATATTAATTTACTTATTTAAAAAAAACTTAATAATATATATTATTATAGCGCCTGTTAATACTAGAATATATATACCTAAGTTAATACTAATACCTAGCTTTAGGCTAAAATTAAATAAGCTTTATTTTAAAAAAATCCTTAAAAATATGTAGCAAAAAAACCTAAGGTAAATAAATAAGGCTTTATAATAATTACTAACCACTATATTTTATGATTTAATACTTATACTAAAAATTAAAATTTTAAATAGATTTTTATTAAATTAATTTAACTTACTTTAATTAACACAGGCACGCCTTTCTTACCCCAGGTAATAAAGGTTAATACTAAATCTTTTTTTAAGCTTTAATAATAAAATATTAAAAAAAAAACCGCGGTAATTACCGCTATAATAATATTTAATAATAATAAGATTTTACTATTTACTAGGTAAATATAAATAAATTTATACTTAATTATATTATAATTTTATAACTAGCTTATAAGTAAAACTATAATATTACCTATATTTAAAAGCCCTAAACCACTATAAGCATAAAAACCTAAAATTATCTAGTATATAAGTACTACGCGCTAGTAAATACTTAAAATAACTATAAAAATTAATTAAAAAAGCACCCTAAAATACTTATTTATATTTATAAAGGGGGAGCGCGGCGCGCCAAATAATATTACCTAATATAAAATTAAAATATATTATAACTTATAGTAAATAATATTAAAGTCCTAAATATATATTAAAAATTAACTATTTATAAAATAATTAATTATCTAGTTATACTAATCCCTACCCTAAACTATATAATAAATAAGGATTTTAATATTATTTATAACACCTTTAAGCCTAAAGCAAATAACTTACACTATAGTAGTAAAATTATTAAATAAGCTAGTAATAATAATATTAGCTATATTAATAAGCTAGGCATGGCCATGCATAAAGCTAGCTATGTTTTTAACTTAACCTTTTTAAATATTTTATTTACCCGCACGCTGGTAATATTTAAATTATATAATAATTTTAATTATTAAACTTTAGTTACTATAATACTAGGGCATAAAAAAAACACTAAAATAATATTATTATAATATATTAAATTATAAGCTTAAGCGCCTAGCTAGGCTAATAAAAAATAAGATAATATTTCTTTTTTAGCCTAGGGAACTTAGGGATATAAAAACACTAAATTAATATATTAAATTTTTTAGTAATATTATTATAAAAGCTATATAAGTAATTAATAAATACCCTAACCTAGGGAGCCATAACGCCCCCTAGTAATTAACTAAATATATAAAAAATTATTAAGCTTAGGTAATAAACCTTACCCTAAAATAAAAAAAGTAGTTCCTGGCTATAGTCTATAAAACTAAACATGTGTACTAAACTAAGATAATTAATAGTATTAAAAATAACTAAAAACTATATTAAATAATAATATAATATAAGCTAAAGCCTAGGCTTAAGGCTCCCCTATTATTAATAAATAATAAAATAATTAAAAACACGCGGGAAAAAATTAATATTTTAAAAAAGGTAATACTAAAGTACTTTAATATAAATAATAATTTAAATTTTAATCCCCTAGCACCGGAGCACTAGCAAGAAAATAAGTATTTTTATTAATTAAAAAAGATTTTATTAAAAAAGGTTAAAAAAATATTATTAATATAAGTAGCACCTTTTTTAAAGTAAACTAAGTAATAATTTATATTTTAAAGGCCTATTAAGTATATATTAGGCAGGCTATATATAGGCTATATAACTAATATTTATAGCTAAAATATTTTTTTTACCGTGAAAGCTTATAAAGGTAGTAATATTTTTAAAAAATAATAAAAAAAATAAGTTTTTATTTTAATCTTAGCGCCCTATAGCACTACTCTTGGTATTAAAAAAGAAACTTAAATAAATTATAGCATGCTATGTTACCTTTACTATATTAATATAAAAAATATTAAGCTTATAATAATATAGTACTTTACCTAAGTGCTTGGCTATAAACTTAATAACTTTTTTTACCTATAATATAAAAATAGCACTTTTATAAAACCAGGAGGTTACTATAATTATTATAAATATTTTAGGTGCCTTTAATATTATTTTATTATAATACTTATTTTAATAAATAATAAAGCAAGGCTGGCCTTATATACTCTTAGCCTTAATTATAAATTTTTTAATAAATAAAGCACAAAAGTATGCCTAAAGTTTATTATAATAATAATATATTTAATATACTATAATATACTATAAGGCTTGCCCCTTTTTTTAATATTATTTTTATTATATATTACTAAGCTATTACTAGTAAACCTAATTTTATACTTTAATTATATAAATAATTTTTACCTAAGCCATGCAAGTAACTTTCTTTATATAAATTATAAGCTTTTAATAAAAAATATTTATGGTATACTAGCTTAAAAAAAGTAAAATAAAATAATTTTTATACTTAAAAAATTAAAAATACTATATATTACCTAAAAGCAGCACGGCAAGTTACCCTTATTAATAGTTAATAATTAATTAATAATTACCTTAATTATTATAATATTAGGCTAGAAACAGCCTGCGCTACGCTGGCTAGGTATTTTTTTTAATAAATAACTTTTTTAATATTAATATATTATTAAGTAAGTAGTTAAAGCCCGCGTGGTAATATAATATATTTATAACCTAATATATATAATATATAGCTTACTTATAAACTCTTTTTATAAAATAATTATTACTTATATTATTTTTAGCTTATTATATAATATTAAGGCATGATATAATAATAAAACTAAGCCTAAAAACATGCATAAGACTTAAAGGTTAACGCCTAACTAGGCTAGTATATTAAAATAATTAAAAAAACCCTGGCTTTAGCCACATGTAATATACTTCTAATTTTTTATATAATACTTATAATAACCCTTTTTAAAAATACTAAACTTTTTTTTATAATAATAATATTAAAAAAAGCTTAATTATAATTTACCCTAAGGCTTTAATTAATAAATAACTAAAATTTACTAGTAGCGCGGGTAATACTATTAAAAATTTTATAAAAATAAGGCGCTGGCTCGCGTTAAAAGCCTAAAATTAAAATATAAATTATAAGGGTACTTTTTTTAAATATCCTAAGGCTAGTCCTAGCTTACTTTTATTACTTTTAAAAATACTTAAAAAATCTTACTAGGGGCAAGGCTAAGAAGCTAGCTATAAAAAAGTTTAAATAATAATAGTAAGTATTATTAATAATAAAGGTAATAATTTTTAATAATAATTTTAAATAAATATACTAGGGCATGTATTATATAGGTTATAATTATATAATATATTATAAATAACACCTTTAAATATAAAAACTATTAGCTATTAATACCTAGTTTTATATTTATAATACTAAGGCTATTAATATATTTTAAAAACTAAAGGTAATAATTAAAAAACTTTTTAAGGCTTTTATTTACTAGCTTTATATTAATAATACCTTAATAATTTAATACATGCACGGGTAGCCCTTGCTATTTTTTAATTAAGCTTTTTAAATATTATATTAGCTTATAAACTAGTATATAATTTACCTATAATAATTTTTTAATTATATAAATATTAATAATAATAAGCTAGCTAATAAATTAATTAATAAAGCAGCCTTTATAAAAGTATAACTTTTAAATACTAACTTTTTTAAGGTATAGCCTATTACAAGCGGGATATATAACCTATATAAATAAATATATTAAATTATTTAAGCTAAGTAGTAAAATAGTGCTTTTATAAAATTATTAACCTAGTATAAATAATAGCTTATAAAACTAAAGCCTTATTAAGTTAAATTATAGCCTAAACTTATATTAAAATACTTAATTTTATATTACTAGCTAGTATTAAGGTTATTATATAATAATTTTAAGTAATATTATAAATATTTTTAATATAAAAATATAAAAATTACTTATTTTTATAAAAGAAGCAAAAGCCCTAAATACCTAGTTTTTTATTATTACTTTTAATAATAATTTTAATAATAGCCCTAGCGCCCTATAATATTATTAATAATTAAAATTAAGGTTTTGAAGTACCTTTACAAACTAAAGCCTAAAAACTTTATATTTTTATTAAAAATTATAAACTTTTATAAGTTTATTTATTCTTGCTAGGGCTTCCCGCGCCTTAATTTTATAAAAATTATTTAACCTAGTACTAAATAGTTTTATTCCTTTTTATTTTATTATATTTTTTTTTTTTTTATTTTATACTTTTTTTAATATAACTAGCTTTAGCTTATATATTTTTTTTATAACTAGGGCTGGCCCCTGCATTTTATAATATTTAAATTATTAAGTATATAATAAATAACACCTGCCAGTGGCTATATATTAAAATAATAAGTAAAAAATAAGTACCTAGCCCATAAGCTTTAGCAAGAGTTGCCCTTTAAAATTAAAAGCCTTTTATATATAAATTATTTAAATAGGCTACTTACCCTGTAGCGGCACGCCCTTATACCCCAAGGGAGGTCTAGAACGGTAAGCATACGCCTAGCAATCCCCGGGGCGTTAAATATCACTACTACTACTACTACCTCGTCCAGCCCGTTGAATGCGACGGCGTCAGGCCCTCCCCCTGCAAACACGTGCACGTGTCTCGACCAGCCTGACTATTCTCAGTCGACGGCAGCCCCGCATTCTTCAGCGGCGCCTCAAGCAACTCGACAAGGTTATTCAGAACGGAGAACTCAATCTTGAGCTTGACGCTCTGGGCAAAAATGCCGTACTGGATTCCCGCGCCCCGGTACCACTGCCCAATGTGCCACTTCGTAGTGCACAGCGGGAAGATCGCGATGAGGTCCAATAGCACGACGGCCACGTTGACGGCGATCAGATGGCACAGGACCTTGCGGCCTGCGCGTCCTTTCAGCGACATGATTGGTTTGAGCTGGCGGAGTGATTCGTAGATGTAGATTCCGCAGATGAGGAGTTCGCGGCCGATCGAGCCGAGCGATGTGTAGCGTTCGTTGAAGCGCTCCAGGGTGGTGCCGAAGAAGCGAGGATCTCCGGCGGCTGCACCCATTAGGAGAGTGACTGATGGGATGTAAATGAAAAAAGAGCTTATGATGATGAGCCAGAACACGAATTTGACAATGCGCCCTCTTGTGATGAGGTATAAGCGCGAGTATAGGACCAGGGCGGTGGAAACGAGAATGGCGGGATCAACCAAAGCGGTGCCGATGCCAAAGGCTAAGGGCTTGATGGCTTGAGCGGTCGCAAAGGTCGCAATGACCATGAAGGCGCCGACGGAGAGATTTGCTATCGAGATGCTCCAGAAGTAGAGGCCCTGCCAGCGTTTGAAATAATCGAGAATCCAGCAGAAAAGCTCCATCGTGTTGTATGCGGTGATGGCAAGGAAAGATACGCTGACCAAGAAATAAACGTCATGATCGGGATCCTTGCCTGGATCCATAACGAGTGTATGAATGAAGGCATTGTCAACATAGACGATGGAGAAGAAGGGGCCTGGAATGGTGATATAGGCCTTCGATGAGACCCAGCTGGAGGTACAAATCACTGCGATTGGCGGATATTGGAAAGCCGACCTGGATCAGGGTGATTTACGCAGGATCGACAACGTGCGAGCTATCGAGCCTCATATAGACACGGATCACCCTTTTCGAGTCACGTCGGGCCGATTCTGCCAGTAAACGGCCACTCTGTGCGGCAGTTGTATGGCCCGCTGTTTTGTGTTGATTGATATGGCTGCACTCAAGACACGAGCTTCCAACCCAGGATGCTCTCAGCCGAGGAAGCCATCAAGCTAGGAGACGTCAGAAAATGAGTGGTGTGCCGAAAGTGATAGATGTTGAGATGCCAGGGGCCAATCCTCTGCCGAGACCAGAACAAAGAAAGTCAAAAACGCCTATCGTCACAGGATCCTCGGATTGGCTGACTTTTGAGTTCCTAGGAACCATTTCGACCAAAGAGAAAATGATATTTGCGTTGGCGTTCTCGTCCGCGCTGGAATTGGACAGCCCGTGTTCGACTCTGTCCGGGCATGGGTCCCTGCCCTGAACCAGGTTTTGTGCCGCGCTCGACATATATACTGACTCCCCCTGCCCAGAACTGTAGCACTCATCAATCAATTTGAAGCCATCCTTTAGGCGACTGTAAAGCGCTTTGCCGATTTTCGCATCGACGAGTCGACGACCAGCCATCTCATTACTCGTTAAGGTTCTCACGCACCATAATGGGCTAACCGTGCGCCCCCGCTGGCAGCTGTGATCACCAACTAGGCGCGCTGACTATCGGCCGGATCCTTGACTCCGGTAAACCTCCACCTGAATGGGAAGAGGCTGCATTAAGGATTCTATTGACTCCATCAGGATCCTGGCCGTGGTGATCATGGCTATCCCTAACGAGTCGTAGACCTCGTGGATTGCGAAAGTTCCCAGCTAAGGCATGTATCTGGTAGCCTGCCGTTTCGGACAATAGGTGGCGTGACCATGGAATAGTTCATTGTCCAATTTAGGGTTTCATCACACTTTGGGAGGGCGTGGCCATCTTCTTGGTATTGTGCGCCTGAATCCCCTTCGAGTTGCTAAGATCGCGCAATGGCTTTAGGTTACGGAGCTATATCTTAGGGAAAGTTGACTGTTCTGGCCGCGGAGTTGAGCTTCCGAGTAGATTGTTCTTGAGTTCCGCGCGCAGCCCAGGGACAGATGGACTTCTGCATAGCCTAGGGACTGATAGATGGGGACAAGGCAATGACACCGGCAGACTGGCTCTACAGGAGCCCGGCTTTCGAACATCTTCGGTCCTTCACTGGATTATCGGTGGTTTCAATTGGCGTCGTCCTCGGCTTGCTGGATGGAATGGCGCTAAAGAGAGGCTGCTGCTGCTCGGACCAAAGGAGCGACCTGCTTCCTAGTCTTGGCCAAGTTGGTTTGTACCCAAAGGTGGGAACCATTCTCCGGGGTGCTTATCGTATCTTCGATGTCTTGAGCATAGTGATCACCATCAAGCGATTTCCATGCCTCCAAGCCCAATTCCGAGCTCGCATTAGATTTAAATGTTTTTACAGCATTCTCACCGCCGCGGTTGAGTCCCCAAACAAGCAATTCCCGGGAAAACTGGCCGTCCTTCGAAGTGAACGCAGTCATCACGGCGACCAAGTCCAACTTGCGTTCTGAGGCGAAGGATTTCAAGCAATTGATGAAGACGTGCGAGTCTCCGGCCTTCCGAACAATCCAGGGTATTGACTTGACCACGGAGCAGATACCGATCTGTAGCGGCGTTTGGTCAGTGCTACTAGAAGGCTTTTCGGCCCACTCCTTATAGTCTCGGCCAAAGATCTCGTCCACGGTGAGCAGTTCTAGACTATTCTGCTTCGCTTCGAAGATCTCATTGTAGAAATCATCAACATCCCACGAGGCATCGGTGGTAGTCGCTTTGGGAAGTAGGAAATCGCGAGCGGAAGTGTCGAAGTTCGTCACTTTATGTTTTGACTGGAGATTTTCTGTATCGATGAGAATCGGGCCTAGGGCGAGCTTTGCCAATTGCTCTTCATCTGCAGACGCGGCCTGGGATTTCTGCCAAATCCCCATTTTCTCTAGCTCGGAGATAACGAGCGAAGAGCACGAGCCGGTGGGTGCTACAAGGTTAGGTTGCGTGCCAGCAATAGGGGGAAGGAACTGTTCGTCAACATGATGGTCGATGCAGCCTAGAACGGTGAACTCCACTGGCAAGCCAGGCAGCGATCCCTTTCCTGAGCGATCATCCGAAGATCGCACCGGCAGTGCATTCCAGTCGACCAGAACAGAGTCCGCTTGTATTTGCCCTCCTTCTCGCCCCTTTATTTGCGTTGCAAAGTCCGCAACCGTCAGAAAGTACTCTTTGAGCACCGGCCCCTCGAAAGATTCCCCCACATCGCGTTTGGACAGCTCGAGCGCTTTGATGAATTCTGGCCGCAGCCTGCGGAGCTCCGGGCCGGCAGACACGTTATCGAGGTTTATCACCGGAACATGAGGTCGTGGATAGTCGCGTGGGACACGATTGTTCGCAAAGTATGAGTAGACGAGGGAGGAGATGATCGAGTCGAGGTCGGCCGAGGGGTTGCCGATGACGTAGACTGGCGACTCTGCACGAGACAAGGAGCCGGAAATGAAGCGATGGTGGACCTGAAGTGCTGTCCGGAGGAATTGAAGCAGACTGTGGTCGGGGGGAGGGATGCGCATTGTCGTTGAACTCTATCTTCTCGTGGAGTCTGGAGTCGTGGTTGTTGGAGAAAACAAAAGCCGGAGGTGGGCGTGGGGGGTCGGAATCCGGAAGAAGGAATCCCCGGCCTCCCCTCTTTCCTTCTTGGGCCGCCTCTCGTCGTCTCCGAGTTACAGTCAACACAATGGCAGAGCAGCAATTAAAGGCCGCCATCCTAGTGGTCTCGGACACCGCGTCTCAGGATTCGTCGTCGGACCGAGTTATCGACACGCTGACCGATGTCTTCCCGGACGGGCCTTGGGAGAAGCCAATCACTAGAATAGTACCGGACGATGTACTTCAGATCCAGCGCACTGTATGCGAATGGGCGGACAGCGTTAGCCCAGTCAATCTTATTCTTATCAGCGGTGGTACTGGCTTTGCTGTCAAGGATATCACCCCCGAGGCTGTTTCGCCTCTTCTCCATCGCCATGCACCGGGTCTTGTGTATGTACCATATGTCCCTGCTACAGTTTGCTGATACTGACACGTCCAGACATGGCATGATTGCCTCATCGTTGAAGGTCACACCATGTGAGTTCCCCCAATTTGTCCAGTTCAACTCTAACATATGCAGTCGCCATGATGGCTCGACCCGTCGCGGGAACAAGACACAAGTCACTTGTTATCACACTGCCCGGCTCCCCGAAAGGTGCAAAAGAGAACCTAGAGGCTGTTATCAAACTACTGCCTCATGCATGTACCCAAGCAGCTGGCGCAGATTCGAGGACGCTCCACGCTGGAGGGGTGAAGAAGCTCGAGGCCGAAGCTGGAGTCAAGCCAGAGTCGCATGATCACCACCACCACCATCACGACCATATCCACTCCCACTCTCACAGTCATGGTCATGGGCATGTTGTCCCCCGAGCTCATACAACCCCTTTAGAACAGCGGTCAAATGACCCCGCAGCAGGCGCAACCCGGCGATACCGCGAGTCACCGTACCCGATGCTGTCTGTGGACGAAGCATTGAAGCTGGTTCTATCCTATACTCCTGATCCTGAGGTAATCGAGGTTCCTGTAACTGTTGATCTGGTTGGATACGTCGTCGCGGAAGATGTGTACGCCGCCGAGGCGGTGCCCGCATACCTTGCAAGCATTGTTGACGGATATGCTATTATCGCACCTAAGGCTCCTGATGGTAGTACAAGTACAAAAGGTGTTTTTCCGGTGGCTTCCGTTACCCATGCCAATGAGAGCGGAGTTCTGGCACCGCTTGAGGCTGGCACCATCGCCCGGATAACCACCGGCGCTCCTCTTCCGCCGAATGCAAATGCCGTGGTCATGGTCGAGGATACTTTGTTAGTGTCATCGACGCCTGATGGCAAGGAAGAGGCAACTGTTGAGATACTGACTGGGGAAATAATGGCAAATGAGAACGTTCGCCAACCAGGAAGCGATGTTTCTCTTGGATCCAGAATTCTCCAGCGGGGTGACCTTATCACGCCTGTTGGTGGGGAGATTGGCTTACTAGCGGCCACAGGGACAAAGACAGTTAAGGTGTTTAAGAAGCCTACTGTAGGAGTTCTAAGTACGGGTGACGAGCTTGTAGAGCACGATGACCCTAGAACCCTGCAAGGAGGACAGATTCGAGACTCCAACCGGCCCTCTATCCTGTCTTGCCTGAAATCATGGGGTATCCCCGCTGTCGACCTGGGAATAGCCCGCGATACGCCCCCAGGCGAGCTTGAACAAAGCCTCCGGGATGCTCTCCGCGGAGTCGGGAAGTCCAGCGTTGACATGATCATCACTACCGGGGGTGTCTCGATGGGAGAGCTCGATTTGCTTAAACCTACTATCGAACGCTCCCTCGGCGGAACAATCCACTTTGGCCGCGTCTCCATGAAACCAGGCAAACCAACTACGTTTGCCACGGTGCCATTCAAGCCGACATCCTCCGAACGCAGATCCAGGCTCATCTTCTCGCTCCCGGGAAACCCGGCCTCGGCACTCGTCACCCTGAACCTCTTTGTTCTACCGTCTCTTCACAAGCTTATTGGCCTTGGTCAGAAGCAGGTTGCGTGGGGCCTTACACCTACACTCGGATTACCACTTGTTGCAGTAATCTTATCGCACTCTTTCCCGCTCGATGCAAAACGCACCGAGTACCATCGGGCCGTTATCACGGCGTCTCCCAAGGATGGACGCCTTTATGCAACAAGCACGGGTGCGGGAGGCGTAGGACAGCGTAGCTCTCGGGTCGGAAGTCTGGCCAGTGCCAACGCTCTCCTTGTTCTTCAGCCGGGGAAGGGTTCGATTGGGCAAGGGAGCTTGGTGGAAGCATTGCTAATGGGGCCTGTTGTGCGAGAAGCGGCTGCCATTGCGGCTTCATGACGGTGCTGTTCAGCGCAGCTCCTTCCGAACAGAACGATTTCGCAGACTTAGTAGAGTAGGAATCAACATTTAAAGGAATACAGGAATACAGACTATTTGACACACTGCAGACCTTTCAAGCACTCCCAAGTTCGCATCACCGTCATCTGCCGTTCCCAGCAGTCGTTCAGGAAGCGCCTCCTGCCTGGCCCCCCTTATCCAGAGTAACAGAAGCATCACCAATGCATATGGGGAATCTTTCGGTGTGTTTATTCCGGGTAGCCATGGTTTGGGGCTCGTCTACCCCGGTCGCCGCCACGGAGTATGAGTTCTGCTTCATCCACGAAAAGAACTTGAGTAACAAAATATCCTCCTCGAAATGGCATTTACGACTGACTCATGACAGCTTCGCGCGGTAGCGACATCAAACATAAACATACAAACCAAAAGGCTGACTAGCCCGCTAAGCAAGCAATCATTGAGCGAAGAGAACTTGCGCCTTTTTGTCGGACGCTTCCACATATTTGCGTCGTCAAGTATAGCTACATCTCCTAATCACCACGATCAATATATTGACGAACCTTGTATTCGCAGCACTTCCAATAGACCCATACGCAGCTCCATTGCAGAAAAGAATAATGCGGCTATGGCTATAGCGTGACAGGCGCCTCGACTAGCAAAACCCCTTGGACCTAGCAAGGCGAGTTATCATAGATACTATCCAAGTCCGTCGGGATAACGCCGGCATCGACAGCATCTACACGAAACAATCAGCCATCTCCTCTCCTTACCAAACCATCATCAAGCAAAAACTCACCTTTATACGACCACCGATAATCCCCCAACTCCGCCTTCCACGCCCAAAACACCCACCCCTCCTGCCTCTCATACGCAATCGCCTGCGCCGCAAACCACCGCTTATAAAAGTCCACGTTGGAAGACGGCTCCCAGTCCGCGGTATGTTCCACATCATCCGGAACGCTGAGGCTCCACTCGCCCACGATCGTCGGCCAGTTGCCGCCGCGGTTGTCGGCGCACGAGGCAGCGATGTAGCTATCCTTGGTCACGGCGACGCTGGAGTCGTATATCACGTACCGGTGGTCGTCGTAGGCGGCGAAGTAGTTGTCACTCAGTGCAGAGGTGGGGTCGCCCGAGCCCCATTTTTCGTTCATCATTTGGATGTGCAGGTAGTTGTTGCTGGTGATGCCGAGGGAGGATTCGGTGTTGCGGATGCGCGTGAAGCCGTTGGGGTAGTAGCTGTTGATCATCGAGGAGGCCTGCCCTGCATCCTGCACAGGCTCGTTCACGATCTCGATCATGCCGACGTTCCGCAACTTGTTGTTCTGGTGGATGTTGGTCGTCATCCACTCCAGGAACTCCAGCGCCCGGTCGTACTGGTAGTCCTGGTAGAAGCCGGGGGTCGGGGCATACTAGACGCGGTCAGCCAATCCCACCTCCACCAAGATCCAATGGAATCCAACATACCTGCCCCGTAAACGGCTGCTCAGCCTCCTGCGCCCCCGGCGCCCCATGCAAATCAATAATAATGTACATGCCTGCGTCACTCGCCCACCCACAAACATCCTCAAGATACTTCATCCCACCACGCGGAAAATGCTCCGAGTCCGCATACACAAGATCTTCCTTAAGCCAGTACCCCACCGGGATGCGCACCGTGTTAAGACCATACGAGACCATCTGGGCAATATCGTCCTGCGTGATCCAGGACCCCCAGTGGTCAGCGAAGACTTGATCAGCTGTATCCTGGCCAAGCGCCATCACGCAGTCGAATTCGGACTTCTGCCCGCCGCAGCCCATAGTGTTCCAGGCGTTGCTGGCCATCCAGGGCTCGACCACGAAGTGGCTGCCTAGGTTGACGCCGCGGATCTTGTTGGATGCTGGGAGCCAGCGCTTGCTGGGGGAGTTTGAGGTCGCGGAGGCATTGAAGATGTTGGTGCCTGTGCTTGAGTAGATTTCCTTTTCGACGCCTGGGAGCCAGGCGAGGGTTAGGGGGAGGGAGGAGGTGAGTGCTAGGAGGGGGAGGATGGACTTCATCTTTCGTGTTTGACAGCAAGATGATTGATGAGAAAGAAAGCTACTCGACATCGTGGGGATCGTGCCCTATGAAACCACGACACAGCCTCAAGGCTCCAGGTGCTCCTTAACGATATCAAGCCATAGCACTGACTCGGTCGTGGTCCTTGAATTTGGGGGCGATCAGCAGCTGAAACACGGGTCGCACTACGTACACCCCCCAGATGACTAGGTGTACCCCCCGGGCCGCGCCTAACGTAAGCAAAGCTATATTAAGAAACATCCTAATTAAAAAAGCGCCCGGTAACTACGTACACCCCCCCCCTTGGCCTTATTAAAATATTTAATAAAAGGCCTTTAACGCGCTGGTATATAGTTTTTTATAAAAAATTATATATAAATAAAAGTACCTAAAAGTAAATTAATTTTAAAGCTATTTAAAAGTTTATTTATATAAAAAAAAAAAAAGTAAAAAGGTTTTTAACACGCAGGTACTTAGTTTTATATAAAAAATTATATATAAATTAATATACTTTTAAAAAACTAAAATATATATTTATAACACGCTTTTTTTATTATAATAACTAATTTTTTAATTACTTGCTTTAAAAATAACTCTAGATTTTTTAAAAATATAATAAAATACAGCTAAATTTAATTTTTTTTTTTAGTTTAGGCTAAAACTCCCTAAAAATAACTTAAAAATTACTATAAGTACTTTAGTACACCCTTTTTCACGGCCTTTTCCGCGGCCTTAATTTTTAATATTATTTTTAGCTACTAACTTAGTATTTAATAAATTTTTAATAATAATAATATTATTTATGGCCGCCAGTGTTTTTTTTATTATTTTTACTTTTATTATTTTTTTTACCTTTTTTACCACCTGCTTATCTTACTAGCTAATTTTTTTAATACATGTTTTTATAACTTTATAGTAAAATAGATTACAAGTAAAGTTTTTTTTTTAATATTTTTACTTTTTTTTAACTAGCAGGCCTTATACCTTTACTAGGTTTTATACCATGGCATAGGGGTTAATTTAAAAAGGTTTATAGCTTTTAAAAAGGTATTATTACTAGTAAAATTAATATAAAAATAGTAATAAAAATTTTTACTAGCAGGCTAGTATTATATAAATATAAGAAATTTTAATAGTTTTTTTTAATATTTTTATATACTATTTTATTAAAGGCTTTTTTTTCGCGGGCGGGAAATAATACTCTTAAAGTATAATAACCTTTTATAATATATGTATAAAAATCTTGCTAAGTATAAAGTAAAATAAAGGGGTTATAAAAGGTAAAAAATAGGTAATTTTTTTTTTAAAGTGTTATATAAACCTATAAATAATAATAAATTATTATATTTTTTATTTAATAAATAGTTACTAGTAAATTATTTACAGGTATATTATTTTTTTTAATATAATATAAAATTTCTTATTTTAAGATATAGTAATTTAATTAAAGTGTTAAATCTTACTAATATAATAGGTTAAAAAGCAGTGCTTAATATTTTTTTTAAGCTATTAATTTTTAATATAATTTATAAAATTATACTAATTATACTTTTTATACTAAGCGCGAACTTAAAGCTAATTATTTTAAAAGGCCTTTTTTAATACTTAATAAAAACATCTTGCTAAGCAAAACTTTATTAAAGCCTATTTATTATTTACCTTTTAAAGTAAAGTACGCTAATTAATAAAATTAGGTGGTTTTAATATAGCCTTAGCTTATATTTTAGTAGTAATTTTTTTTTTACCCTAGCTATAATATTATTTATAATATATTATTAATAAAGTACATGCTTTAATAAAAAAAATATATTATTAAGGGTGTTTAAAAGCGCTATATTATAATTAGTTAAAATAGTTAAAGGCCTATTTATTTTAGTACTAGACCTAAAGGGCTTAATAAAGTAGCGGAGGTAGGTACTTTTAATATTATTTAATACTTATATATATAACTCTTTATTTTTTTTACTTAAAAAGGCAAAGCTAACATAAAATATTTTATTTATAACTATTATTTTAATAATATTTAGCAGCGGAAGGCCGTACTTATTTATTTTATATATATAATTTATAAAAAAAATAAATAAAAATTACTTTAATAACTTAATAATTTACTTATATATAAGAAAGAGGTAATACAGCTTATTATTTATTAAGTAATAATAATTAAATATTTATATTATAAGGTTATTAAAAAATGCAAGCAGTGCTTGTACAGGTATTTTACTAGTAAGCTAATATTTAAAAAAAGTGTATTAATAGTTTTAAATATTTTTTAACTAGATAAGGCACCTAGAAATCTTATAATATAAATAACTTAAAATAATATATATTAAAGTACTAAGCTTAACCGCTTAATTAATTTATACCTAGTATTAAAATATTTATTACTATTAATATTATACTTAAGTACTAGGTAATATAAGCCTATAATTATAGCTTGTATTATAAGTTTAAAAGTGCTAATAGCTATTATTTATATAAAGGCATACTATATAATAAAATAGGTAGCCTAGTTTTTTAATAAAGGTAAACTAGTGCTTAAAAATATCCCTATTTTTATTATTTTTTTTTTACTATACCTAAAGCTATAAAGCCCTTTATAATAAAGGCCTTTACTATATTTAAAGCTATAAAAAGCTTTGGTGTAAAGCCCTTTATAGCTATATTTTTTTAATTTTTTATTATTTTTAATATTATAAAAAGCTTTATAGCTATAAAAGGCTTTATACTAAAGCTTTTTATAATTTTAGGTATAATAAAGGCCTTTATTATAAAGCCCTTTATAATTATATTTTTTTAAGCTAGCTAATAATATGCCTTAAGTGTATAATAACCTTTAAGGCTATATTAAAGTATTACTTTTTTTACCTTTAATTAAAAAATAATAATAAAGTAAAGATTATTTTTTACATGCTATTAAATAAAGTATAGCATGGTTTTTTTATTAAAATAAAAATTATTAAGTAAAAAAGGTAGGAGTTTGGCACTAGTAATAAGCTTATTAATATTAGTTAATAAATTAAGAGTATTTTAAACTTCTTTATTAAGGTTAAAATTATAAAATTTTATTATTATAGCAGGTTTTATAGCTATAGTAGGTTACTTAGGTTAAAAATTTATATTAAAAAAAAAATATATAAATATTTATTATATAGGAGTTCTGGAGTTTTAAAAATTAAAAGTTTTAAATAGCTTTACTTTTATTAATTAATTTACTAGGTGGAGGTTGCGCCGCGGCGGCGTGAAAAAGTATTATTATTTTATTACTAAAGAAGGGGGGTGTACGTAGTTACCAGGCGCCTTCTTAATTAGGACGTCTTACTCGGGCGTTGCTTACATTAGATACGGCCTAGGGGGGTAGATCTAGTCATCTGGGGGGTGTACGGAGTGACACCCCTGAAACACGACCTCGTGCGGAAAATGGCCCTGAACCAGCAAGGAAGCGCGAACTTCCCCACACTTTCCTGCGGGACCGTTGCATCGGGATGCCGGGACCCACTATGTGGCTCTATCCCAGTCAATGCGATTGGCCAGACTGCGGTGGATCAAGCGGAACTTGCCGCCCCCGAGTCCAGAATCGTGATCAAAGTACATACATGGTTGTGCTGAGCAATTCCGTTGCAGTGGGTGAGGGGTATTCACATATTTGCATGCTTTTAACCTGGATAGTCTCAAATATGGTCTGACACCTAAATTGGGTATTCTGCGCCTGCTACCTAGGTAAGCGCTGTTACCATGAAGGCTGTGAGTGCAATGACACCCTAGGATCCAACACGGAGCTGTTTGAGCTTTAATCTAGGTTGAGATTTGGGGTATGGATGGACTTGTTATATCGGCGCCTATAGTATGACTCGCGGGTCCATCCTTGGGGTGGGTAGAGGGAGGAGCATCAGAGGCCTACCTATGTAGGTGGCATTTCAACCAGTGCGCTCATCACCTAGAACGGTTCAGTCCATAAACTTCAACAGCACATCCCATTTGGGCCAGCGTAGTTAATCCAGTCGATCTGTCTCAGCGAAGGTGAGGTGTGCACCTCTACTAGCGGGAGTAGGTTAGGCCTATTGAGAGATCAAGTACATCGTCTACTCGTCTACTTGGTAGATACCTATATTTGGTTCTCACTGAGGGAGTTCAGGATGATTCCTGTCCCACAGCGGCGTACCTGAGAATTCATCTATTTGTTTTTAGGTTCGATGATTCGCAGCGTATACTGATGCAATATGTAAATCTGGTCTTGGGGGCTGCCTAGTATTAGATAAAGTCATAGTCACAGAAGGCAGGGAATTGGTGATCTCGGGGTTATGGTATTGAAGGGATCCGTGAGAGATCCAGTTATAGACTGACATGATGAGGCAAATCAATCAGCTTTGAATAATCTGTCAAGCGCGGCTTATAAATACAGCACGATCGTTTAGTGAGGAACACACCAGGAGGACGTCCAACGGGTCGAAGGTCGTTGAGAGTTCCAGGTGGCATGGGTCGTTGTTGCGCTAGGTAGGTAAGGTCAAGGGCCGGCTTTCTATTTTTGTCTACTTATCAGAAAGATAGGAACCAGAGGAGTTGGAGTGGTCACTAGCCTCTAGTGGCTTTGAATTTGTTTATGGGGGATGTCGTTGACTTAGGGCTAGGTAGGTAGCCCAGGAACGGAGGGTCATACTCACATGCCAGTCACATACCTAAATGAGAAGGGTACCCCTTTTATGTGGGGTATGGGCTTTACTATAGCGTGACTTGGATTATGGCATCGGCTGAGATGTATACATATCAAAGTTGCGCGTGTTTAATGGGCTCTACCCTGCGCCTGGAATGCTTTTATGAGTCCATCTTCTATCAAAACACAGTGCTAATCAACAGAATAAACCAGAAACTAAACACGCCATTCAAAACCAAATCCACCGCCAAGCTAATCGACTTCATGCCTAGCCCTCTTCCTGCTCTCTTTCGGCAGACGGCACTGGGGAGGTCTTTCCCACCGGAAGACATATTGCCCGAGCTCCATGGCCGTTGTCCTAGTCCTAATGCCGGTTGTAAAGGACGGCGTTCCATCTTGCCACGCCGCGGACTGGAAGGGGACACTGTGCTCCGGTGGTTCTGGGCGGTTGGGCAATGTAAATCCACGCCGCTTCCATGCTTCCATATATTGCTTCATGCCCCTTTCCCCATCTGAGTGGCGCTTGGCTACCCATTTGTTCAGCACGGCGCGGAATTCCGAAACATCAGCGTCCAGCAGGCGGTTGGCGGGCCACTCGGCCTTACTCTGAACCATGTCCATGTTCTTATCCCAGGGGTGGACCATCGCAAATTGATCATCTTTGGTGATGAGTTCGTAGAGCGTAAACACGACGCCCATTATGTCGTCGCGGTTGCCGTACATCATGTAATCTCCCACAGCGGCGTAGTTAAAGTCGAAAAGGATGATTTTGTTGGCGTCGTGATCGACCAGTAACTTTCGGGGTGCGATGTCTTGGTGCATAATGCCGAGTTCCAAGTTCAGGAAGTCCACCACGTCCAACAGCTGCTGTAGCCACTCGAGGCGGAAGGGTATGTTTGGATCCATATCCTCGAGGGTCCCGCCTTCGATGTACTTTGTTGTGAAACCTAGTACTCTAGGTTGTACGTCTCCGTAGTCCAGAACAACGCGGTCCATGGGGAGGATGTTAGGGTGAGGAGGTAGGCTTTTCACAAGATTCAGCTCATCCCATGCCTTTTGCATCGGCACTACCTTGGGGAGTACATTGAACTTGAAGGCTACCTTTTGAGTAACCCTGTTTTCGTCCTCGTACGATGAGATAACGACATTGTGCCCGAACCTTTTAAGTTCCTGGAGCTCGGTGTAATTGACTACACGGCAGTCGGCCAGCGACGTGCAGAGTGAGAACGGGAGATTTGCAAGAAGCCATGTTTGGTCTTTTTCCGGGTCAGTCGAAACGCCAGTTAAGAGGCCGTTGCCGTCAAATGATAGTTCGGTCACTTGGGGCGAGACAACATCAAGGATGTTTGCCAGATTGGGGATCTTCACCTCCCCAAAAGGAGGCAGGAATTTGATGTGACTTTTGATCGTGAATTGCTTCAGTTGCTCCCAGTCCCAAACCCCGGCGGTGGTCTCGCTCTCCGGATCCTCATGGTCCTGGCCGTGCAAATCGTGACCGTCGCTAAAGAATCTGTGTTCAGGTTTGATCATGATGGAGTCGATGTGGTCAGAGATGATGAGTAGGGCTGTTGAAGAACAGAATTCCCAACGGTTCCAGATCGACTATTTGAATAGTTGGACGCTTTGGAAGGAGATGACCTCGGGCTGTGTATGGATGTCTATATTCGGAAAGACCGGTCGGACAAAGAACAGGTCGTTTGGCGAACAATGGAGGAAGAGCTCCGCTTCTCAATGAGAGGGAGGGGTGCTGAGCTTGAAAGATAATGTCGCCATGATCTATTATTGGCCTTCCTTTGTGATAGAATTCGAAATAGGGATTCTGATGTTAGTTTAAGGTACCGGCGCTATACTATCAAAGACAATAGGAAAGCATAGAGACACTCCTCTTTCACAAGGCAAAACACATGGTACAGGGCTTCATCCCCAAACAGCATATATGTTTCATTGCTATTATTGACACATGGTAATTCTATACTTTCTATGATTCGTGCTCCTAATTTTAGGTTAGGGGTTAAGGTTTATAGTTGGGTCAGAAATCTTGTACCTGGGTCTTAGAAATAAGTTAAGTCTTAGAAGAGTGTAAGACAGACAGCCATGTCGAAATAGTTACATTATTTCGCCTTCTCAGAGTCAGCTCTGTTTACCACGTGTTTTGGCCTATCTCGAAACTGGGCCTACCTTGTATGCCCTAGGCTGAATTACAACGACTTGTTAATCTGAATCTGTTGGATAAACCTGGCATTCAATGTAAAAAGCCCGGTAGTCAGTCCTGATCTGTAACATGTATTCATGGCCTCAACGTGTATTATGGATGATACTAGGTGCTTTTCTTAGTAAAGGATAATGCTCGACCAGCCAGATAAGGCTTTATCTCATATCGGCCTTGATCAGTGTAGCTCAAAAGTCTTTATACCAAGGTATGTAGAGATCTGTCCGCAGCTATCTTTTAATCACAACACATTGTACACTGAGAGTCTCCATTCTTAGAATCCCCAGCGTGATACATCAACTTCTGTGCCTTGACTACGATACTCCTTACCGTACCCAAGCCGCGCTAGACCAGGGTCTGATACAGAGCCACCAAGTCAAGTGGCAGCGATTGGGCAAGCAGTAATTTCTCCAGGCGAACATGCACTACATAGTTGACATGTCAAACGGGTGGCACAGCAGCAACCCAGCAGATTAGAGGTTGGGTTGCTTCACGAGGTCGCCTCGCCTTGCTGCTTACTTGCATATAACTCGCTTCCATCCCTGGTGCATCGAGCCTGATTCGTCGCCAGAGCACTTGAGAAGCAGCGGTGTATCTTTACTCCATCCGAATTTATTAATCGGCAGCGTGTGATTAGCTGGTTGTGTAGCTGGCCCTGCAGGTGCGGGAAGGCCGTATGAGCTTGGATGGACGGGTCTGGCGCAGGATATGACATGGGATGATCTTACGGATATGGTGTATAGGTTTGTGGATGCGGCGAATGCATTAACGGCTGGGGATCTGGTAGTGCGTTCTGGGCATGGCGTTCGTGGTCGGATTGTGTCTGGCGCTTGTCTGGTTTGAGGGGTGTTAACCTTTAGGCTGTGGGAGAGAAATATTGGATTTTGATGGTGAGGAAAGGACTGCTGTTGCAGAGTTATATCACTGGCTCTGAGTTAGCGAGTAACCTGAGGCATTGTCCAGGAGATGATAACAGGAAAGCATAACCGGGTTAGTTAGAGTTAGCCAGCTAACCAGCCCTAGACCTGGTGACATGATCAGGCCTCAACGATGCCGACTAGGTCACATATCCATAGACTACCACACTGCAAAATGGATCCAAAACATCTCCATTGCTTTCCGAAATTGCCTAGTTGCCATTGAATGTAGGCAGTAAAGTGACCGCTTGAAATAGGCTCTCACAAGGGGCGTTGGCATTGCTAGGTATGACTTAAGGTGATTGCATTGGTACTAAATACATAGTGTTTTAGTACCTGGTGGATGCACAATTTTGTTAACGTGCTCCTTGACACTCCCATGGTGACTAGAATACAAATAGGACATAGAAAACACTCACCATTCGCTATAAAAGCAATATCTATGAGGTTATCTGTGTAGTTCATCTCTCGGGAGTACTAATAGACTGTTTCAGGTCCATCCTTGCTAATTTAGACGGGCTTGCCTTGTGGCATGAGAATATATTGCTGTCGAATAATTAACGTAGGTAGGGAATTTCATCAGCTTTTTTGTACCCATCTCCACGTCGCGAGCAAGAGGAGCCCCTCTAGAAGAAGAGAGGAGCCATCGCAAAGCCTCGTATTCAGGCCATCTGGTATATTAAGGTGCAAATGGACAGTCTTTATTTAAAGGTGAATTGTTTTTCAAGTAAAGTAAGTGATAGGGATAAACAAATATAATGGCCTTTCTCAACGCAAGATCAGACAGTACCTATATACTCCTCGGCATCCCAATCCTAAATTCCGAGTAACTAGGTCATATATGGATTGTCAAGTTTTGGCTAAGCCATATTCAAATTTCCAGCATAGCATGATACTGGAGTAAAAAGCCTTTATCAACACAAGGCAAGGGCGGATATCAAACCTCGGTGACATGTCTATGTACTCCGTACCGGGAGTTGCTGATTGCACGACCCTGGAGAGGCATGTCCCTCCGTGAGAAAGTTGATACTAAGTAGGTACCGATATCGGAGTGGATGCAGCCAAGACGATTTGATGTTCCAGATGTCCGCTTGTTTCTAGGATGCTCTACGGAGTTGCTACTTGTTAGGGCTAGGAAATGCCAGGCTGGCTCGTGCGAGTCTCAATATTTAGATATTAGGCTCATGGGAGACGTCATGACCATAAGCCAGTTGCATTGGTGGGTCAACAATACTTGCATGTCGGATGGCCAATGGATCGTAGCCCTAAATGCAGGCATCCGCGGTTCTGCAGAGGCAAAGGCTCCACCCATAAGCAACCTGCAGATCCACCGCCGATCGGCTTACGCTGTGCCTGGCCGAGGCATGCTTACGGCTTATGGCTTATCGTGGGCCATCCATTGTCCAGCGATATCTACAACATATAAGGCCGTTACGCCGCAAGACAGCATTCCCATTCCCAAGCTTGACCATCCTGTCCGACATCTTCAGCCAAGCACCATGAGACTCACCCACGCAATCCCCCTCCTGGGTCTATCCCTCTCCGCAACAGCCCAAAACCTGTCCTTCGGCGCCGCCAACTTCTACCGCAGCAACGCCGTCACCATCCAACCCGTCACCTTCCCAACCCAATTCCAAACCACCGTCGCAGCCAACCTCTTCATCCCAACCAACCTCAGCCAGACAGCCGACCACCCAGCCATCGTCGTCGGCCACCCCATGGGCGCCGTCAAAGAGCAAAGCGCCAACCTCTACGCCACCAGGCTCGCCGAAGCCGGCTTCGTCACCGTCTCCCTCGACCTCCCCTTCTGGGGCAGCAGCGCCGGCGAGCCCCGCAACGCCGTCGCACCAGACTTCTACACCGAAGCCTTCAGCGCCGCAGTCGACTTCCTCGGCTCGCCAGCGCAGGGCTTCGTCTCCGTTGACCGCGCGCGCATCGGCGCAATGGGCATCTGCGCCAGCGGCGGGTACGCCGTCAGCGCAGCCAAGATCGACCCGCGCATTCGCGCCATCGCAACAGCAAGCATGTACGACATGGGCACCGTCAGCCGGGATGGACTGCGGAATGCGCAGAACCTCACGGCCCGCCAGGCGGTCATTGCGTCCGCTGCGGACCAGCGCTGGGTCGAGGTCGACGGCGGCGACGTCCAGTATATGGGGGGCACGCCGGATGTTCTGACCGCGGACTCGACGGCCGTCGATCGCGAGTTCTTCGACTTCTACCGCACTGTTCGTGGCGAGGTCATTCCGCCCGGCTCGATGTTCAACCGCACCACCCACCCGACGCTCTCGAGTAGCGCGCGCTTTATGAACTTCTACCCGTTTAATGACATTGAGAGTATCTCGCCGCGCCCGCTGCTGTTTGTGTCGGGGGACCGTGCGCACTCGCGTCAGTTTAGCGAGGATGCGTTTAGGCGGGCGTCGGAGCCTAAGGAGCTGTATTGGGTGCCGAATGCGGGCCATGTGGACTTGTATGATCGGACTGAGCTCATTCCGTTTGAGAAACTGGCACGCTTCTTCCGGACGAACTTGGCTGCTTGAGTGCATGGGGTAGTGTTTCCGCTTGTTGGTGCCTATACCAGCAATACCCGCCTCAATGCAGGTATTAAAGGGGCTTCCAAGTGCATTTTATGCTGGATGGTGCTTGCATGATGTCGAGGTGTTTACATGATGTCAAGGTGGTTGCAATGAATTTGGCTTCGAGAAGTGCACCAACCGTTTGTTTTTCAACCCCTTTGTAAAATAGTTTAGACCAGAAGCTAGTACAAAAAGATTGTAACCTTTTTCTTGAGGTCATGGTATCACCTATGCATGCCTTATAGAGGATTTAACACTAGCATATATCTGTATCAGGACTTCGAAAGTACTGCAAAAGGAGTATATCTTCCAAGGTTCCAAGGTCGAATACGCACATTACATATTGAACTACAAAGCGAACGCTTCTTTAGCCAAAGTCTGATATGTTTGACATTATACCATGGTAGGCGGTTGTACCAAAGCACTTTCTGATTTTCAGCGTTTGTTATCATGCCTTCTACCTTCAGCACAATGCATAGGTGCACGCAAAGATTTATAGAACAATACATAACTTGCTGAGATACCAGGCCGTTTGTCCATACCTGCAAGCCAGAGACTCGAGCTCTGGACACCTAAGCAGGGCGAACATTGCAAAATCTACTCAATTCCATTCACTTCCTCATTCACTGTATACTAACCATCCCTCGAGGCACCACTCCCAAACCCCCGAGATCGAATATTAATACTCCAGTTCTCCTATCAACACCCATCCCACAACACCCAATCCAACAAAGTACCATTGAACCTTGATACCAATCCTCAACATGCCAAATACTCAACGCCCCAAAACCACAACACCCTCCCCCATGGCTTCTACTTCAACCTCCCTCCTCGACCTCCCCACCGAGCTCCTCCTCCTAATAGCCGAGCACATGCCCCCCTCAGCCCTCATAGCATGTCACAATACATCATCTCGCCTCCGAGCCATCACCCTCCCACTCCTCTCCTCCCACACGAGAGACCGCTTCCTCTCCGAGTTCCAGCAAGCCAGCCAATCCGACTCCCACGCGCAAATGAACCTCCTGTACCCCTCAATCAGCGCCTCCCTCCGCCAACCATCCAACCAAACCACAGAAGCAGAAGCAGAAGCAGAAGCAGAAGTAGATCACGCCTTCAGCACCTCCGTTCTTCACGCCGCCTGCACAAGCACCAACACACCTATAATCTACTCCCTGATTATTCACCACGGCCTTAACTACAACACCCGCGCCCAGGCCAATAACCCCAACTCCACAGCCCTCACAACAGTAATGGCAAACCCTAACACCGCAGCCCTGCGAACCCTTATTGCCCTCGGCGCAGACCTAGCCGAGCCCTTTAACCTAAGCAACACCCTGTCCCACAAAACCAAGTACCTGCACCGCGCCGTTTAGTCGAACCTCCTTGGCGCCGTGAAATATATCTGCGAGGCGCGCCTTACTTCACCTCCCGAACTCGGCGGCGTGAACTGGCGCAATGACAGGGGCTTGACGGCGGTGCTCGTCGCGGCAAAGCGCGGGTTCCTATATATCGTGCGGTACCTGGTTAGCCGGGGCGCGCGCATCGACCGACAATTCGGCGACCGGGAGCGCAGGACGCCGCTTTGGTGGGCGGCTTGGAACGGGCATGTTGAGGTTGTGCGGTTCCTGGTGGGGCACTTGGAGGCAAGAGCGGGCGAGCAGGGGGGCAGTGTGGATGTGCAAAGGCACATTGATGATGCGGATGTGTGGGAGGTTACGGCTTTGGAGATCGCGGTTAAGCGGGGATGGGTTGAGGTTGCGGGGTTCTTGTGGGGGTGGGCGGATGTGAGGCGTAGAGATTGCATGGGATGGGTTCGATGGATTATGCGAGGGTTCCAAGGGAAGTGATCCATGGAGGGAGTATGCCCGAGGGGGTCTCTGGGAGGCTGAGGTGATACAGGCGCCTCGGGCGATGGGTGATACTTTTCCTTCTGTTGTTTCTTTTTAAAATGTGGATTTGAATCTTCTCGAGGTCTGAGGTTAGGAGACCCTTCAACCTTTTACTGAAGATTTGATCAGTCGACGAGATCTGGTTTACTTTGTTTGTCAGTTGTACATTCATCCGTCTTTGTATCTGTAGCCCTAGGAATCGGAAGCGTTGGATGATTTTCCCCTCCTGCTAGGGTATTAACAATTCTACCATACTTATGGTAGGTCGAGGGCCTGACTGGGCTGAAACAGAGGCATTACAGCCCGGCCCCCGTAGTTGGGATGTTGGAGCATCGAGCCTGATTGGGCACATAGAGAACTCCAGCTTGCAGGTGCAACATCTGATTGAGGAGTGTGAGATAGGGCGCCAGTGACTTGGTGGCTGGATGCAGGTGGAGGGCTAAGAAGCCATTTATACTATGGCTAGAGTAGGTACCATGATTTGAGACCATTCAATATGCCCAGGCAAAGGGTGAGAGAGGTAAGTAACTATCATACCAACTGCAATAAGATAGCCCCGGGTTTCGTAAGGATTACCCTAAGAGCAGTGCACCCCATACGCGCACATTAGGCCCAAGGCCTTATAGGTAGGTAGTACAGGCTGTAGTACAGGATAAAGCAGGACCAATCAGCAAAGGCAATAACCTCAGGGCTGCTCGGAGTTAAACCGAGTAAAAAAGCACGAATGCGGGGCCCCAGACCCCGGCCCAGCCAAGCCCCGAGTCTGCATCATTACGTAGACGGCGGTGGAGGTCATACAGAAGCCCCTCTTTGCTGCAGCTCACCCTCTTAAACCTGCACTCGTCCCAACTCCACCTCGCAAGTAAGCCATCCTACCATCTCATCACAACATGGCGACCGCACCCGCACTCTACCCAAGCCTGGCCAACAAAACCGTCGTGATCACCGGCGGCGCAGAAGGCATCGGCGCCGCAACGGTCGAGCTCTTCGCGCTCCAAGGCAGCAAAGTGATCTTCCTCGACATCGCAGACGACGCAGCACAAACCACCATAGCCCGCGTCGTCTCGCGAACCGAAGAAGCCGCAGCGCGTGGTGGACCTGCAATAACACCACCCATCTTCTACCACTGCGACGTGTCGAATCTCCCGACGCTCCAAGAAACAGCATCTAGGATCTTAAGCGAGCACGGACCCGTCCATGTGCTCATCAACAACGCCGCGGCAACAGGGAGCGCTGCGCGGATGGACACAGCGGGTGTTACAGCTGAATCCTGGGAAACTAATATAAACACGAACCTACGGCATGTCTTCTTCCTCACACAGGCCGTTTTACCCGGTATGAAAGAAGCCGGCTCCGGGGCCATCGTGAACCTCGGCTCGATATCGTGGCGGATTCCGGCGGCGGGACAGCCCGTGTACGCGGCGTGCAAGGCGGCGATTATGGGGCTGACGCGCGTGCAGAGTAAGGAAGTTGGTGGTGCGGGGATTCGCATTAATAGTGTTATGCCCGGGGCGATTGCGACGGAGAGGCAGAGGCGCGAGGTGTTGACGGAGGAATACCGGGAGGAGGTGATGAGGGGCCAGAGTTTGAAGAGGGATTTGGTGCCGATGGATGTGGCGAGGGTGGTTGTTTTCCTGGCGAGTGAGGAGGCGGGGGCTATCACGGGCAGCTCGGTTGTTGTTGATGGGGGGTGGGTGAGTGATCCTTGATTTGGGATGCTGGAGGGGTGTAGACGCCTGGAGAGTGCGCTTGACTGTGGTATGGTATGGTAGCGATCAGGGTAATCTTGATCCAATTTAGATCCAGAACCTGTGGGAATGGGTGACGGCCATCTTTCTTTTCTTTTACTATGGGCATGTGGCAATGACTAAGGTATGTCTACGAAGTTGAGGGGTATTTGTTGTGTGTAACAGCAATGGCTTGGTCTGTCTAATACTACCAATGTTTTAGGCTTTATATCAAGGGATCGTTCAGTTTCCCACTAGTTTCCCACTGAAAACTCGTTGGATAGCGTATTCGACAAGCTTGCCCGGTCGTAACAATGTTCCACTTCACCCATCACCGCCAGTATGGTACGTAGCCTTGCTTAACGTCGCAGCTCTGGGTGTAAATAGGCTCCGAGCAACTCTGAGCAAGAGGTACTGACCATCTGGGCAGCGGCATATGCTATAGAAAGCGTGGCAATCGCTTGGAAAACCAGTCTTCGCACAAGGATAAGTAACCCTAACTCCTGTCTCGACGGGACCTATTTGAACATCATGAAGCTGATCAAGAGCCTGCTGCATTATCGCCCCTCAGTTCATTTCCTTCTGCGCCCATGCTTCCTGTGCTTTGTCAGGATCTTTTTTGGGTTCTCTGCTTTTCCTGTTTTCCGTTTTCTATACCATTTCTCCCTCCGATTTCTCTTTTTTCTTTTCTGTTCTCCTTTGTGGAGACTAAAGTGAAGAATGCATCCAGTGCCATACCATATAAAAGTGTCCCAGGGTTTATCCACCCACCAAGCGACCATTTCTATAATACCAGTGAAACCAGTAACGCAAAGTTAAATATATTTTACACCATGTGAAACAGAGGCTTGAAGGGTTGATTAAGTTATTAATTTTATTTTACAGCTAAGACCAACCACTCAGGTACTAAAACAATGTGAAGGACTAAACAAGGCACTTCATAATTATCCATTAGCTAAATCCAACTAACCCCATTACAACAACCACAATAAGACCAATCTATCCGTTAACCTGATTGTAAGTAATTTAGCGGAGCTGATCCTCCGCCATGTAGTACTGTTTCGGTACTTATCTTTCACTAGGCACCAGTATTTCTAGGCTTCCAGCGTGCATTTATACGTCCCCAGGCCGTCGTGCGCCGCCTCTTAATCCATAGGCTTTAAAACCAAGGATTTATCGCAGGCAGCAACTTTATTAGGCGCAATAAATTTACTAAAGTCTGGTTAGGGTTCTCTTTTAAGGACTTTATAAACTTTTATAGCTGGACCTTTTTAATAGCGGGGAGCTTTATTTATCTTCTTTGCAATGCAAGGCTTACGGGGGAAGTTAGTAAAAGGTGACTGGTTTAATCTAGGTGTGGATTGGTTGTCTGCTTTCTTGCTTAGAAAGAAGAAGCAGTTAAATATTTAGTGATTTAGTAAGAGTAGGATCCGCCTACTGCTCTCCGTACATGGTCTCTGCATGCAGTACTATTAAGGATTTATTAATTAACTTATAAGATGCAGAAGCTTCTTGGGTCCTGTTAGTGGCTTAATCCTTAGTGTGGATATATAAAGGCGGCCTATTTTACAATCACTGCTATTAATTGCGAAGGCGCCTAAATGCATGCTACAATAATAAATAGCCTGTCTTCTCAAGTCATCTTTACGTGCCGCTTACCAGCATGGGAACCAAGGTTATGCCCTGCTTGTTTATTCCGTGCAAGTTAGCTCTCATTAGATGTTGCAGCTTTGTCCAGCCACCTGATATTTAATTGGAGATTTGGCAGCCTCTTGCGAGAGGAGTTCGGTGTGCTTGAAGCATAGACATAATTAGCACTTGGTAAATTGGTATTGTTTATTGTCCTGTGAATCTTGGCCCAGAGTCTAGAAGAGCGCCTATTGGGGTTGTACACCTTAACTTGTTAATAGCAAGTGTATAAAACTGCTACATAAATAAAAAAAATAGATTTATCTGGCTATCTTGTGCTTACTAGCTAGTATTAACTTTTGTAGACTTCTTTTTTAAATAAAAAACACTATTTTTTATCGCCCACCCACCCCTATTATTAATACTTAATGGCTATAGCTTTGGCATTTTGTTACTATGTAAGGTGTATAAATAACTTGGGCTTTTAATTAGGTCAAGAAGTTAGTTAGCACCTACTAAGTTAACTTAAATATAGGCTTTTATTTAAACTAACCTATTTTACTTTAATAGTAGTTATAGCATAGATTATATCCTGGTTAATTTTATTTTATATCCACCTAGTTATGTCTTTTAGATACAAAGTTAGTAAGGAGGTCGAGCTCACTATTAATAACACTTAATATATTTTAATTTTTTACAAGAAGGTAGTATTATCCTAATTTTAAAGCCATCTTTTTATTTTTTAAGCATTAAATTATTATGTAAGACTAACCATAACTTACTAGAACTTCCTGCGTGGTATTAAACTTAATATTAATTTTATTATTTTAGTGCTTGCGTATAATATCTTTACTAAGTATATTATTACTAAGGCTGCTTTATATAACTTCCAAGCTAATATTTTTAATTAAGATAATGTTTTTTGCCCCAAGTTTTTTAAGAATATTGTGTTTTATAGCGCTAAAAAAAGCAAAACTACTATTAAACCAGGCGTTAATAGTAAACTAGTAAATTAAAAAGTAAAAATTAAGCTATTTTTTTTTGCTACTTTTATTATAATTACCCCTGGTTTTTATGTTTTTTTCCGCGGCTAGACCTGGCAACCGTGAAAGGTTTATAAGGATTTTAACACTTGCTTTATGACCTTGTTTAAGCCGTCGCCTAATAATCCAAACAGATAAGTTTATACCTCTTGGGCAAGAATATCAAACTAACACCACTCCATATTCCTTACTTTAGATACCCCTATTACTAGCAGTAATAAACAAGTTATTATCCCTTTTTACTATTATTTTAAGCTTTTTATATTAAAGCCCCTGCATGGTGCCTAAGTAAGTATTAAAAATAATATTAATATTACTAGTTATAAAACCACCTTTTATAACCATGCCTAAATTAAGCTTTACCTAGTTAAAATTAAGCATGCTATTTATATTTAGCGCATAATTAATATAAGTATTATTATTATTAATAAAATTAAGCTTTAAGTAATAATTATACATAAGAAGCTATTAAAATATATTAAGTTTATTATATTATTTAATCCCCGTGGTAATAAGTACTAGGTTTTTTTAAAAGTAGCTATATAAGTATAGCCAGGATTTTATTATATAACTAGTTAAACTTTTTACTTAATTTAAATAGTGCGTAAACCTAGCCTTTTACTTTTTTTATTATTATTTTATAATTTTTAATTAACTTTTATAGCTAATAAAAGTGGTTACAAGCCTGTTTTATATAATACATATTTTTTTATTTAACTAAGCACTAGAATTATAAATAATATAAGTATTATTAAAACCTTTTTATATATATTATAATATTATTTAATATAATAAGGTTTAATTACTTAAGTAATTTAATATACCTATTTTTTTAGCTAAAACATCTTTTACTTTATTAAATTTATTAATAAGTAATATAGGGACAGCCCGGGCCTAATTTATAATAACCTTAAAAAAATTTATTTTTTTTATTACCTAGCTAAAAAAAAGGTAATAATTATTAAATTAAAAATTAGTTTAAATTTTTTATTTTTTTAATTATTTTTTTACTTTTAACATAGCCTAGATTATTATTATTAATAAGTTTATTAAGGGCCTTAAGTTTATTATTTTTATAAAATAAACTAGCTTTTTTTTATTAAATAATAAAAAAAAAACCTTTTTAATAATAAGTAGCATGTTAATATTATACTATACTTTAAAAAAATATATTTTATTTTATAAGTATATATATTTTTTATTTTTAATAAACTTTTTTTAAGTTAATAATATATAATACAGGCTAGAATTTACCTTTTTTACTATAATTAATACTAAAACTTTACCCATTTTAAAAATAAGTATAAAGCTAAATATAACAAGCTAGTATTTATATATAAATAATTTATTTAATAATAATAAATTAGTCTTATAAAACACTTATTAACTTAATTAATAAGCTTTTTTTATACTTAGAAAAATTAATAAAAGTATTTTATAAAAATTATATAATAAGTTTTAATATTACTTTAAGGTTTATTATAACTAGCTTTTTAATAATATTTTTAAGCCTATTAATAAAAATATATTTATAATAATAATTTTACTTATTAAGGCTAAAAAGCTAAATTATTATAATATAAACTTATTATAAGTTATTATTATTTTATTTTTTATTATTTATATACTAACCCTTAAACCAGCCTAAATAATTTACTTAATAAATATATTATTTTTAATATATTTAACATGCTCCGCGTGCTGGAGGTTACAACTTAAATATACTACTAATTAATATTTAGTTAGTAATATTTTATACTACTTTATTATTACTAATTATAAAAAGTATTTTTTTATTATAGTGTTAGTTATAAGCGCCCCTGGCATAAATTTACTTTTAGTAAACTTGGTAAAAAAAAGCATGGTTAGGGCTGGCTTGGGTATAATAGTTAAGACTAGGAGTGTTATATTTTAGGATTAATTTGGCCGTGTTTAAATAAGAGATTGCAGGTAAGAGGGCATTATAACCAAAAACGGGTAAAGACTTAGCAACCCAAGGTAAGACATAAGGTTCTGGATTTATGGCTTAACAGGGGAGGCAACAAGGTTTGTTTCACTTTTCGAATGCCGTACACTTGTTGAAACTAGAAAAAGGTGCAAGTCAGAACTACCTACTAATCCTTGCCTGCGTAGCCCTAAACGCACCGGGTTATATAGTACCCTGCCTCCTCGCTCCCACAAAGAGCCCCTCCCATCCTCTCTGTCCCTCTGGTCCTCCCGTCGAAACCAGCAGCTCGTAATTCCGCCTCACAACACCCTTATTCCCGCCCGAGTTCCTCCACAGTGTCTAGAACGCCGTGAAGCTCTCCTGCACAGTCATGACTCCCGATTCGTTGGCGTCAGCGGTATACCCGGCTACATTGGCCTTGCTGTAGCTCAGATGCCCAGTACTCGTCTAAAGACACGTCAAGAAACCGAGCAGGGTGGCCAGTGACCTTTGTAAATGCCACAGCTAGATTAGCGTAGGAAACATGCTCGATAGCTACACTGCGGTTCGTTCCGTTGGCGCGCTCGGTGTTGTTGAATAGCCAGCGAACATGATGCCCGCAGTCTTCCAGCGCGACGTGCGGTACTGCGCCTTCAGCAGTGAGCGGGACTCTCCAGGTAAGTATGGTGCCTCGGTGCCATTCTGATCCCTCTCAATGGCAGGCGCCATGGGCACATGTTCGGAAATTGTCATCTCCATATACAACCCCGTCGTGAACAGCGCGGCCCCATCCCCATAAGGGTTGACTTTAACACCTTTGACTCCGCAGCTTGAGCGAGGATCCTAGCCACTTGCCCACCCTCCCCTTCCCGTCCAATGGCCTGTTTAAAACTTAGGCCTATACCTAAAAAGCTTATACTTATAGTTTAAGTTCCTATAAATAAAAAACCTAATTTTATTATTTTAAAGTGTAAGCTTGTAAAACTAAATTACCTAAAATAACTTACTTTTTTTATAAATTATAAAGTTATTAATATTAATAAAGACACTGTTGCAGGTCCTGTAAGCATTTTAAAAATTAAATTTATTAATAAGTATATTTTTAAAAAGTTTTATATTTTTTAAGGTTAAAATAGATTAAGCACGGGGATATAGGATTTTATATTAGGATTTAATAAAGATATTTTTTATTAGTTTTTAGGGTAGGAAGCGCATGGTGGGGAGGCCTTGGGCGCATGTGCCGCTAATAATAAGGACCTTGGTTCTGGGTGTTGTTCTTTTGTGTGTTGGGCAACTACCTGGAAGTTTTGGTTCAGTGCATATGTGACAGTGAGCGGGTGGAGTCTGTAGATATACAAATCCATGCTGTACAACATACCTATAGTCAAGCATTTATAATGAATGATTTGATGCCGAGAGGGCACTCGATTGCAGGGATATCCATGCGACCTTAATATAACCGACGCGGTATGGGTCTCGCCCACCCTGACTAAGGTTATCATAGGTATGTTGTTGTCCGCACAAAGCACTAATAGGGGGTCATATTGTTTCAGACATCTACTCTACTTACAAAGCAGGTCTAGGTCTACCCAACGAAGGCTCGAGACGATGTCCATATCAGATATTCACCTGGTCGGCCACGGACACGCTCTACAGCGCGGGTACGGGGACGGGTACGTGGACAGCCAGATCGTGTAGACAACCAATACCATACAGGGCTATGCCCGCGCATTTCTCTACCTCCCTAGCTAGCTATTACCAATCCCAACGGCAACATTGGTTGCATTCCTCAACCCCTCCCACTCCCCCTTTAATATTAAAAATAAAATTATATTATACCACCTTTTTTTATAGTACATAATCTTACGCTCCCGCCCCTTTTTTATAAACCCTAGTTTTTTATAATATTTTAATATATTTTTATTATATAAAAATATACTAAGGCTAACCTAATATAACCTAGCATGCGTAAATACCTAGTTTAAAGCCTAGTTAATTATTTTATTATTATACCCCTGGTTTTAATACCTAGGCGCAAGCAAGATACTAAGAGTGCTGTAGTAGTGGTGGTCTGTTTTACTAGGAATAAGGTAAAAAATACTTAAGTAGCTAATAAGGATAGGTTTTAATGCCTTAAGCTTGTTTAATAAATTATTAGGTGTAAAAAAAAGAAGGTAGATTAAAACACTAAGTAAAAAGTTTTAAATCTTATTAATAAACTTTTTAGTAAATTTTATAAATATAGGCTATTAAAAACGCCCGGTGCTTATTATTTAAATTATAGGGTTATTAAAAATATATATATATAAAAAAATTTTATTTATTTTAGTATTTTTAGGGGCGCGGTAAGTTAAATAGGTAAATTTAAAGTAAAAAAGGTTAGGGGGCATAATGGCAAATTTAGGTTGGTTTCTAGGGCCATAGATTAACCTCAACAGCGGCTTATTGGGAGTTTATATAGTTAAGTACCCTAATGCCCGCTAGTCGGGGCCCGGGGTCCTAATCGGGTGCCCGACTAGAAACAAGGTGACTGGGGCTAAGGTTATCTTGCCTGTTAGCGCTAACAGTATTTACTAGTCTAAACTTGCTGACTACGTGTACCATGGAGCCTGGATAAGGTTTAATATTTAAAAAAATAAAATTATTACAAAAGGGTTAGGTTATTATTATTTCTTAATTTAAATAACTTAAAAGACTACTAAAATATAGCTAATTTAATATGTTAATACTAGGAAAAAAAAAGTAATAGTTAGTATATAAAACTCTTTATATAAACATAAATTATAAATTAACTAATTAAGGAAGTATTACTAACTACTTTTAATTAGTAATAGCCAAGCTACCTGTAATAATACTTGCCTTTTTATTTATTATAAAAATAGCCTAGCTCCTGCTTTTTAATACTATAATAATAGCCCTAAAAAATTTTTTTAAAGCTTATTTAGCTAATTAAAATACTATATTAAATTTTTTTTACTTAACTTTTTTATTAAAAAGCTATTACTAAAATACATAAACCTATTAGGCGCGTTATTATTATAAATATATTTAAAGTCCTTACCTTGGGAACCGCTCTAGTATATTTAAAAAATAAATATAACTACCGGGATGCAAGGCCATGACCTCCCTGGTTTCCAGTTCCAGGCCTTCGGGGACAATCCGCTCGATGCGCTCTGTCACCGTGCGCACATTGGTCTTGGTGAGTGCCCCGCTGCAAGGTAGCCCACCCGGGGGTCAGGCGGCGGCAGCCAATAGGGAAATTAGGCACAAGGGCCTCGTAGAGCCTCTTGTCGTGGTTTAATGCCTTTTCCATGTTTGCACGCAGTGTATCGACGGCCAAAAGAGCAATAGGGCTGCCGTTGATGACCTATTGGCTTTTAGCACAGCATGTTAGGACGGGGTTAACTACTTATGAATGGGGAATTGCCATTGACACGCTCCTCGGCTGCTTTGATGATTTTGCGATACATTGCTGGATCAGTGGTGAACCGGTCGATTCGGCTGGCTGTGAACTTGCCATCGGGGCCGATCTGTTTGCTCTCCATGAGATCGAGCCTGGACGGCGTGATCCAGGTTGTGGATCGGATGACATGAATGGTGTTTGACATCTGAATCTCATTACTCCTATTGCCCACCAAAGACATCGTTGAAGCGTATCAGGTTGCATAGCAGGGACAACCTGAATTCCATGTTAATTTTTTAGAGGGTTTTTACTACTTTCCCTTTGTTATTTCTCTGCTATTTACAGGCAGAGAAAAAGCTTTTAAAGTCCTAGTATAGCGGTAAAAATTATTTAATAGCTAGTAAATAACACGGCTTTTAGCTCACGGCCGCCAAAATAATATAATTAAATAAAACTATATAAAGTAAGGCTTTAACTTTATTATTAAGGGCTATAAAAAGTGTTAATAACTTATAAAGTAAGTACTGTTCTAGCTATAAAATTACTAATAAAAAATTTATTTATTTAGGTTAGTTAACGCCATATACTCTTCTCAGCAAGGTTGGATAACCCAGCAAAATCATATGCAAAGCAGGGGCAGCTAAAGGAAGCGGAAGAGCTTTCAAATAGTAAACTTAAACCTCACCCGGGGAGGTATCTATATTATACCTACATTTGGATATTTAGAACTAAAGCCCACGACCCTATATCCACGCATAAAGTTTTTGAATAGCATAATAGCATGTGATACAAAGCAAATAGATATGTTCCAGTAACAGGCCAGGACCAAACTAATACTGTGGCAAATATTCCAACTATTCCAAGGTTCGTGGGCCCTGAAAGCCCCCACCTGCAGGGCTTTATTCCAACCTTCCAATATATCCTGGTAGCAAAGGTAAGCCCCCCGGGCGTGTTAATTCAACCAATTGTCCCTCCCGTCTGTATATCTCTGATCCCTCGATCACCAACATCCAACACCACCGTCATGCCCCTCTCAATCCTGGACGGTGAGCCCTGCTGGAAGTGGGTGCCTGAGGCCACCGGAGGCCTTAGGGCTCTGGTAAAGGAAGGTTCTTCCAGCCTAAATAGCCACACGTAAAACTCTTTATTTATCCCTAAAATATTTAGCTAAAAAAAAAACTAAGTAATACAAGAGACTTTTATATATAATAATTATTTATTTTTTTAATAGGTTATAAGCCCGGGTTTGCTTAACTTATATACCTAATTAAAAGTTTTTTTTTTTAAGTTAACCCATACTAACTAAATATATAATATCTTCTTATTTTACCTATTTAACTTTATATTTTTTTTATAACTTTACTAGTTATTATAATAATTAAAAAGCCCTATACTTAGGGTAAAGGCCTTACTATAAGGGTATAAATATTATAATTTTATTTTATTTTATTTTAAACCCTTTATTTTTTTTTTATTTTTACCTTTTTAATTAGCTTTTAACTTTATAAATGTCCGCTTTCTAGGGCCATATATATTTAATTTTTTAATAAAAATAAGTTTTTTTAGTGGCTAAAAAGTTTTAAAACCTTTAAAGGTAGTATAATACCTTTAGGTTTTTTAATTTAAATTTTAACTTTAACTACTTCTTAAAAATTTAAATTAATTTTTAAATATTTAACTAGCTATTTTTAGTTACTAGCTTTTTTTTTATATAATTATTTTAGTATAGGCTTTAGCCTATTTAACCTTAATTTTACTATAATAACTTTTTAGGGCTTATTATTTTTAACTACCTTAGGTTTTTAATCCCTAAGTATTTTAATTCCTGGCTTTTAAACCGCTTTAATTTTTTTATTATTTAGTTTTTTTATATTTAGTTTTTTTATGTCTAGTTCTCCTATACTAAGCTAAAATAAAAAAAATAACCTTAATTAAAGTGGAAAACATCCCGGTTTTAATATTAAAAAACTAGTGGGTTAAATAAAACTAGTAAGTATTTTTAAAGCTTTAAAAGGCTGGCTATAGCCACTTTTTAAAGTAGCTAAATTAAAAACACCTTATAAAAACCCTTACTAGTCCCTTTTTTATTATATTAGCTTTAGTAAGTAAAAATATTAAAACCCCTAGTTAATAATTTATTATAAGCTAAGCTAAAAATATAAGTATTAATAATAAAGTTTTAATTACTATTATACCTTTTATATAGCCTTTTACTTAGCCTATTACTAAAATTATTACTAAGCTTATACCCCTGGTAAACTATAATAAGGCTAAAATTTAATAATAAAACTAAGACTATATAGTAGCTTTAATTTTTAGTTATTTAAGTTTTAATTTATAAAACCTTTTTATTAATAAATAAATAGTTTATAAGCTACTTAATAAAATTAAAAACTATTTTAAACTTAATATTAATATTATAATTTTTAAGGCCTGGGCTAACCTAATATCCTTATTTTATAATAAAAGTATTTTTAACCTTAGCAAAAAACTTAAAAAAATTTAGTAGGAATTTACCTGTGTTAATATTATACTTTTAGCTAAACTTATTATTACTACTTTTTATTAAGCCCTAAGTAACTAATTTAACTATTTTAAGGCCATGTACTTTAATAACCATGTTATTAAACACCTTTTAAAAAATATTATTATGCTAATTATCTCCCTAAATAACTTTATAATTACCACTAAGTTTATTAAATTAAACTAAAATTAGGGTACTAGTACCCTAGCACTTTTTTTAGTAAGATATTTATAAAGCTTAATGCTAAGTATTATAAAAACTACCTTAATATTATTTAAATATATAAAAATAAAGGTACCATAAATATTACTATATATTATTACCCTTATTATAACACGCTTTTTTATAATTAAAAAACCTCTTATTAACTTTATCCTAAGCTTAAAATTATTTAAAAAAACTTTTAAAGTGGTAAGGGCGCTAAATACCCCCGGAAAGACTTTAAATTTAAGAAAAATATAAAGCTTATGCTTAAGCTAGCACTTATAGCTTAAATTAGCTTAAATTTTAAATAAAAAATTATTTAAAATAATTTTATTTAATAAATTGCCCTAAATAATAGCTATATATAATATATTATTTATAATTACTTTTTATTTTAGGACCTTAAGCCCTATATTAATTCTAGTATTAAGGGTATTAGCCCTAAAGTTTTTAGTACCTAGGGTATTAATATTATTAAAATTTTTTATTATATTAATAGCTAGCTTAAAATCTTAGCTTTAAATAATATTTTATACTACCTAAATATATTTTTTATATTAATATTTATTTTTTAGCTATTAAATAAGTATTGCTTAGTTAGCTTTGGCTAGTAAAATATAAAAGCTAAAAAGCTATAAGGTATTAATATTATTACCTTATATAATTATAAATTAATTTAATACATGGCTATTAAAGTTTATAAAGTATTTTTTTAACCTTTACTAGGGCCTAGTAATACTAGCTATTTTAATACTAGTAGCTTTTATTTTTTAGGATAAATTTTTTTAGCTTTAGTATTAATAAATAGGTTATATTTTTAAAAATTAGCTTAATAAAATAAAAAAGGTGGTTTATAGCATGCACATGCTTAAAAATTATATTTATAAATTTTATATTACTATATGCTAGCAGGCCAAGCCTTATAAAAATATTATAATACTTATTAATTAATTATTTAAACTACTTTATATAAATATTTCCGGCCTATATTTACTCTTGTTTAATAAAAAGGTATATATTAGCTTTATTATAAATAATAAATTTTATTATTATTAGGTTATAGCACTAGCTAGTAAAAATAAATTTATTATTTAGGCTTTTTTTATTATTTATTAATATAACATGCCTAAACTCCCGCTGCGCCATGTATACTATAATTAAGGGGGGGAAAATATTTATAACCTATAATATTTTATTTATAGCTTTAAAGCTATTATAAAAACCTTTAATATAAACTAGTATAAATAAAATAATTATATTAAAGCACTTATTAGCAAGCTGCTTAGCCTTATATAATTTATATTATATAATACTAAAGCCCTAGCTAACATGTGGTTTAAGTTTTATAAAAATATTAGTTATTTATATAATTAAACTTTATATTTTATATTAAATAATATCATGCTATTTAAAGCCTGGTATAACTATTAATTAAATATTTTTTATATTTATATTTTCTGGTCCAAGGTCTATATTCTAAACCTACTAAAAAAGTAAAAAAAGCTTTATAAAAATAGCAGAACAAGAACTAGAAGGCTAGTTAATTTTAATAAAAAAATAAATAAGCTATACTAGGTTTTTTTAAATAATAATTACATGGTTTTAGTATATAATATTAATATTATTAAAAATTATTATATTAGGCCAAATCCTTTAAAAGTAACTACTTTAGTGTTTTTAGGGATTTTTATTCTTAAGGCTTTACCTTTTCTAAAAATCTCTATTTTTAAGGCCTTATTTTTAAGCCCTTTAGGGATCTTTATCCCTAAGGCGCTGCTTAAAGCTTTAAACCCTTTAAAAATTTTTATTTTTAAGGCACCTAAAGCTCCAGTATCTCTAGGAATATTTATTTTTAAAAACTTATTAATTTAAGTTAACACTAACCTAAATACTAAAAAAAACCTTAAAAATAAATTCTTAAAAAGCCTAGCTCTTAAAAACCTTTTTAAGTATATAAATTTTAAAAATTTAGTAGTAAAAGCTATTAACTTAGTTATTAAAGCTAATATATTCTTAAAAAACCTAAATTTTAGCTTTTATAATATTAACCTAGTATACCACACACGCGCCCAGGCTATTATTAATTTTAAAAGGGCTTTTTAAATTTTAAATAAGCTAGCTTATTTATTTTATTCTTAAAATATTACTAAAGCCACGCGGAATAAAATTACCTTAATTAATAAATCTTATTTAAATAATTTTTAAGCACTAGCTAGCAAGCCTAGCTTAAATAATATTTTAATATTAGCTATAATACTTTATAAGTAAATTTTTAAAAAAAATAAACTAATAGTTTAGCAAGCTAAAGTTAAAGGTAAATAAAATAAATAGTTTAAGGGTATATAAAAAAAATATAATTTTTTAATAAAAAATAAGACCTAGGATTTTATTAACCTACCCTTTAAAAAATACTTGCTTTTTAGTAAATAAGTTTTAAAAGTTAAAAAAAATTAAAAGGCTAAATTTTTTACTATAAAGCTTGCTAGGTAGTTTATAGCTTTAAGTAAGTTTATAAGCTTAATTATTATAAAACCTTTACTAGGGTAATAAAGCTAATAAGCTATAAGTTTTTATTTACTATTACTACCACGCTAGATCTTAAAATTAAATAAATAAATATAAAAATAATGTTTTTATATAAGAATATTAATATTATAATTTTTATAAAATAGTTTTATTTTTTTACTAATAATTTTAAGCATGTTTACTAGCTTTAAAAGGCCCTTTATAACCTAAAGTAAGCACCGCGGATTTAATACTAACTATTTATAAACTTTTTAGCTATATTAGGCTTTTATTTTATTTATTTAAACTTAGGAGTCTTTATTAATAATAAGATTTTTATTATTATATATATAAATAATTTTTTACTAGTTAGCAGGAATAAAGCCTAAATTTAAAAAATTAAAAATACTTTAAGTAAATACTTTAAAATATTTAATTTTAGCCCTTGTTATTACTATCTTAGTATAAAGGTTTATTAAAATTAGGCTAACTAAATACTTTAGCTTTTCTAGCTTGGCTATATAAATAAGATTTTTTATTAATTTAGTATAAATAATTTTAAAATTTATAATATATTAATAAATCCCTGCTTAAAGCTAAAGCCCGCTCCTAAAAAATATATAATATTAATAAATATTTTAAAGTAGTACTAAAGTATTATTAGGTTTCTAATATATTTTATACTAGGTACTTAGGCTAATATTACTTACCCCATGTTTATTTTAAGCTATTTTCTTACTAAGCTTATAAAAAAGCATGTAATAATTATTAAGCGCGTGTTTTATTACCTCTAGGGCTTTGTAAACTATAAATTAATATTTTTTTAGGAATTTTTAATTACTAACTAGCTATATTAATACTAATTAAGGTAGGGATTTAAAAACATGTTATTTTACCTTTAAATATATATTTTATATAAGCTTTATAGCTATTAGCTAGTTTTTTAAGTATTAGTTTATTATAGCTTTATTTTTTTATAAAGCTAAGTATATAAAAAAAATATAAGTTATTAAAAAGACTATTTAACTTTACTACTTACTAGGGGAGCTTATAAATACCTAAAAAATAGATTTTATAACTATTATAATTTATAAAAATAATAAAAATATTATAATACTAGCTAGTAACCCCTAGTTTTATACCTAAAGTAAGTATATTAATATTTAGTATTATTTTATTTAAAAAAAAAAGGCTAAAGGTATAATTAATATTTAGTTTATTTTTATTAAAAAATAAATAATAAATAGCCTTACCAAGCTACTAGGGCCTAAGGCATTTAAATATTTTAAAATCTTATTAAAAATCCTCCCTAAGCTTATATAAATAGGTTTTTTAGTAATTTTTACACTAAAATTAACCTTTTTTATACTAAACTTATAATAACTCGCGTATTATAAAATTATATTTAATAATTTTTATTTTTAGCTTATTACTACTTTATCCCTGTTTTTAGGGATTAACCTTATAATAAAGATAATATAATATTATTTTATCTTAAAATCTTACCCTAGTTTTATATAATATCTTAATTATAGTATTAAAAGTTAATATATTTTTAGCCTAGTTTAATAAAATTCCTGGTATTTTTTATATTTACCCGCGGGAAATTTTATTTCTAAATATTAAAATATAGGCTTATTAATATTACTAGCTTATTAATTACCTTAATTAAAATCTTTATTTAATATTTTTTTAAGCCTTAAAGCATGGTTATACCACGTGATTAGTAGCCTTTAGCACCCTAAAACTTTTTTAAATTAAGTAGCTAAATAGTGCTATTAACTTTTAGTATATATAGGCTATTATAATAATTTTATTTTTTAATAAAAAAAAATATTATTATTTAAAATTATAATTCTTATTATAATCCCACTAGCCTATATCTTAAAAACTTTATATTTAGGGCTTAATTATACTTACTATAATTATTAAGTTAATACTATATTTTTTAAAATATATAATATTATACTAGTACTAAATTTTCCGGGAAAAATTAATACTTAAAATATATATTTTAATAAGTTTAATATATTACTACACTAGGTAACCTACCTTATACTAGGAATTAAAATCCCTAAATAACTTATTACATACTAGTTTACTACTATTAGCTAATATATTTTATATAAACTAGGCCTTATTTTTACCCCTAAAATAGCTTTTATATACTTTAATATTTATTATTACTTTTTTAGCCGCAAAGGGGTTATATAATTTATAAAAAAACTAGTAAATATACTAGCTAGCCCCTAAATTTATAAATTACTTAGCTTATTATTTATTATTTATTATACCTTTAGGCTACCTAGTGCCTAAAGCTTTTATTAAAAGTTTATTATTTTATATATTTTATTATTATTTATTTATACTTTTAAGGACTACTTTAGCCTATTAATACCTAAAGCTTTTATTAATACTTATTATTTTTATTATTTTAATTATTAGCTTTTTAATACTTGCTTATAAATTATATTTTTAAAAAAGCCTTTTTTTAGTACTAATAGCCTATAACTTATTAATTTAAAAAAGACTTTTTTTATACTAGTAGCCTATAGCTTACTAATTTAGGGGAGTTCTTAGTATAAATAAAAAAAAGTATTAAAAGTAGGTACTTAAGGCTACTAGAGGCCTTAGGGCTCCGGTAAAAAAAGGTTTTTTTAGCCTAAATAACCACCCGTAAAACTCTTTATTTATTCCTAAAATATTTAGCTAAAAAAAAACTAAGCAATACAAGAGACTTCTACATACAGTAACTATTTATTCCTTTTAGTAAGCCCCCCTCCCCACCCGCCTGGGGAACCCTCCCCCTGGACATCTATCTCCTCTCAGAATGGGACGCCCCGCATCCAGACCCCTGGCAATCCACCCCAGAGTCCACCTCCGACCGGCGCAGCCGGCTCCTCCGCCAATTCCTCGCGCTGGGCAGCGTAGGCCGTGAGGTATCTCAACCCCTCAAACTCAAACTCATTTTCTCGACCTACAACATCTGACAATGTGAACAGCCCTACGACTCGCAGACAGAGGATCCACCAACGCCTACAGACGCGCAAATCGATGGGATCTTGCGTCCCGCGCGCCCCGAGGCTCTCAGGCCATACGCGGCATACACGGGGTCTCTGGATGAAGGGCTCTATCTTCGGCTCTGCTATAATACTGCAAAGGAAGAGGCGCATGAGGCTGTGTGGGCGGGGAATCTGGCGCACGGCTTCGTTGGGCCTGACGGGTTGATCTTCGACGATGGAGACATTTTCGGGGCGGAGGGGATGGATCTAGCGCGGTTTCTGGAGATCTTTCCGGAGAGGGTTGCGAGTGTGGGGGGTGTTGAGCATGTTGAGGGCCGTGAGAGCGCGCTTGAAGAGTGTTTGAGGGGGATTGAGGAATATGGGGGGGATGGGGGGGATGGCGACTGTCAAGCTCGAGGCACGGGGGAGGAAGAATACTCCGATGGGGTGAAGCGTTATCTTGCAGAGAGGCGCAGAAGGGATCCGTTGCTTCGGTACTGGGAATACCACGCTGCCTGTGTCGTGACGCATCTTTTTATTGAGGATGCGGAGACGCTGGAGGGGAAGGGGTTGCTGCATGTGTTTCTGGATGACATTGGGAATGTTGTGAGGCAGTGGAGGACGGACGAGACTTCCAGCGAGGATTTCGATTTCGATGGCTCGTGGAAGGAGGGGGTTTGGAGGGGGGAGTTTGAGATGGGTAGGGGGGTGCTTGGGGATGCATATCGGGATGGGGGTATTAGGGGGCCGCCGTATGAGCTTTAAACACTACTTCACTAAACGGTAGGGTAAACTTACTGGAGGTTGTAAGTTGCAGAGCATGATGGCATCAATAAGAATTCAAGCAGGGAGAAGAAGAAGCTACAATATCAATTAAGGTCGGGGGTTGTTACAGGGGCATGTCTGACGACCTCTATTTCTTATCCTCTAAACAGCCATGCTCAACACCATACCCACCTGCTTAGGAAGCCTTCCTGTCACCAGCATTCCCCAGCTCAGGCATATCATACAAAACCTCCGGCAACTGCACATCCCGGAGCGCCGTAAGGATCCCAAACTGATGACAAAACCCTGAATCCTTCGCACTCAGCCCGTAAAAGCCGACAATAACCTCGCCCTCTTCAGGTTCAAGCGTAAACACCCCTTGAGACTCCAGCTCTCCATCCTCGTTCCCTTCATAATCGTGTGAAGCGCTATTAAGCTCCCCCCAAGCCGTCCCATCCCCAAGGACCATCCGTATCCCCGCTAGACTCCCCCACCCGTCATCGTCACTGCAAACCAATACTCTCGAAATGCTCTCGCCCTCAGGAAGATCACGTCGCTCAGAGGCATGCCCGCCGAAATAATGCGGCTGGCCACTGGCATCAAGCGCAGGCCCGCAATTCTCGTGCCGTCCGTCAGCGTAGTATACCACCGCGCCGTCCATCGTGCAGCCGACGCGGAGGTCGATGCATGTTGCGCGGTGGAGATTTCCGTCTTTACCGCGGTGGTGCAGGAGGACGGTCCAGGGGATGAAGGCGTCGTTTTCGGTCGAGGATTCCTCGAGGCTGGAGGATGAGATGGCTTGCTTGCGCAGGATGATGTCGGTGCCCGGGATGGAGATGTATGGCTTCTGGTTGAGGAGGGTCCAGGCGTTGGATATGGTGCGCTCTTTACCGCTCATGGCTAGGGCCGTGATTTTCAAGGGTTCGGTGCGGGAGAATTCGGCCAGAGCTTCGGGGTTGAGGCGGACGAGCGTGCACTGGCCTGTCCAGTTGGATGCGGCATCGTTGTAGGAGGTGATGGGGTCCTGCTGGCCGTTCTGGATCTGCACCTGTGCGAGGCCGGCCTTGCAGGAGATCTGGATGAACTCGTCTCCGTCTTCCTCTTCCTCGTCAATGTCATCGCTGTCAACACCAGCCTCGATGCACACCGTAGCACGCCGGAACTCGCCTGGATCCTCAACAGGTCTATCCCCAGGCAACGCGAAATGCGGGAGGAGCCTGAACTGCAGCGCATCGCGCAGATCCCACTTTGCTTCATGCGCAATTGCATCCTCATTCCCCTGACCAGCTCGAGAGCAATTCATATTCCGCTCATGCTCCACAAACGCCCTTCCCCAACCCCCCGCATACCCCCTCGCCATAATCCCGCTCGTATGCCCGGCCCCAAACGCATGACCGACCTCATGCAGGAACGCACCCTGGCCGACAAAACAAGCCCCCTGCATCGTCCCGCACTCCCCATTATCATTTCCCACCGTGCTACCAGTCTCCGTGCAATCCGTCAAGCAAGCCGCCACCTCCTCCAGAAACCGCGGCCAGGAATACGCAAGATGGCTCCCGAGCACCCCCAACGACAGCCCATCACCCCTGTGACATCCCAGCGCCGCATGGCCAACGATAAGATCCCGCTGGGCATCATAATGCGAGTCCAGTATCATACCCGCAACAACAGGGCGACTGGAACGCAGATTCTCAAACGGGGGACCATGCGCAGCAAGCGCAGCCTCAAAGTACGCGTGCAATGCATCCCTATCCCTCGCGTGCGGATTCTGCTGCGCAACCTGCGCATCCCGGATCTGCGCGACTGTCTTGTCGCTGCGGACGACATGCACCCTCGGCACACTGCCCATCTTCCCGTCCCTTGTTGCTGAGATACAGCTCGTATCACGTCCCCACTCCTCTTCCAGTCTGAACGCGCGCCGGCCCAGGCCTTTTCCCCGGAGGTCCTCGGCTGTAAGGGCCTGCCACATGTACGCGGCCATGCGGAGCTTTGCGATCGCTGCGTCGAGCGTGCTGTGCGCTGTGCTGAGGGCGCCGTATTTCGCGGGCGGGCAGTCGATTAGGAGCGGGGAGTCGGAGGCGACGAGGATGGCGAGGTGGAGGGGTGGGAGCTGCAGGAGCGGCATGTATGTTACGGTTAGCTGGAAGGGCGTGCCGTGGATGCTGTTGTTGTGGTTCAGGGATAGGGTTAGGGTGTTTTGGCCGGGGTTCAGGAGGACGAGGGCTTTCCAGGCTCCGTTGTGGGCGGGCCAGTGCTGGGGGTCTGGCTGGGAGGTGGTGGTGGCGTCGCGCGTCACGATCGAGACGTAGTTTGTTTCGTGGGCGTAGTCGAAGACGGAGCATGTGCCGTGCAGGGCGAGGCATTTCTGGTGGACGACCTCGTTGTTGGCCAGGTTGGTGAGTGTGAAGGGGCGTGTTTGGATGCGCTCGGGGAAGACCCGGCGACCGCGTTTTGCGGGCTTGGAGGTTGAGATGTTGTTTGCGGAAGGATGGCGTTTCGGCATGGTGATTTGTTTGTTTTTCTTGAGAAGGAGTATTCACATAGGAGGCGTGGTTTATATGTTGCTGGTTCCAGGCATCCGGGGCGGCAGCCTGGATCAGGTACAAGGTTAGGGTTGATGAGTAGTGGAGCCCTGAAGCCCCCGGCCTGGAAGTCTCGGCCCTTAACTGGAGCAACAAAGGCCCACAGGCTACAGCCCTAGGCACCAGGCAGCAATCGGAAGCCAAGGTAGGTTTCGGGTTTATGTGTGCCTGAGTCGGAAATGGGTTATGGGAGATTGGAAGTAGAATTAGTAACTAGAATTGTTCGACATGTCCTGTTTAAACATTTAAATATAAAAGGTTTTAAGTTATATTTATTTTTTGCAAATTTATTTTTCAATTCGGCTATAAGATGTGGCTATAGGTAAAGTTAGACTTAGAGATGAATTTTTTTATTCCAATAAGCTTTCTGCAGAGTCCCAAGGGTTTACCGTCGAGGATTGAGAGGGGCATGCTTGGTGAATCGTGATAAAGATATAGAGCCCCGGGCCGGGTTCCGGTTTAGTATGGAAACGATTCTCTCCCAGGCTTCCGTCATGTGCCCCTGCTTTGCATATAATCTTGCTAGGGTATCCAATCTGAGAAGAGTGTATGGGGTTAACCGACCCAGATAAACAAATTCTCCGTTGGTGATTTTACAGCTAAAACGGTACTTGCTTTAAAAGCCATTAACGCTCCCAAAAATCCCCAATAGCAGAGGTAGAGCCTTACTCCATATAGTTCCACCTAATTAAAGTGTTTTGGTGCTTGTGAGCCGAGAACTGTGTTATTTATTAACTACTAAATGGTCTCCGCCGCTATACTAGGACTCTAGGAGCTTTTTCTCTGCCCGCAAATAGCAGAGGAATAACCAATCTTGGAAGGAAGAGGAGCAAAAACTACTTCGAAAAGTTAGCATGCGCGTCCTACATTCTTATGCATCACATATGCGCTTGCCCTTATTGACCGGACTTATAATCGCCGCCGCTAAAGTGGCGAGAATGGAGAAAGACCGCCGTTTGAACTAGGAATCGCTACTTGGTTGCGTTGCTGATCTTGCTTATCCCGTATATCATTGTCGAGCCACCGTTTAATAAATTAATTTGCTATATTAGCGCCAAAATTTACCTTGCCTATTTGGTTGCGGCTTGGGCATTGTTACTATGTGCTCTGGGTTTTTGAATAACTATGCACAGCTCATTGCTCTTCGAGTCCTGCTTGGATTGTTTGAAGAAGGGTTCGATGTGATACAGTCTTTCAAGTTATTTGGATCAGGAAATAATAATGACCTGACCCTTTTGCAACAATTCCATTCCTTGTGGATGTCAAACCTCATCCAGGCTCTACGATAAACGTAGCCAACAAGTTCGAACTGGATTCAACCACCAATAGTACCCCTGCCAGCGCTAAGAGGCTAGCATAGTAGCTAGTCTTAGCATTAGCCACCTTAGCTCCAGGGCTATCTCCAGACGGGCACCCGATTAGGACCCCGACAGCTTGGCTCCCCTATATAAACTCCCCCCAACTTGAAACTTGCTCTAGGAACCCAGGCACAATTATAACCAAAATACCAGATCCAAACCACCACCATGCCCCCCGACCTCTTCCACTTTAAATCCGCCTGCCTAACCTACCGCGCCCCTGAAAACACCAAGGCAGACAAGACCTTCCTGCACACGCATATTTTTAATAACCCTATAATCTAAATAATAAGCACCGGGCGCCTTTAACGGCCCGTGCCCATAAAGTTTGCTAAAGAGTTTATCTAAAAAATTTAAGACTTACTACTAGGTATCTTAATCTGTCTTTCTACTCCTGCGCCCGATAATTTAGAGTTAGAATTAGATCTAATCCCCATCGGCCACTTAAGTATCTTCCGCCCCTTCTCTGGTAAAACAGACCACCACCGCTGCGGTACCCTTGGTATCTCTCTTGCACCCGGGTACAGAGGACAGGGGTACGGCGGCGAGGTAATTAACTGGGCTTTGGACTAGGCGTTCGCGCACGCCGGTCTGTATTAAGTAAATCTGGGCGCGTTCTTGTATAATAAGGACGCGTTAAGGTGTTATAAGAGGCTTGGGTTTGTGGAGGAGGGACGAGAACGCGAGGTCGTGTACCGCGGGAGGAAGTGGTATGATGCGGTTTTGTTTTTAATGCTTAAGGGGGAGTGGGAGGTGTTGAGGGCCGGGGGCGTGAACGGATAGCCGGAGGGATTCAGTATGGTATACGTCCGTCAAGTGTCACAGCGTGAGATCACTACAAATGGTAACCCGCAATCTATGATGGCGAGACGTTGACAGGTACTGCATCATATCATATCAGTAATCAAAATGCTTGAATATCGAGCAAGGCATAAATAGACCCACAACCCCCGTTACTATCTCAAGGGGACAAAGGGTTTGTTGTCCCCAACAGACAAAACAATGACACGCATATCCAAAATCCTGATCATCGGCCACACAGGCGCCCAAGGCCTCCCCATCGTGCTCTCCCTAGTACCATAACCAATAGAAAATACTCTTGCCTTATCCTTACCCGGAATCCCTGGTCCCCGCGCCTAATCCACCCTAGCTGTAGGAAATATAGAACTTTTTAAAGGCATATTTACTAATAGACCTAATCTTTAAAATGCCAATAAAACCTACAACGGCGCGTTTATTAATATTAATAGCTTTATGGTTAGTAAGAAGGGCGAGCTGTTCAGGGCGATCCGCGCTTACAAGCTAGCCCTTAAAAACGGCGGGATCAGGTTCTTTGTCTATTGGAACTTGGAGTATGGGTATAAGCTCTCTGGGTAGAGGCCTGAGTTCCGGACGGGCCAATATGATGGGAATGGAAGGGGAGGGTGGGCGAGTGTCGAAGTGGACCTCACGTTTATGGAAATGGGGTCCGCGCTGTTCACGACGGGGCCATATATGGCGATGACGATTTCCGAACATGTGCCCATGGTACCTGCCATTGAGAGGGATCAGAACGGCACCGATGCTGTGACGGCACTCGAGCGGGAATAAGGTTGTTCTGCGGCGGGATTACGAGCTGCTGGATGAGATTCATCCGAACAGGATCAAGAGCGTTGAGGTGTGGTTCCGGAGGACACGAAGGGACTCGCTTTGAAGATTCATGGGGACTTTAGAAGCTACTCATAACCTCATACTTTTAGGGCTACGCAGGCGAGGATTGGTAGGTAGTGTTAATCTCCACCTTTTTCTAGTTTTCACACGTGTACGCCGTTTGCAAAATAAAACAAACCGTGTCCGGACCCGTTGACTGTGCTTGACTCAAAGTCATCCATGGGATGGAGCCGCGTAATCCCCCGCCCTCCGCTGTTAAGCCATAAATCCAGAAAGCAGATATCTTACCTTGGGTAGCTAAGTCTTTTACCCTTTTTTGGTTGTAATGCCCTCTCACTCTTTTATTCAGACACCGGGCCAAATTGATCCTTAGAATGCGACACTTCCAGTCTTAACCGTAGTGCCCAAGCCAGCCCCGACCATGCCCTTCTCCACCAAGTCTACGAGAAGGAGATCCGTGCCAGGGGCCCCGATGACCGACACCGCGACGGGGAGACGCTCCTCGCGGTCGGTGACAATAGAGTGGTACGGGATGTCGCCGACTGAATGTTCGTTAGCGGTGTATTCAAACCCTCTGTCTTTATTAGGATAAATAGTAGTAGGTGCTTACCTGGAGCGGTAACCTCCGGCGCGCGGAGCATGTTGGACATGTTAAGGGCGGCATATCCACTAAGCAGACCGTTCGGGCTGGTTCAGGGGTTAGTACACGAATGGTAGAGGATGAAGCGGTGGTGACTTACGGCAAGTCCGCATCACGATAATTCGGCTTCCCCGCCTCAATAGGCAAGATCATCACCGTGAGGGTGTTCTTGTCAGCGGGCTTGAAGACACTATCAAGGAGCCAGTTGCGGTAGACCTCAGAGCGGCGCCAGGACTCATCGCGCAGCTCCTGCGAGATGCTCTTGCCGATTTCCCTGAGTGCGAAAAAGGCTCGTTAGTCAGGTCAACGGATGTTATATCATGTGGACCTACCATTGCCAGATAAGCTGTCTGTGCACGAACGCCGGCTTGCCGTATTTGGCTTTGTACTCGTCTCTGAAGGGGGCGGAGTTCCGGTACTGGTCGTGGTAAAAAGGGTAGATTCCGGCCTGCATTATACATTGTTAGCTTGGGGAAAGGTCGCTGGAAGTGGAAGGCGTATATGCCCATGAAACGGAACGCACCTTCTCAAGGTACGGCACGATATCGGCGTGCTGCTTGCTATCAGGAAGGTCTTTTTTCCATTGTTCAACGAGGGAGAAGCCGGTTCGCTTCACGGAGATGGCGGACTCGAGGCCCTTGACGAACTTGTTGATGACAGCGGTCTGGGCTGCGTTGGGAGTCGGGAGATAGTTGGAGGGGTAGAGGATCTGGACCGATTTCTATTCAATAATCAGCGCCTTTCTTTCAGCTAGGTGGTGAAGAAGACAAACCTTCTTAGGGTCGTCACGGATCAGGCCCGGGCCGTCCCCATACCACTTGTTAATAAATCTAGCAAAGCGAGAGATGTCTTGGCCAAAGAAGACGGGCATGTTAAATTGCCTAAGCAGTTAGACCTTGCTGCATTAAAGAATGTTGTGATACATATAGGAAGGTCCTAATAATACCCGTGTTGTTCATAATTCTAGTGCTTGGTTAGATGGAAAAGCACGCATTGTACAAGGCGGGCTTGCAACCACTCCTATTAGCTATAGAAGTTAGCCAAGAATCATAATAACAAAAGAAGTAAAAGGCCAGGTATACGCACTATCCGAGCCCAATAAAAAGTCCAACCAGTTATACAACGAAATCCCCGCAGCACTCGCATGGCTACTCCCGGAGGGAACCTGGTACCTATTGCCGCGGGGATTAAATAGCGTAGTAAACTTAACGCATTTAAGGGGCTCCTCGCGCATGATTATTACCTAAAGCTTAACCTTGCTAATAATAATAGCGCCTGCATTAATCATGCGCTGGATATAAATAGCATGCTTGGTTTTAACTAGGTAAAGCTTAATCCAGGCGCGGTTGTAAAGGGTGGTTTTATGGCTAGTAATATTAATATTATTTTTAATACTTACTTAGGCGCCGTGTAGGGGCTTTAATGCCAAAGGCTTAAAGTAGCAGCAAGAAGGGATAATAACTTGTTTATTGCTGCCGGTAATAGGGGCATCTAGGGTGAGGAATGTGGAGTGGCGTTAGTCTGGACGTTCTTGCCCAAGCTCAGGGGGGCAAAAGGAGGGGTAGGCTTATCTGTTTGGATTGTCGGGCGACGGCTTGAACGAGGTCATGAAACAGGCGTTGAAATCCTTGTAGACCTTCCAGGGCTGCTAGGTCTGGCCGTGAAAGAAGATATAGGGGCCGGGGGCGACTATAGTAAAAGTAGTAGGAGAAAATAGCTTAGTTTTTACTTTTTAGCCTGCTAATTTGCTATTGGCGCCCGGTTTAATAGTGGTTTTGTTTTTTTTTACCCCGTAAAACATAATATTTTTAAAAAACTTGGGGCGGAAGATGTTGTTCTTGTTAAAAATATTAGCTTAAAAGTCGCGTAAAGCGGCCTTAGTAATAGTGTGCTTAAAAAAGGTATTATACACAAGTACTAGGATAGCAAAATTAGTGTCTAGTTTAATATTATATAAGAAGTTCTAGTGGGTTATAGTTAGCCTTATATAATAATTTAATACTAGAAATATGGGAGGGTATTTTAAAGCTGCGGGGTAATTAAAATGGTACTACCTTCTTATAAGGAACTAAAATATATTAAGTGTTATTAATAATAAGCTTAATTTTCTTGCTAACTTTATGTCTAAAAGGCATGGCTGGGTGGGTATAAAATAGAATTAACCAGGGTATAGTATTTATTATTACTTTATAATTAAAGTAAAATAGCTTTGGTTTAAATAAAAGCCTGCATAAAATAACTTTAATAGCTGCCTATTAACTTTTTAACCTAACTTAAATCCTAGGTTATTTATTATAACTAACATGGTGCTAAAATGCCACGGCTGCTGCTATTGGGTCTTGGTAAGGATGGTGGGTGGGTAGTAAAAAATAGCGTTTTTTATTTAAAAAAAAAGTTTATGGGAAATAATATAGATTAATAAGCACGAGACTACTAGTACTAATTTGTCTTTTTTGTTTATGTAAAGTCCTATTTACTTGCTATTAACAGGTTAGGGTGTACGGCGTAGATAGGCGCTCTTTTGGACTCTGGGCCAAGATTCACAGGACAATAGGCGTGGCTAAATTCCCAGGTTATGATTAATTGTGCTTACGCTTCCAGCACCCGGAACTACTCTCGCGAGAGGCTGCCAGATCCCTAATTAAATTTCAGGTGGCTGGACATGACTCTGCAACGCCCAATGAGAGCCAATCTTGCACGACACAAACAAGCAGGGCCTAACCTTGGGTCGCCGGTGAGCGGCACGCAAGATGACTTAACAAAACAAATCCCCCGGCCTCATTCATCACGGCGCAGCACAGATTCAGGCGCCTTCGCAATAAATAACAACAATTGTTAAATGGGCTGGCTTTGTATAACCACACCAAGGATCAACCCCACTAATAAAACCCAGGCAGCCCTTGCATCCTTGGAGTTAATTAAAAGATTCTTAATAGGACCGCATGCAAATAATAGGTGCGAATAACCAGGACAAGGGTTTTTATATTGCTAAATCACTAAATATTTAACCACTTTTTTTTCCTAAAGCAAGAGAGTAAACAGCCGCTCCACACTCCCCTAGATTAAGCTAGTCACCTTTTCCTAGCTCCTCCCGCAAGTCTCGCATTAAGAAGAAGATAGACAAAGCCCCTGTTTAGAAGATCCAGCCATGGAAGTTTATAAAGTCTATGGAAGAGAACCCTAACCCGGACTTTAGCAAGTTTATTGTGACTAATAAAGTCGCTGCCTGCGATGGATCCTCGGTCTCAAAGCCTATGGATTGAGAGGCGGCACACGATGGACGCACGCACGCTGCCAGAACCGCAGGTGCCCAGTGAGGGATACCGAAACAGGTACGTGGCGAGGGATGGATCCGCTCCGCTGAACCGCTTACAATCAGGTTAACGGCTAGACCAGTCTCATCGCGGTGGCTGTAAGAACAGTGGGCTCAGTTGGATTCCAGCTGATGGATGAACGGGATGTGATTCGTCTGGTCCATCGCATTGTTTTAGCACCTGAGTTTTGGTCTTGATAGTGGAATGAAATTGGTGACTTAATCAGCCCATCATGCCTTCGTAGATCTCGCATGGCGTAATGTGTCCGGCTTTACCTTACTGACCTCACTAAGGTTGTAGAAATCGTCGCTCCGTGGGCGAATCAATAAACTCTTCCATATGGTATGGTACTGGATACATTCTTCACTGAGTCTCCACAAAAGAAAAATTGAAAATCAGATGGAAAAACAGTAAAGAAGAACGAAAATAGGAAAGGAGAACCTGACAAAGCACAGGAAGCATGTGTGCAAAAGAAAATGAACCGAGGCCAGGGACATCCATCCAGGAGCTTCCCTCAAAATGATACTGACTCCTGGCGCATTCATCTCAATAGTTGGAAAGCAGAGCGCTCCAGAAATTCGACCGTGAGATTGCCAATACTCGAGTCTGATTGGATACCCCTAAATCAAGGTATACCCTGATCCGACCAGGAAGTGGCTGCTGGGTACTCCACGTCGGCATACATGACCAGCAACCGAACATCCACACTCTCCCTCGGTGGAGCATTGTCACTGTGACCAGGAAGCGGGAACGCACCATGAGGACACGCTAACGACTTTCAGATCAATAAAGCCACGACAGCAGGGAGGGGCGCGTGAACTCACGGCTGGAAGTGGAGCCCTCGGAATCATGGGCCTTGAAGACAAGGACTTCGTCGGCGCGATGGTCGGGGAGCCAGTACCACGTCTGGTTCTCATTGTGGTGGAGCATGTAGTTCTCGGCGATGAACTTGGGGTAGATGATGTCCGTAGGCACCAAGTCCTCTGCGCTGACACTGGTTGCGTCACAAAGAGCGAGAGGCCAGTCGTGGATTGGGAGCCGGCACGGCTTCCACACACTGTGCTGTGAACTAAGTATCCTCAGTGCATCGCGTCAGTGCAAGCGACGATGCTCACGTTATGATTTGGTACCGCGACTTCAGGATCTCCTCGGCGGCCTCCTTGTAGAGCTCCTGGATAATCGTCCTCGCGGCGTTTGGCGTCACGTCTATTGTTCAAGGGTGGCTGGACGTTAGGACCCGACTACGGTAAGATGGGGCATCGAGCACGTACCGACGTGAGTAAGGAGGCTTGGCTGAGGCCGTGGGGGCAGTCTGCCCCCAAAATGCGGAAATCCCGGGACCTTGCGTCTCACCTTCCAGGGGGCGTCAATCTCGGGTACGAGATGGAGATGGGTGGTCGCAGACTGACCTGAAAGTCCAGGGCGCGGACGGAATTCGCAGCCAATGCTCTGGTAAAGAAGCTCTCGAGTTCGCGGCAATAGACTTGCTCGATCTTGGTGTTATCCTGGAAGTCTGCGTACTCCATCTCTGTGTTTACTTGATAAACTTGGAAGCCGACGGTATCTAGGGACACCTGGGAACGGCAAGCACGCATGTCTCTCACCGGCACCATGCACGGCTCGAGGATAAGGTTATGGCGTGGAAAGTCCTCTTTGGGGTAATAATGGATGTTGTATGGCTTGACGGTCTCATACTTTTCATCTTTGCTGAGGAAGTACAACGGGGCCTCTGCTCTCGATGGTTAGCAATCCAGTAGTGTAAGAGTGGGAATGCAATCTTCACCGATATCACGCTGGGACTGCTTCTCGCATGCCATTCTTCGATTGATAAGCCTAGCGGCCTACCTAGGTAGTGATGCTCGTTGTGGGACAACAGGATGGACAGCAAGACGCTTTCTTTTCTTTCTTTTTTTTTTTTTCCATCAGCGAGGCACTGGCGTGATGAGGAATTTATGGCGTACGAGCTGTCAAGGGTGCTGGACGTCTGCTCCCTCAGCAAACCCGATGCCCCGACATTAGTGGTTGGCCCAGCTCCAGCAAGCCAACGCCTGGTTCAGCAACAGGGATCGGTGGTCTTCAGGTGCTTCAACTAGGCCAGATGCAAACATCGATTCCTTAACCCAAAAAGGCTGCGTTAATGCCATATTCTTTACGTACATATGCAGCATGTACTCATTGCTCCACGTATTTAGGACCAAGGTACCCTTCAGAGAGCCGGTCCAGTGTCTCTCATATTCACCGCGCATTGCTTTCTATGTCAGCATGGACCGTTACCTTAGAGATCCCCACAGGGGACGATACTCTTCAAGCGTTGTTTCCAGCCCCGACAGGACCAGCTCTGCCAGAGATCGCAGCTTGTCTGCAAGCTCTTCTCTGACCTCGTTCGGCTCTGTGACGATTGCCGCGACCAACAACGGCGATCAGCAGAAAATTGAGCTAAAGTCAGTCGAAGCTTCTTCTCTCCTGAATCCATACTTAAAGCCCTAGTGTGATCGCCATCCCCGGCTACAATTCCCCCCCTGCCGACACCTGGGATATCGAACTGGCGTTCAAAAAAGCAGCTGTTGCTGCAGGTACAGTATCTGCCTTTCATCAGCATGCATTTCAAGCGGACGACGAATCAATGGAGGATTTCACGTGGAAAGCTTACATTGGGAGGGGTGGCCAGTTGATGGAGGGCATAAGAAAGCTTGCGACCATGGTAAGGGTGCAGGGTAGCTCCGGCGGCAAGTACGTTGGCAGACTTACTTACAGCTGATAGTATCCTGATATGCCGATCATTTGCGTGGCCCATTCGCTAGGAGGGGTGCTCCTTAAGCAGGTAGGGTGTGCATTGCTAAACGAGAGGAAAAATTGTTCACCTGCCACAGGCACTGCTCACAGCACACCGGAACGACCAGGATGAGGAAAACAGCCAAGCGATTTCGCGCCTGGCGGGTATCTTGTTCCTCGGGACGCCTCATGGCAACGGGCTCGAAGATTACGATATTTTCAAGCGACATGAGAACGTGCGCTCCATCCACGACAAGCGCAGGTTCGCGCTTCTGCCGTCAAAGCCTCGACGCTCTGATGTGAGCCGGGTCGCGGCGATAACGGCTCAGTTCGAGCAGATTGCCACAGTGCCTCTGTTGTCCGTCCACGAAGCGGAGACGCGCTCGAGTGGGTTGATGGCCTTTGTCAAGAGCAACCGGGTAAGACATCTGACCTTCCTCAAAGGGCCAAGGGCTGACTCCAGTCGGGCAAAGGCGGTTGTCGACCGAGAACTGGCTTCCATCCATTCCAGCACAGAGAGGCTGCTCGGCGTCCCCGTCAACCACGACGAACTTTGTCAACTATCCAATTTGAAAAACGACTCGTATTCAGCGGAGGAATTCCTGCGCAGCTTGCTTCATGATCTTGGGGGTAAGCGACCCGCTGCCATCCAGAGTTAGTACTCATGACCACCTAGGCAATAAGAGATGGACAAGCGAGAGACGCAGGCCGACAGGAAACCCCGTGAATCCCCTCAATCTTCCTCCCGTGCAGCTAAGCCAGATTCCTGTGAGGTCCCTCGGAGGGGACGATGGCCAGGCACCGCGGTCTAGGCTGCGGGACCTAGGGCTAACAACCTCGCATAACCTTTCGGGCGGAAGTAGCACCAACAGCCTCCTAGACGGTCGGCACAGCGAACTTCCATGCTTCCACCTTCCCTTGGAACCGAATGCGAGCTTTATCAAACGGGACGGTCTTTTCGCCGCTATGGACAGCCATCTCCTTCCAGTTGAGTCGGAAAAAAGACACCAGCCGCGGCTGTATGCGGTGTGCGGAATGGGAGGCGTTGGAAAGTCCGAGCTTGTCAGAGAATATGCCCATTCCCGACGATCCAAGTTCGGAGCGGTCTTTTGGATAGACGCTGATCGGGTGTCGCAGTTGGCTTCGAGTTTCGGTCACATCGCGGAACTCCTTGGCCTCCTGCGCGACAATGAAGCCCAAAGCCCAGATCTAAGCAAAAGAGTAGCTATGGCGTGGCTCTCCCGGCCAAGGAGTGCCAGCGCAAAAGACAACTGGTTGCTGATCTTCGACAATGCCACGGAGCCGGATCTTTTGGCCGACTACCTGCCGTACAACGGCAACGGCTCCATCCTGATCACGAGCCGAGATCCGTTCGCCAAGGAAGATTTCTTTGCGAATGCCTCTGGTATCGAGCTGGAGCCGCTGTCTACAGACGACTCCGCCACACTCCTGCAGCGAATGGTGACAGGAAGCGGGCAGGCTCAGACTGGGGATGAGCGAGACGCGTCGGAGGAGCTGGCAAAAAGATGGGGAGGCCTCCCGTTAGCCTTGACTCAGATGGCCGGCTTCATGCGCCGGCGCCAGATTTCAATGCGGGAGTTCTTGCGCCTCTATGATACGGATGCTCGCTATGCGGACTTCCATGCGGTTGGGAACCCCCTCCAGGACTGGCGGTACGGCCAGACTCTCAGTACGACATTCACCCTCGAACGACTTACGCCGTGCGCTTGGGACCTTCTATGCCAGCTTGCATTTATGCATCCGGGCCGAGTGCCGGAGTACCTATTTGTCGGCGTCAAAGGGTCGGAGAGACCGGGGGGTACCCATTGGGACGATGCGGACTTTGCAGATGCGCGCTCTGAGCTTCTGACGTCGGCTCTTATCAGAAGGAACAAGGATACAGGGAGTTTGTGGATCCATCGTGTGATCCAAAAAGCGGTGCGCACCAGACTTCAAGACGAACGGATCCGACACGCGGCCTTTCAGAAGGCCGTGGCCCTGATGTCCGCGACCTGGCCGCCGGGCGACCACACGAGCCAGGAAATCAAGCGTTGGTCAACTTGCGAAGAGTTGCTCCCCCACTTGACTCAATTCTACCAGCTGTATAGTGAACATTCAGACCAATGGCAACACTTTGACGTACAGCCGGACTTCCTTATGCTTTTGCATGAGGCCGCTTTGTATGGAATCTCACCCTGTATAGAGGTTGACAGGCTGCTAACCAAGTCGTCCCAGGTACTTTCACGAGCGAGGAAACTCGCATGAAGGCAAAGCATACGTTAAGCTAGCGCTCGACCTGTCCGAGAAGTCAAATATTACTACCGAGCCTTTGATCAGCGACATGCATCTCACCATCGGCGCGCTAGCAAACGAGACAAATGACGGCCCGACCTGCCTGAAGCACACCATACAGTGCCTGTCAATCCGAGAGAAGGAGTCTTCCAGGCGCAATGCACCGGACCTGAGACTAGCGTTCGCGCATAGCCAAATGGGCATTGCTTACATGATGAACGGCATGTTCGCGCGGGCCACCGATCGCTTCCAGCAGAGCGTCAAGATGCTAAAAGCCATCAACGCGGATGCGGACGAGCTCGGATTCCCCGCTTGCAATCTGGGTCTGGCTTACTGGGTGCAGGAGAACCTTAGTGACGCGGACAGCACTTTGACCGAACTGCTAGTCAAAAGGGAGGCGTTGCATGGGAGACTGGATCGCGTTTCATACCAGTAAGTCGATGGATCATGGGCCAGTGCGAAGCTGCGCGGGCACACCTTGACCAAGCAATAACATCTGCGTCCAGAACCGGAAGGGTCCTCCATGCCCTGGGCAACGTGCGATCCAGCAAAGCGCTCATGTTCGAGTCCCAAGGCGACCACGACGCCGCGAAGGCCCTGTGGGATGATGCGTTTAACCTCCACCGGAATTGCCTCACGCAGTACGAATCGACGTTGGGGAAATTCACCCACCGGACCGCGGACGCTTGCCACAAGGTGGCGGAGCACTACATCCGCCTAGGGCAAGACTCCGACGCGAAGTAAGTGAGTTGATGGCTGCGATCCCACTTGCTTGCTGACACGTTTCGACAGGAAGATGCTCGAGCGCGCGCTGGATATCTGGGGCGACCGACCGTGGTATCGAAATGAATCGGCCCGCTCCTCATTCCTCCTGGGCACCCATCTAGTGTCGCTCGGGGGTGATGACAACGTCAAAAACGGAAACATTTGGCTGAAACGGGCCAAGGAGCTGCGGCGGCAGATCCGCCCTGACGCAGAAGACAAAGAACTTGTGATGGAGGATTTCGATGAGTTGGTGTGTTTCTGGTCGCGCTGAGCGCGGGATATAAGGGGAGACTGCGAGTGCTAGAGTAATCCAATGTTCACTTTCCCAGCAGCATAACTCTTGATGTCCTGCGTAGCATCTGAATCGCAATGTGGGAAATGCCAGTGCCGGTGAGCGGGCGCAAAGGGCGGTGAAGCTGGAACCCACCTGGGCAAGCGGGGCGATTGCCCGGTCCAGCCCTAGCGCCCGTGGGCCCGGGGAGGGGGAAGGGCGGGAGACGCGGGAGCTAGCCACTAGGTAAACCTTCAGAATTCTCTCAACCAGTGGGAGCTAACTACCTAAAAGGTACCTCGGGCTAACCTTGGACCAGCTTCATCCAAATGGATTGACAGTAGACCCAATATAGAGACCCAGATGTCCAAGGCCCTGAAGGTACGTGTGAAGCTGCGTCAACGGTACCAACAACACGCCGTTTACATCAACACTTGCTGGTCTCAGTGCAAACTGAGACAGCAGATGAGACCCAAGAGCATTTCGGCGCAAATGTCTGGCTGCAACAAACGCCTTCACACCACTTTCTGCCTTGCTCTCTGGCAGAAGCCATGACCCCGCGGAAAGTCTTCTCCAGCTTTGATGAATCGTCTCTCAGACCGTCGTGTGCTATTCTATCCATAGTCTTGCAGAATCTTTCCACAGCAAAGGCGTGCCCTAAGCAGAGATAGTCATTTTACCTTCGTACCCTTCGCAACATCGAGCATGGCGTTGTCGGGCTATCCAGGCATGTTTCTTGATCCGTGATCCCTGTGCTGTCGCTGACTGCCCAACGTTAGAGGAGGCCTTCTCCCCAAGTGTTCGACCTAGGCAACAATCGTCCCAGCCGACTGTGAACCAGCTGTACTCACGGCCGGACCTTAACAATCTGAGGAGTTACCTGAACGGCAACGCCGTCGGCCGACCAGAAAGTCCTCCAGGCTGCGGTGAGGCGAACGCTGAGATATTTGCCGTGTCGCACACTATCGCCACCGGGACCTCCACGTTGTTCGAGGCGTCGCTGGATGGGCGACGTGAGTTTGAAGCGTCTGGCGCGCCAGATACTCCGACAATCCTATTCCTACGAGGATTTCCCTCCCCCGAGTGGCTCAACGTTATCAGCAGGACCCATCAAGCCAGTTCTGAGCTGTATCATCGGCATCTGGACTGCTTGATAGCCCAGATTCGCCGTGATTACTTTTCCAAGCCGCCCATCCCATCATCATCCGCCCGGGTCTTCCAACTTATGATCCCGACCATCTGCTCTCGGCACACCGACGATGCCATTCACGCGAGCGACGCCCGTATTGGCGAGCCCGAAGACATTATTGCCGAGCCGGAAAGCCTCCGAGAGGAACGTCAATTGCAAGCGAGGAGTATGCGCAACTATATAACAGAGCTGCCCAAAAATGCGAAGGTCGCGGACTCTGTTGTGCGGAAGTACCACATCCTCTCGAGGGAGTTCTCTGTTCTGGAGCAGATGATCTCGGTAGATGTCAGCCCGCCTGGGAGCGACTGGCGCGCGATTGTATGGCTTGACACAGGGAGGGATCTGGCGGACAGCTTCGAAGGGCCCTTTGGTCCCCGACCGGGCAGTCCAGCTTGGCAAACGTTCTTCTACCCGGTGATTGTCCACCACGCCGACGGAATGCACGATGGCACGCCCTATGGCGCCACACAAGGCCCATCTGACGCGCCAAGCTCTAGTCGCGCATGTCCAGAACCTTTGACCGACGAACAGAAAAGGTGGAAAGCGGCGCAGAACATCTCCCGGCTGCCCTTTGAGTACGGATCCCGCCTTAACCGGCGGTTTGCCTCCCACGATGCGCTCTACGCGCTGAGCGAAATCTTCCAATTCGCCGCCACAGCGCAGTCCCAATATCTCAACTTTTTGGAGACGCGCATCGAGCTCGAGCTCTCCACCGTCGGCACCGAGAGCGGCGTCAAAAATCACTCTGTATCGTTGGTGAACCTCCAATACGTCAAAGCGCTTCTGACATCCTTCGCCCAAAATGTCGCCGAAACCGTCAATCTCTTGCAGAACCGAGACTTTTTGCACTGGTCGCGCGCCGAGGATACGACCGGAACCGACAGGGTGGCCAATATGCTGCGCGCGGACTTCCAGCACCTCCAGCAGCGGGCCAAAACCCTCCGCCGAGAGTGCGATCAGGGTATGGCAACGTTAGCCAACAGCTCTTCGTTGGACGAGACGCGGCGTTCCGCTCAGATAGCCTTTTCAGTGAAGGGCCTGACGATTATCGGAACTATCTTCATTCCTTTGTCCTTTGTCTGCTCTGTCTGGGGCATGAACGTCAAAGAACTAGGCTCGGGAAATAGATCTATTTGGATGTGGGTTGCAACCGCATTGCCAGTAGCGTTTCTCACCTATGTAGCTTATTGGTTCAGGGATGCCCATTCAAGACAACGCGAGCGTGCGAGTGGCAGGAGGTCTCTGAGGCCTGGGAGGCATACGCAGGAGGATACTGTCGAGCCCTGAGGCGGATGGTTTCTCTATACTGTAACGTATTTCCTCGCTTCATGTCAATCACTCTAGATTGGTACGTGCTGGACTGGATGTCACCACCGGTAGAGGGTTTACCATCGACACGGGTCAACCTTTGTTGGTAACTTTGGAACAGCGGTCCATGATGACCTGAGGGAACTTTGTAATGAGGAACAGATTAGACAAGGAACATAGTTGGCTGAATCTGATACTTTAAGCCAAATAAGAGCCCCCCAGCATTCACGCTGACGAAACATTGTAAACACAGCTGCCAACACGTGACAAGGCATTGCATAAATACGGAGTCAGCGCCACACAAACATCCATCATCCTTCATCCCCGCCCGCCCCTGCCGTCTTACAAGTTCCCTTCATCGTCTATCCATTTCGAGCCGCAGTCTCTTTCCCTTTGCCCGTACCATCCCCAGCAGCCTAGCCTTTCGCCTCCTCATGTCCGGTACGTCGTGGGTCGAGTCTCCAAACGCAAAGGAGACCGCACTTGCTCTTGTGCTTGGAAACGGTTCAAACAGGATTCTCTGGGAGGAATGCCGCCTCGCTTGGGATACCTGTGATCTCCTGGACGAGCCCAACTCCGGGCAGCACTTTGTTAGTAGATCCAACTCTTTCCCCGCCCCTCTCAGCAGGCCGATGATGAAGGCGAAGGCCTCCCTAGGAACAGAAGCTAACCGACGACGTCGCCACTGCAGGACGGAATGGCTGCCTTCGGAGTCCGAGGCAGATGCAAAACGCCAGCTCACGAGATCCTCGATTTCCAGCTCCGATCCACCGTGTTCCCCGAGACCCCCTTCCCGTATCGGCTGCATGCGATAGCGGCTCCTGTCGATCCGACACAGATGGGCAATAACGCTAGTGGCTTTGGCCAGGGTGGCAGGAATGAGGTCGAGATTGTTCAGCCTGGCCTGGGAGGGGACCACGCGCAGCTGATGCACCTCCGCGAGATGGTTGGGTCCCTGACGTACCGCGCGCGATCGATGGGTCTGGAAGGAGCAATCAAGTGGTTCATGACGCTTGGCCGAGTTCCGGTGGACTCGGGCAATCAATCTCCGTTTCCCAATGGGGTGTCCACTGCGGTTGCGGCTTCCTAGCGGTCAATGGGGCATCTCAATTGTATGGGGTTCTCTGTGGTACTTGGGTTTTCTTTTTCGGGTCCCAATCACTTCGATTCTTCTGCTTGTTGCTATCTAGTTCCGCCCTCCTAAATTGATCGTGGCGGCGGAGTCATTCAGATCCTGTCCCAGCAAGGGTATTGAAGTGTCATTTACTCGCTATCAGTATCGAAATCTCTAGTTTGAGTATACCTCTCAAGGCCCCGTACGGACCATCATAAAGTATCGATATATAGCCAGGCGCGTCATGTATTCTGTCCCTCAACCACCGAGCGGTGCGTGGAACCCTACAAAGCCGTCCTCATAGAACGGGCCAACCCCCATAAGTGTAGTTACTGGAAATCCAATCCAGATCCTCCTTCCTTTCCGCTTGATTGTTGTGATGAGTGAGATAGTCGCCTCACCTGGAACCAGATCGCCACTCAGCATGGATGCATCAAGATGCCACACATCTACTTCGCAAATTTCATAACTTATTTCCAATCTGCACAACAGCCAGGCAGGAAGCTGTCACTTGTTAGTTCACCTTCGTTGCCGTGCCCAAAGATCCCCCTCCACAGTTGAGTCATCTCCGAGCATCCGGCTTCGAAAGCGGGGGACAGATTGCAATCCCAACCGGGGCTGAGTGAGAGGCGCACATTGCACCATCACACCTTGGACAGCCAGAACCACAATCCACTTGCTAATCCTTTCCGTCCTCAAGGCACGGAGATGATGGGATATTTAACCCTACCGAGTTGCATTGGTTTCAAAGCCACGATCTGTTGCGTCTGGGCTCAGCATGCCAACAGATCTCGGGACTTGTGTAACACATCCCGGGCGCGATGATGCCTGAGTTTTGGGCTCCCTAGGTAGGCCCGTAGGGTAAAGCTGTAGAGTCTTCCACCCGGCAGCATGGTGCTCCGCGTACCGAAACAAGAGGTCCCTTTCTCCCCTTGACAGTCGGCATCCTCCCTATTTTCTTGGATCTCGCTCAAACGCTACCGAAGCGCGCCCTCACGGCTTTCAACATACTCAACAATTCCTGCGTTCGTGACCCTCTCCGCAAAGATCTCCAGATGTCGGTCCAGATCCATTCCCTCCGCCCCCAGAAAAAATGTCTTTATCGTCAAAAATCATTCCGTCGGGCCCTTCATCCAGACCCCGTGTACTCCGCGTGTGGCCGGAGAGCCTCCGAGGCAGGGAGGCAAGGTCCCATCAATTCGCGTGTCTGTAGGCGTCGGTGGATCCTCTGTCTGTAGGTCTTAGGGCTGTTCCGATCGTCAGAACCAATTGGATTGAGAAAGTTGAGCTTGGAAGGCGAGAAAGGGGAGATTTAGAGAATAACTTCGGTGGAGAACCCTGGCTGAATGGCCCTAGGTGGACGCACTCGGCTTTAATTTGGATTTTTCGCCCCAGAGGTCCATCAGTCCTCAAGACCTTCCAGCTTCACCTTTATTTTTCCAAATCGAATCATAACTGCTGAATGCTTGTGAAAAGAATACTGAGAGACAGTTTGATTAGTGTATGTCTAGGTATTTAGTCTTGAAGATGTGTTAAGAGGCCCCGTTCCTTATTTCAATAGGTGATATACATATATATTCACAGTTTGTACAAAATGGAGAGGGCATTGCATTATATAAAGCCGGAAAAAATGTTCCAGCTGTGAAGATTGAGGTCAGATTATATTGAAGAGAGTTTTATCTTAGCAAAGAGATTCCAAGGTTAGTAGATGCGAAATTTCCCATAGTGAGTCAATCGAAGCATACCTACCTAGTAAACAACCACACCTGATAAGTGTCTTGACTTCACAACCAAAAAAAGACTCACTTGGTATGTCAGTACAAGGAGTTACTTGTTATTGGCGGGCAAACGCTTTTAACAAGAGTAAGAGTATCGACATTAATAGGGTGCTTTTACAACTCACTGTGAATTTGGTGCAGATACATCTAACAATAGTCTCCTAAATTATTCAGTCTAAACTCGCTATCATGCCTCCAGACCCCTTCGACTGAGAATTAGATTACCCTATCTACCAAGCTACGAGAAAGAATAAACCAAATACCTAGGTACCTTAAGATCCCGATGCGCATCCCCAAGCACCCTGTCGGAATTTATACGATACGGGATTCCCACCAGACAGACACTGATCATTTAATCACGGCCACTCGTCCATGTTGGCCTGCAAGATAATCTCAGCAGCCTGCTCAGCAACCGCATAAAGCGTCGCCTGCGGATGACCGCCAATACCAACGGGGAGAACACTCGCATCCACAACGCGCAGGTTCTCAACCCCCATCACCCTCATCTCGCTATCAACAACCTTGCCCATTGCAGCCGTCCCGGCAGGATGATGGTGCGCCATACCAGTCGCCCGAATGCGGGCGTCAAATTCCTTGTCTGACGAGTTCGGCGTCAAAGCCGGCATCCCCGGTGGCGGGACCTCGGCCTCGACGTACTCCTTTAGAGCCGATGTGCCAAGCAGTGCTCTCGCCGTGCGGCGGGCGCCGTAGATAAGAACCGCCCGGTCGGTTTCGGTGTCGTAGTAGTTCGAGTTGATTTCCGGGGGCGCGGTGGGAGATGCGGAGCTGATGCTCACCGTGCCGCGGGATGTTGCGGACAGGAGCATGGTCGAGGTCATGATGAGGGTGCCGTCTGCGGGCATTCCGATCGGCGTGTACAAGATCAGTGTCTCGACGAGGGGGCGACCGGGGATCAAAACTGATTCGTCTGTGTTGGGGCCGAATCGTTCTTTGTCCTTCTGCACGGCTGGCTCGAGGATCGTTTTGGGCACTTGCTGGTTGACGGCCCAGTCTACGGGGAAGCCCTGGGTTAGGGCTGGGTGGGTGAGCTTGGGACTTCCTAGGGCAAGGCCGCGGTCGGGTTCGCGCAGCTTGTAGAGCTGGTACAGCGCGAAGTGGTCGATGAGGTTCTTGCCGACTTCTGGGGACTCAACGATGAGTGCGATTCCGTGCTCTGCTAGTACCTCTGCTGGTCCGATTCCAGAGAGCATCAGAAGCTGCGGAGTGCGTAGTGCCCCAGCCGCGAGGATGACTTCCCTCCGTGATGCGAAGCGACGACCATCTGCAAGGAGGACAGCAGATGCAGTTCTTTCCGGGCCGGTAACTTCAACCTTGTGCACCGTAGCCCCGGTAATGCAGTGCACCCCGTCGAGACTATAAGCCTGATACGCAGCCTGCCGCTCCCCGCCCTGCCATGTCTCGAGGAACTCAACGACGCCTGATGACCTGCCAGTGCCTGGACTTGAGTTGAACTGCTCTCCAATCTCAAGCCACGCATCCCTGATCGGTTCTCGCAGCGGATACTGTCTGTCCGGATCCCTCGCAGACACAGACGTCACACGCACCGGCCCCTCAAACCCATGTTCGCGATGATCAGCCCCGCGATCAAAGAACGATTCCGACCGGCAAAAGTACGGCAAGAGACCCTCATACCCCCAGCGCTGATCTCCGACCGTCTCAGCCCAGAGATCGTAATCCGTTGAATCGCCACGACTCCAGCCACCAAAGTTGATGGTCGTCCCTCCACCGAGAGCTTTTCCCGCGTGCACAGTGTGGACCCTGTCCGCCGTATGTGGTTGGGCCGTTGTGGCGTACGCCCAGTCTAAGTCTGAGCCAAGGAGAGAGAAGAGCGGTGGGTAGGTCTTGACATCGGGGTTGTTGGAGGCGTCGACGCCTGCTTCGAGGAGGAGGATGTCCAGCGACGGGTTGCGCTGTTTGAGGCGGGAGGCGACGACGCAGCCTGTTAGTCCGCCTCCGACGATGATGTAGTCAAACTCGGGGGTGGCCATGGTCTGCTTCTGTGGTTTTTTGGAAGATCAGTGGAGGATATGGCGGGTGGCTGTTTTTAAAGCTGACGCCTAAGCCTTCCGTTGGAACAAAGAAAACATAGCCTGACCTAAAAGGCGCAAACTATAGCCTTGGCCTTGAAACAGCAAAGCATCGGCTCCTTCGCGCCGAGTACGGTAGGCGCCACGTCATCCTCGCAGCCGAGACTTCATAGTACCTAGCTGGAGGTAGATAGATGACACAAGGCCGCAGGAGCCCTCTGCAGCCTGCAAAATAACAAAGAAGCGTCCATGACCCGGTACGCCATTCCTGCCCTTATACCTTTTCAAAACCTCATTATGGTCGCAGCTCTTACCCTCTAGGTTATCCTCGTAAGTTGCTTGAACGACATCGACTGCCCAGGTGAGTTTATCAGGTCGCTGGCCGGGCCTACCCTTGGACTAGGGCTTCGTGCGGGATAACCCTACTTGAGGTATACCAGCATTACGCATTTTCATACCAGCTCAGCATTCTTTCAATCTGAGGCTACGCAGTGCGTGGTAGAAAGTATCTGACAATAACATCCTCATGGTAGCTGATCTGTGCCTTCTATTTTCAAGGCCACTGATTTGGACAAACTTCCGTAAATGTTCAGGGGAAACGTTGAATCAGGGCCTTCTATTATACTCAATATCCCACTGTGCGTTGGGGTCAGGAAAGTCCATGGGGTTCTCGGGTTCTCCAACCAAGGTTCATGACCTAGGGTAGAACGAGCACATAACATCAAGAATCCCAACGGCTTCCCCTTACAACGTGTCCCATTTCATGCCCTATCTAATGCACTACAACACATAATAGCCACTCCAAAGCCAGAGACAGCCCACATCGACATCTGAACAACCATAACGTTCCGAACCCATCAACACTCCAACCCCACCCTCCCCACCCCCCTAACAGAATGCGCCAACAAAACCATCCTGGCCATTCTAATCTGGGTTCACTTCCTCCAAATCCTCGACAGGACCGTGCTGGGCTACGGCGCAACATTCGGCCTGGATTCCGACCCAAACCTCACAGGGAACCTGTACTTGCTCGTGGGCTCCATCGCCCCAATAGCCCTAATCGTAAAGGTGCCTCATCGCATCCTCATGCCCTTCCTTGTCTTCGAGCGGGGTATCACACAGGTATGCATGGCCTCATGTAAAGCTTTTAGCAGGCTGATGGCGACGCGGTTCCTACTCGGCCTGTTTGAGGCGGATGTCTGCTACTTTCTAGCATTATTATAACGCAGCGGGACCATCGCGCAGAGAAGCCGGTTCGCGTTGCGGCGTGGTATAGCACGAATGGGTTGCGACGATGGTGGCGACGTTGTCGTTTGGGCTGGGCCATATCTCGTCCGGTGTGCTTGCTGAGTAGCAGATGTGCGTACTCTTCCTCCAGCCTTCCTTATGTTTTCTTAAGGATCAGGGCAAGTGGCTGATTTAAATTCAGAATCTTCCTCTTCTTCGGCATCCTCACCCTCTCCGCGCCCCTGTCTACATCTTCCTACCTAGACAACGACATCGCGAGTGCGCGGTTCCTAAACGAGACGGAGAAACGTCAGGCTACGGAGCGCCTGCGTCATAACAGACTGGCTCACGTACTCCTGGTGAATCATTACGAGACCTCGAGGGCAATACCTACTATGATATTCTGAATAAGACTACTTCGATACATTACCTAGTAGGATTGGGCGGGCGCATTCTCGGCGTTGAGGACTTCAGTATCATGTTATTATTAGGGCATACTGCTCTGTGCAACGCTTTCGATTAGAAATAACCCTTGATGACCAGGAAGAATAAGACAAGCTTGAGAGGCTGCCTTGACTTCCAATCACACCCTATCTCCTGTCTACCTAGTACAGCTCCAGCTTCTAGACCTCTCCGATGAGAAACTTGAAATCAGTTGTGTTCGAAAGTGTTTCAACCACGAGGTAGACGTCTAAGGCTAGTAGTGAGCTAGAGGTTAGTAGGTCTCAGGACTCCGTGGTCGTCTTCTTATCCTATTGACCTGTTATTCAAGATCAGACATACCATAAGGTAGGTCAAGTGGACGCGATAATAGACCGGTATTTAAACCATTAATTGATCGCTTTCTCTGACTAGCTAGGCGGCCATTCATGAGGGCCATCATCCACAATAACCTCCTTTCCATTCTCATCCCTTGAAATCTCATGCTTCACAAACCAGCGCGTATCATTGCCATCAAAGAAGCTCCCCCGCCCGTCTTCCTCAATGTACCCTTCAACCTCCATCTTACGTATCGTCTCAAACGACAGGAAAACAAATCTCTCCCAGTAGCCCCCGTACGCGAAGTTCTTCTTATAATAACCCCCCTCCAGCGGGTCCATGAATTCAGGACGTAGACGTGTCCAGATGCCGCGGCCTGTGGGCTCCAAGTTCCACGACAGCGTGCCGTGCCTCTTGTGAAAGGGTTCGATCCAGGGTCCTTCTTTCCAGAGATCATCGATCCCCAGCTCTGCTGCGCGTCTTTCTATGTCTTCTTTGTAAAAGAGGTTGCCGGTTTTTTCGGCCGCCTCCATGAGGGCGACACAGGGGCGGAGGTTGAGACGCTCATATAGACCTTGGTAATTGGCGTATATGCAGGCGATGGCGATCTGAAAGAGCATGGACGGGCATCGTTTAGCGAGACTCTCTAGCGAGTCCTCTGGCGGTTTCAGAGGATACCAGATAAGCCAGGGTAGGCAGGGGGTGTCTTTGGTGAATGTCCCAACCTCACCGATCATGATGCGGCGGGCGTTGATGGCTGCTTGGACCTTGCACTGCTCTTTATCGCCTATCCGGCCTTTGAAAGCGTCTGTATCAAGCTGGTGCTGCCACCACCGAGCAAACATTGTGTGATGGTATATACCACGAACAACGCAAAGCATCTCGACCTCGTCGCTAAAGATATCTTTGCGAGATCGGCGGCTGATAAGTCGGGCACACCGGTCCACATTCCCCTCAAAGGCTGCCATCTGGAATAACATGTTCTTCTTCATCGTTGGTATATCAAGAGGCAGAGGCTCCCAAAGCATCGTCGCCTCCTGCGGGCTGAATTGGTCGTAGCGCGCTATATCCGGCCAGCCAGAGTCAAGACCGATGTACCGATCCTCTTCGATATCGAGTTCTTCGGGGCTAAAATCCTCCGTGGCATCTTCTGAGAGTGCGTAGCGCCACTCGAGCTTCCACCGAACTTGCGTCTCGCCATCTAAATAGGCGGGGTATCGTGGAGTGTCCGGGTTAATCGAGCGTTCGTAATCATCCATCACCGCGTACTTCATCGGCGAAGACATAATCAATGTGTAGATTTGGTCGCCACCTTCTGTATGAGCCTCCCGAGCCTCTTCAGCAATGGAGACATCAGGAAGAAGGTCGAGTTCTCGGTAGAGGTTGATATAGCCAGCAGCAGCACAAGCCCGTCCGACCTGATAGCGCATAGAAGGGAACCGCTGAGCAAGTTGGCGATAAATGTCCTCGCTTGCAAAATCCGGGTTCCAGATACAGTAAGGCTGGGCTTCAGGGACCTCGAGCCCGTCAGGAACCACGTTACTCATAATGAGGCGGGCGTTGCGCGCTCGAACAAATTCAGGAAATCGAGAGGTGGCGCACACGTCTCTGATGCCTTGGCTCATTGCGAAGGTGTAGGAGCAGCGCAGCCCTCGAATGACTGCACATCGTGCAGCAGCAGACGTGAGGTCATCTGGGACGCTCCTCCCCTCGAGGGCGGCGATGCATTGGTCGTAATCGTAGAGGTGCTCGTTCGTCGCGGCAGTGCTTGGCTGAGAGAGCTCTGACTCGGCTTCGCTCTCGCTGTCGGACATATTGCAGCATTCGATGTGGCGGATGGGTGTGCAAGTTTCGGACTGGCCCTGGCTGTGGGTGAAATCTGTTGGCATCCACGTGACTCTGATCCTGCGTCCAGACTCTACCTAAAGAAGGGATGATCGGCATTCGGCCCGCATCGGAAATTAGTGGCGTAGGGCCCGTCGGGAAGAGCCGCCACCTAATACCTATTTTAAGTACTATGTAATATGTATATACAGATTGATGCCAGTCGTAGTTGATGGATCACCGTAGCAAGTGCGCATTGTAAATCCAATCAATGGACTTTTCTCGTCGGCTGTGGCCTGCTCAAAGCCTCAGGTGCTTCGCGAACGGCCGGATCAGTGCGCCTTTAGGTATCCATGGATGACTGGTGGGTCCTGTTGCCTCACGCGGTGGTTTGACAAATTCAATAGCAACTCGAGAGTCGAGTCCCACTACTGGTCCTGGATTTGCAGGGTATGACTGTGCACTAGCTCCACAGTCACAGGCACACTGCCGGTGAGTCATGGAGTTGCCACATCAGGAACTCGTCCGATGAGAGACTATGGTAGAGTCCGGTCAAATTCACAAGCCTCAATAGCAATGATTAGCGTACTGGCGAGTATTACAGTATTGTACCTGTGCCATCCGGTACAGTCCGCTGTAATAGTCACTGAGCATGCGACAGAGATCCCGAAAGCCATTCTTTCATGGATATTGTCTGGCTTGCTACGGCAGAAACTGGGGCGGCTAACGATTGCGGTGCCTCCGATAATCAAATAACAAAATATGGCGAAGCTCTTACAATGAGGTTGAAGAGTCTAAGAGGCCGCTGGGCTCTGGAACAGCCACGGTTGATCCTCATGGAATGTCAAGTTCCAAGGTTGCTCTCACGCTCTACGAGCACGCATCTTTTCAAGAGAAAGGATGATTCAGTTTTGTGCGAGGATGCTACAGAGACTACATCGATAATGCTTTGAGTGTCGCGGGGAATAGAATACTCCAATGGAATTTCAAAAGAGGTGATTGTTAGAAAGGGGAAGGCATAGCTATTAAGGAACAATACCCCTTTCAGAGTGACTTCTAGCAAGGGTTGTTCTCATCAATGGACTTCCACATCTCGATGGTCTGGAAATGCGAAGGGTTGGCGGCATTTGCTTTTGCAAAGGTCCCTGCTGGGTCGCCGAATTCTGTTACCTGTTCAGAGCAGCTCGTTAGCAACAGTATGCAAGCAAGGAGCAAGGGATCAGATCGTCCGTACCCATTTCACGAAATCCTTTTTCGTTTTGATTACCACCTTGCCGCCGGTCGACTTGCTGATTGCTGCCTTGACGTCGTCCTTATGTTCCTCCCAGGTCTTCACAAGGTCGAGGCGCTCATACTCTGGACCGCCAGGGACAGCCGATTTTACATTCTTGTCTGTCTCAACCTTACCGTCCAGACCAAGGTTATTTTTCCCGGTGAAGTAGTTGAGCATAAACCGCTGGCCGTCCTCAATCCGCAGTTTGACAACCCTGTCAGTAACGGTCTTCATGAGCGTGTCCCGTTCCTTGATCTTGGAGTAGTCGTCTGTTGTGCGCCACTTCTTCAGCTGGTCGTCGAGTGCCTTGATGAAGCGCTGATATCGTGCATCCTCTCTGTTTCTAGCCTCCTCTTCCTGCTCTTCCTTGGTCGGTCTCCTGCTTTCCCCCTTGCCGGCCTGTCCTTTCTTTGCCTTGTTCACCTTCCCCCCACCACCGGTCTGGCCGAACTTGTCATTGATCTTTGCGATCTCCATCGTATCGCTTAGGCGGTTATCAACGAGTTCCTCTGCGGCGCGCTCAAGGTCATCTACTCCAGACGGGGCCGTGATGTCCGGGGGTATATGGTTAGGGGAGTCGTTGATGGAAACGCCGCCCACGCGCAGCATAAACTCGTTGTAATGCAGAGGTTCGTTCTCCGTGTAGACATTGGTGGCCTGGATCCAGTGCCTGTTCTTGATTCCGTCGTCCCCTCCTCTAACGTGGTTCATCGGCAAGATCTCCCTTTGCTCAATGAGTTTTCCGCTCTTGTCCTTTGTTTGCATCGCGCTATATTTTGCAGACGTATGTTAGGAACTGCGATACATCCCGTCCTGTTTCGAATGGAGTAATATAGAGTCATATCGGCATCACTTACATGGCCATTTGGTATCTCTCCCATAGCCAGATTCGCTCGTAAGCATGGGCATACATGTTGGCCGTTCTCTTGGTCACGGCGTCGGATTGCAGGGCTAGACACAGCCATAGTAAAAGCAGCGCAGCCAGAGGCACCCGCGCAAGGAGCCCAGGCATCGTATTGCCAAATTGTGCTATATATAACAGAAAAAAGAAACGAAGGGTGTGCTCGACTTAGGGTACGGAGGACAAGGCCCATATTTATTGGTACCAGCTACCAAGTCGCCCTGAAATGCCCTTGTCCAACACATTAAATTAGCTGCGTATTTATCAATACATTTATCTCCGCTCCCAATGTTTCATCCTCCCTCAATGCGCCGATTCTTAGCCCCCCAAAAAGAGAAGGAATCTAAAGTCGGGCGCGGCCATCGCCGAACACACTAGATGGACCTCAATAGTTGTCAAATCTCGCTTACAGCCTCGTAGAGGTAGGTACGCGCAGTAGCCAGTCGGAAGGACGAAGACCCACGAGGCTCTCAACCGGCACTTCCGCCCGGCGCAGATCAGAGCACAGGACATTTTGGCCGAGGCCCATTCGCCTCGGCTTCATCCAATCGAGCGCCCTGGACCCTGGTAACGGGAGATTACTCTAAGACAGTCTTGGGGCCAAAATGGGTCGGACGCAGGTGCATCTCGACACGGTAGAGGCTCCAAACCCCTTGTACATGTGAGCCTCGTCTGCTTGGCCGCTTAGGGTTTGGGCAAGCATCTCCAAGACTTGGGATAGAAGCTTAGGGTCTTGGCTCTTGAACCCACCAGATCCACCGTGAGGGATTTTCTGGCGATCTACATGCGCTAGTCGGGAGTCGGCATATCGGAACACTGTTGTTTTATCTGTGCCTTGCCGTAGGGCGCCTCGAGGCTTTCGGGGCGTCCCTTTGTTGGATTAACGTCTCCATTTTGGGATCTGCTCCGTGCCCTCCAGCTAATCACTCCTGCAGAGAGTTAGTCCAGGGTATTCCTACCGTAGCTTGAACATACGGAGTCCAGACCAACTAGAAGTTATGACTTAAGTCGGGCCGTACAGGCAAACCCTCGCTTAAGGTACAGGATGCACTGCCCTACCACTGGCCCTTGATCATGGTCCGCCTGTTTCAATAGTCTTCTTGCCCGGCCATGGTTCTTCGCGTGGATACCACGATAGGTAGACTACTAGACTCGGATCACGTACAGGGTCAAATGGACTGAACCATGGTCGGGAAAGACTGGCTAACAGATAAGGTGGGCCTTAATTGTACGCGGACCAGAAGTGCTGTAGTCTAGCTGGTTCAAACGGAGATTAACCGAGCTCCAGGAGACCATCCGGTCACACCGAGATAGGTGAAACGCTGGAACATAGTACCTAAACTAGGCAGCATGCCAAAGGGGACAGGAGGCTAGTGTAGGTTGGGTGTACTGTGACCCCGAGTGATTCCGGGCAAGAGCAATTGTATAAATAAAATGGCGAGGTAGAAACAGCTTCCCATCTCACAGACTTGCCCTGTCGTTCGTTCTCTCATTGCTAGGTAGCCTACCTGGCTACGCTCATTCTCTCTTTTATCCATAACTTAGCCAATCTGGCTTTGCCATTCATTTGATCATTATGAAGCCCAATATCATAACATTCTCTTTTTCTTATCTTTCTTTCCTTTCCCTCAATGCCTTCCCTTCTCTTACCCATGCCTCTTCAAACGGCCATCTGGCACCCGTTGCCCCAATGGGTGACCTGAAAACCGAGGACCCTATTGCGTCGCCCCTCGTTCATGGATGCCCTCAGTCCTGCACCGTCCTAGGGGCTGACCCGGCGAACTGGACTCTGATCCACGACATGAACATCCTGGACAGATGCAAAGAACCAACTCTCTTTGCCTTCAACATCCAGAGTGAGCTAAGCGTTGCCACACCCATGGCCTCTTGCTCTTTGCTTGAGGAGTACCCCAAGCGTGCTACGACAAAATCAGCGAAGATGACCTGGGCAAGTGTTGATACAGAAGACATTGATGCTGTTGACCAGCATCTCGAGGACTCTGGAACTTGCGGTGCCACGGTGAAGACCATTGACGCCGTGCTTGAAAGTGGTAACGTGGGAGGCGTCATTCTCGAGTCCAACTCCACCAAGAGTGCCATCGCTGCCGTCGAAAATCTGGCATCCTATATGGCCGATGCCTCATCTTGTGGTACAACCATTCTCTTTTCCAAGTTCGGCGACTCGGTGGCTGCTATGTATGCTGGGGCGGATGTCTTGCAGAGTGGTGTTGGCGACACATTGAAGCAATTCGGGTAAGAGCAGCCATTGATCACCTGTTTTCAGATGCTAACGAATGAGTCAGTATGTTTTTATCATCTTCAGCTTCCTTCTAGCCCGACCTTGCACTTCCCGTCCTCTCCCTTGCTCTATTATTCATTCCCTGTCAAATATCCGACTAATACATGGCCCCCTTTAACTAGCCGACGAGATCATAGATGGGTCCCAAGCTGTTCAGATTTGCGATGCAACCTCGCAACAGGCCCGAACAGTCGGCCTGTTTATCGCTAGTTCAGTCGACAAACTCGGTGACGCGCAACGTGCTCTTCAAACCTGGGCTAGCGGCGAGTGCGTCACCCTTGCCGATTCCAAGTCATCGAAAACCAGCCTAGGCGCCCTAGAGGCCGCGCACAAAAGCAAGCGATCTTCTCTCGCATCTCTCTTTTCCATCCCTCTCGCTCCCCGCGCCGACTGCAGAACCATCCAAGTTGTGTCAGGCGACAGCTGCGGTGCCCTCGCCAGCCGCTGCGGCATATCCGGCGCCGATTTCACCAAGTACAATAGCCAAAAGAACCTGTGCGCCACTCTTAAGCCCAAGCAATATGTTTGCTGCTCGTCAGGCTCATTGCCTGATATGCGGCCCAAGCCTCAAGCTGACGGCACCTGCGCCACCTACACCGTCCAAGACAACGACAACTGCGCTGGTATTGCCGCAGAGTTCAGTCTGACCACCAAAGACATTGAAACCTTTAACAAGGCCACTTGGGGCTGGGCTGGCTGCTCACGTCTGCAAAGGGACCAGGTCATCTGTACGAGCAAAGGAAATACGCCTATGCCGGCCCCAATCAGCAATGCCGCCTGTGGACCGCAGAAGCCTGGGACCAAGAAGCCAACGGGAGACTTTACTGGCTTCGATCTAGCCAAACTGAACCCTTGCCCTCTGAGCGCTTGCTGTTCCGGATGGGGTTTCTGTGGGACGACGGAGGAGTTCTGTACTGAGTCCCCTGCTGATACTGGGGCTCCCGGTGCATTCAAGTCTGGCACGAACGGGTGTATCTCCAACTGCGGGACGGAAATCAAGAACAATGATGAGGCACCAAAGTCCTTTCGCCAAGTTACCTACTACAAAGCATTCAACATGAACGGTGATTGCCTGAACATGGACGTTTGAGAGATTGACAATAATAACCCACCTTTACAACTCTTAGTAATCTAGGGGTACCTTTAAATAAGGGCTCTAAATACTTTAAAACTATTATAAATATATATTTTTACTATCTTAATTTTATTTTTAATTTTTTTTTCCCCCTTTTACTACTCCCCGCGGTATAATAGCTAAAATTAAGACATGTATTTTTAACTAGCCTACAGGCCTTAATTTAACTAACTTTACCTAGCTATAAAATTTTTTATTCCCCTTTAACCTTTATATTATAAAAAAAAAAAAAAAAAAAGGGCCCTAGCAAGCCTATTTTTTTTTTTATTATTAAAAGTAATAGCGTGCTAACTTTTTAACCTAGCCTAGCTATAAAAGCCCTTTATAATTAACTTAATAAGTAGGAATATTAAATATATATTAAGTATAAAATTTTTATAGGCTTTATAACTACTATTAATAGCTTTATAACTAGGTAAAAAACTTAAAATTAAAAAGTCTTTGCTTATAATATTTATAATAAGTTTATATGCTTTATTTTTTTAAAGGGCTACGCTAATATTAATAATATTAATTATATTTTTTTACATGTATATAGCTAGCTTGTTATTATAATAATCTTTAATAAGATTATTACCTAAAAAAAAATAAGTTTAATTTTTAAAAACTTAAGGGCTTAACCTATTTTTTTTAAAGTAAGTTTTTTTACCCTAACTAATACTATTTTAGGCAAGATACCCCTATTAAGCACCTTAGTAACTTAATTAGCGTGTAGTAGCTTTATTATAGCCTTAACCATGTAAAATAACCGCAGGGTACTAATTACTTTTTTTAATAATAAGTTAATAACATGCCTTAAGGTATATACTATTTAGCAAGCCCTTATTAAGTACGTGCTAAAACTAATTATAACCATGGTTATTTTTAAAATTAATACTACCTGCACGGGCTAAGCTATTATTTTTAATAACTTTTTTATTAAAAATTTTTTAGTAATTAAAAAAATAATTAATATAATTTATTATACCCTAGGCGCTATTAATATATATATTTTTTAAAAGTAATATAATTATATAATATAAAAAGTGCCTAGCACTATCCTAGTATATAATAATAATAAAATAAATATTATTAAGCTAATTTAAAATAAAGTTATAGCTTAAATAAAATTAAAGCTAATAAGGCTTACTTTTTTAAAATATAGGCCTAACCTTAATACTAGGCATATTACCTAGGTAATTTTTTTTTTAAAATAGCCTAAAACTTTTATATTATTTAACTAAAGCAAGTACTACTAGCTTATTAAAAAGTATTAACTAGTTTTTTAATATAACCCTAGCTGCTAGGAATATTACCACCCAGCATGCTATAATTATATAATATATTATATATAATATAATATAATAGCTATAAACTACTTAAATTTTATTAACTTAAATTATAAAAACCTTATATATTATATAAACTACCTAGGCCCCTAGCTAGCTAAATATAATAATTATTTAATAGCCCCTAGGCATAAAAATAAAACTTTAATTTATTTATTTAAAAAAAAACTTAATAATATATATTATTATAGCACCTGCTAGTACTAAAACATGCATGCCTAGGCTAATATTAATACCTAGCTTTAAGTAAAAACCGCAAGGTTTTTATCCTAAAAAAATCTTTAAAAGCATATTATAAAAAAGCTAAAGGTAAATAAGCAAGGCTTTATAATAATTACTAATTATTATACCCCGCGGTTTAATACTTTTACTAGTAATTAAAATTTTAGGTAACTTTTTATTAAATTAATTTAACTAGCCCTAGCTAATGCGGGCATACCTTTTTTATTTTAAGTAATAAAAGTTAATATTAAAACCCTTTTTAAGCTTTAATACTAAAGTACTAAAAAAGGCACTACGGTAACTACCACTATAATAATATTTAATAATAATAGGATTTTATTATTTACTAGGTAAATATAAGTAAATTTATACCTAGTTATATTATAATCCTATAACTAGCCTATAAATAAAATTATAATATTACCTATATTTAAAAGCCCTGGACCACCGCAGGTATAAAAACTTAAAATTACTTAATATATAAGTATTACACGCTAGTAAATACTTAAAATAATTATAAAAACTAGCTAAAAAAGCGCCTTAAAATACTTACCTATATTTATAAAAAGGGAGCGCTACGTGTTAAATAATATTATTTAATATAAAGTTAAAACATGCTTTAGCTCATGGTAAATAGTATTAAGGTTTTAAATATATATTAAAAACTAACTACCTATAAAATAGTTAACTACCTAGTTATACTAATCCCTACCTTAAACTATATAATTAATAAAAATTTTAATATTACTTATAATACCTTTAAGCCCGGGGTAAATAACCTATACTATAATAATAAAATTATTAAATAAGCTAGTAATAATAATATTAGCTATATTAATAAGCTAGGTATAACTATATATAAAGCTAGCCATGTTTTTAACCTAATTTTTTTAAATATTTTTTTTACCTGCATGCTAGTAATGCCTAAGTTATATAATAACTTTAATTATTAAACTTTAATTATTATGGTACCAGGGCATGGGAAAAAAATATTAAAATAATACTATTATAGTATACTAAACCATAAGCTTAAGCACCTGGCTAGGCTAGTAAAAAATAAAATAATATATTTTTTTTAGCCTAAAAAACTAAAAAATATAAAAATATTAAATTAATATACTAAATCCCTTAATAATACCATTACGGAAGCTATACAAGTAGTTAGTAAATATCCTAACCTAAAAAGCTATAGCACCCCTTAGTAGTTAACTAAATATATAAAAAATTACCAAGCCTAGGTAATAAACCTTACCCTAAAATAAAAAAAGTAATTTTTAGCTATAATTTATAAAACTAAGCACGCATATTAAATTAAAATAATTAATAATATTAAAAATAATTAAAAACTATATTAAATAATAGCATGGTATAAGTTAAAGCTTAGGCTTAAGACTTCCCTATTATTAGTAAATAATAAAGTAATTAAAAATATGTAAAAAAAGGCTAATATTTTATAAAAGGTTATACTAAAGTATTTTAATATAAATAATAACTTAAACTTTAATTTTCTAGTACTAAAGTACTAGTAAGAAAATAAGTATTTTTACTAGCTAAAAAAAATCTTATTAAAAAAAGTTAAAAAAAATATTATTAATATAAGTAGCACCTCTCCTAGGGCGGACTAGGTAATTATTTATATTTTAAAAACTTGCTAAAAACATGTTAGGCAGGCTATTTATAAGCTATATAATTATTACTTATAGCTAGGGTACTTCCCCTTATTATAAAAGCTTATAAAGGTAGTAATACTTTTAAAAAATAATAAAAAAAATAAATTCTTGCCCTAATTTTAGCACCTTATAATACTACTTTTAATATTAAAAAAAAACTTAAATAAATTATAACATGTTATGTTACTTTTACCACGCTAGTATAAAGGGTACTAAGCTTATAATAATATAATATTTTACCTAAGTAATTAGCTATAAACTTAATAGCCTTTTTTACCTATAATATAAAAATAACACTTTTATAAAACCAGGAGGTTACCATGGTTATTATAAATATTTTAGGTGCTTTTAATACTATGTTATTATAATACTTATTTTAGTAAATAATAAAGCAAGGCTGGCCTCGCGCGCTTTTAGCCTTAATTATAAATTTTTTTAGTAAATAAAGTGTAAAAATATACCTAAAATTTATTATAATTATAATATATCTAGTATACTATAGCATGCTATAAGGCTTACCCCTTTTTTTAATATTATTTTTATTATATATTATTAAATTACTACTAGCAGATTTAATCCTACGCTTTAGTTATATAAATAATTTTTATTTAAGCTATGTAAGTAACTTTTTTTATAATAACTATAAGTACCTAGTAAAAAATATTTATAGCATGCTAGCCTAGAAAAAGTAAAATAAAGTAGCTTTTATATTTAAAAAGCTAAAAATACTATATATTACCTAAAAGTGGTATAGTAAATTACCTTTACTAGTAGTTAATAACTAGCTAATAATTATTTTTATTACCATAGTACTAGGTTAAAAATAGCCTATATTATATTAACTAGGTATTTTTTTTAATAAATAGCTTTTTTAGTATTAATATATTACTAAGTAAGTAGCTAAAGCCCATATAATAGTATAATATATTTATAACCTAGTATATATAGCGCACGGCCTACCTATAAACTTTTTTTATAAAATAATTATTACTTATATTATTTTTAGCTTACTATACAGCACTAAGGCATGGTATAATAATAAAATTAAGCCTAAAAAACACATGTAAAATTTAAAGGTTAGTACCTAATTAAGCTAGTATATTAAAGTAATTAAAAAAACCCTGGCTTTAGCCGCACGCGGCATACTCCTAGTTTTTTATATAATATTTATAATAATTTTTTTTAAAAATACTAAACTCCCCTTTATAATAATAATATTAAAAAAGGCTTAATTATAATTTACCCTAAGGCTTTAGTTAGTAAATAGCTAAAATTTACTAGTAACATAAATAATATTACTAAAGATTTTATAAAAATAAGGCGCTGGCTTATATTAAAGGCCTAAAACTAAAATATAAATTATAGGGGTGCTTTTTTTAAATACCCTAAGGTTAGTCCTAGCTTACCCTTATTACTTTTAAAAATACTTAAAAAATCCTACTAGGGGCAAGGCCAAGAAGCTAGCTATAAAAAAGTTTAAATAATAATAATAAGTGCTACTAATAATAAAAGTAATAATTTTTAGTAATAATTTTAAATAAATATACCAGGGTGTGTATTATATAGGCTATAGTTATATAATATATTATAAATAACTTTTTTAAACACAGGAACTATTAGTTATTAGCACCTAGTTTTATATTTATAATATTAAGGCTATTAGTATGCTCCAGGGACTAAAGGCAGTAATTAAAAAACTTTTTAAAATATTTATTTACTAGCTTTATATAAATAGTACCTTAGTAATTTAATATACATGCAGGTAGCCCTTACTATTTTTTAACTAGGCTTTTTAAGCATTATACTAATTTATAAACTAATATATTATTTACTTGCGGTAATTTCCTAGTTATATAAATATTAAAGGTAACAAGCTAGCTAATAAGCTAATTAATAAAGCAGCCTTTATAAAAATATAGCCCTTAAATACTAACTTTTTAAAAATATAATTTACCGCAAGTAGGATATATAACTTATATAAATAAATATATTAAATTATTTAAGCTAAGTAATAAAAAAATACCTTTATAAAACTATTAACTTAATATAAGTAGTGGCTTATAAAATTAAAGCCCTACTAGGTTAAACTATAACTAAAGCTTACGCTAAAGCACCTAATTTTATACTACTAGCTAGTACTAAAATTATTATATAATAACTTTAGGTAATATTACAAGCACTTTTAGCATAAAAATATAAAAGTTACTTACTTTTATAAAAAAGGTAAAAGCCCTAAATACCTAGTTTTTTACTAGCACTTTTAGTAATACTTTTAATAATAATTATAGTATTTTATAATACTACTAATAATTAAGGCCAAGGTCTTAAAGTATTTTTATAAATTAAAGCCTAAAAACTTTATATTTTTACTAAAAATTATAAACTTTTATAAGTTTATTTACCCTTGCTAGGGCTCCCCGTGCCCTAGCCTTATAAAAACTATTTAACTTAGTATTAAATAATTTTATTTATTTTTACTTTATTATATTCTTTTTTTTTTATTTTACACCTTTTTTTAATATAACTAGCTTTAATTAATATATTTTTTTTATAAATAAGGCTAGCCTTTATATCCTATAATACTTAAATTACTAAGTATATAATAAATAATACCTACTAATAGCTATATATTAAAATAATAAGTAAAAAATAGGCGCCTAGCTTATAAATATTAGTAAAAGTTGCCTTTTAAAATAAAAAGCCTTTTATATATAAACTATTTAAATAAGCTATTTACCTAGCGGCGGCACGCCCCTATACCCCAAGGGAGGTCTGGAACATTAGGCGTACGCCTAGCAATCCCCGGGGCGTTAAATATCACTACTACTACTACTACTACAATAATGACCTGACCCACGTCCATTTCGCCTTTGCGGGCCTGACCAACGACTTTGAAATTACCTTTGACGACGCCTACAAGGATCAATTCGACGCCTTTGCGAAGATGGATGCGTCATGGAAGAAAATCCTTTCGTTTGGTGGATGGGCCGAGTCGACCGACGCAGCAACTTTCCAGCGGTACAAGGACGTGGTCAAGCCGGAGAATCGTGAGACATTTGCGAACAACGTCGTTGATTTTGTCAAAAAGCACAACCTTGACGGCATTGACTTTGACTGGGAGTACCCTGGTGCTACCGATATTCCCGGAGTCCCCGGTGGCCAAGGCGAGACCGACAACTACCTCGGGTTTTTGAAGCTGATGAAGGAGAAGCTGAACGACAAGTCACTGTCCATTGCGCTCCCGGCATCGTACTGGTATCTCAAGCCGTTCCCTGTTGCCAAGATGGCGAATTACCTGGACTACTTTATTTACATGACATATGACCTGCACGGGCAGTGGGGTATGTTGCCTTTTACTTGCTTCTCAGTCACTACCATTCGCTAATATGCTCTAGATTATGGCAATCAATATGCAAGCCCCGGCTGTGCGAATGGAAACTGTCTCCGCTCCCATGTCAACAAGACCGAGACGCACAATGCCCTAGCTATGATAACCAAAGCCGGCGTGCCAGCCAACCAAGTCGTCGTAGGCGTCTCAAGCTACGGCCGTAGCTTTGGCATGTCTGACTCCAGCTGTGCCGGGCCAATGTGCACATTCACCGGCGACTTCAGCACGTCCACGGCCCAGCCTGGCGACTGCACCAACACCGGCGGATACATTTCCAACGCGGAGCTTCTCCTTCTCAGCGACAACGCAATCCTAGGCTATGATGGGTATCACGCGAAATCATGGCACGACGACGATAGCGACTCTGATATCATGGTGTACGGCAAGAACGAAGAGCCGCATAGCTGGGTGGCTTATATGAGCGAGGACACGAAAGCCGGCCGCGTCGACTGGGTCAAGGGGCTCAATTTCGGCGGCGTCTCGGACTGGGCGATTGACCTGGGAGACTGGTATAATGGCGTTGATCCGGACGACGATGATTCGAGCTCTTTGTTGGCTGGTGGTAGGACGTACGATGGTTGTCCATCGGATGACTGGCCTGATACTTTGGACGAACTGAATGATAATCTCGACAAGATTGCCGTCGAATGCCAGGCTCAGGCGGTGGTCCATGTTCTTCTCTTGCATGTCAACGATGCAGTCTCTGACTATGAGGAGGTTTCTTCCGGTGATTATGACGAAAAGGTACCACATCCTGAGTTTGGCTCGAGGTAACACCGTGGCTAACAAGAGTCAGTTCAAATACTACGCCAAGTGGATTCGAGACGGCATCAACGACTCCCTCGACAAGTTCATGTACCAGAACGGCTCCAAATACATGGACTGCGAGTGGAAGGGCACCGGCGAAGACGGCTCCGGACCCTGCACAGAAATGAAGCGCGGATCCGACAAGGGAACCCAGTACGTGACCTGGAAGATGCGCGACGAGGACGGCTTCTACAAGGCCCTGAACAACGACTACGGCATCCAGGAAGACTGGCTTGACTGGAAGGAAACCTACGAGCAGAGACAGCCCTGCACTTGCCCGGACATCAAGCATCCCAATTGCCAGATGTGCCGCGACCGATACACGGAGGTCTACTACAACTGGCCCCGCCGCAAGGACAACGACGACGACATCGACGTGCCGAACCCAAAGACTGTTGTCGACGGCGCCATCCCAAACATCACCTCCCTCTCGAGCACAATGCTGTCCAGCTACTTCGACATGCGCACGTTCTCCCTCGACGCAGACTACGGCGACGTCGCAACATCCTTCAGCATGCCCGTCTTCATGATGCAGGACGCAACGGAGCAGATGAAAACGATCAAGAAGATCGGCGCCGAGGTCGAAGCAGCCGAGAAGAAGCAGCTCATTATGGGGATCCTCACCATCGTGTTCATGGTCATCCCGTTTGCCGGCGAGGCCACCGCTGCGATAGGCGGTGCGGCTGCCATTGCGCGCATGGCGCTGGTTGTCGGCGAGGCAGGGAACGCGGCACTCACGATCGCGGATATAGTTGAGGACCCGTCTTCTGCGCCGTTTGCCATTGCGGGCTTGCTGCTTGGTGCTGGGGCCGCGGGACGGCCGACCAGGAGGGTTTTCAGGGAGGCTGCGGATGCGCGGCGGGCGCTGTCGGCTGAGAAGCTGAGCATGTTTAGTGATGCGTTTCGCCATAAGGATACTATTGTGCAGAATATTGTTAAGAGGTGCGCTGCTTAGCTGGGGTCTTGCATTTATTTCGTCGGGATCAGGGCATCCAATAGTGTTCTGCACTGTCAATGAAGAAGGAGATGGATCCGTTCCCGAGGCCATGTTGTCTAGATTGAATATCTGGCAGTTGTAACAGATACCTACCAGTCCAGCCCTTCGCCTTCAAGCCAGAACCAAAATCCAGACAGCTCTCTAGTTACCCCGGGCGACATTCATTGGATTCCCTGTAGCAGAAGGTAGTGATAAGCCGATGAGCAACCCCCCGCAACCCCTCTTGCTCCTCTCCCTTTTCCACTCCCTGGAATTCAAGCTGCAGCTCACTTCTGCCGCAAAAGCCGACTCCAAGATCCAATCCTCCCACAGAAGAACATAACACCACAGGGACCGGCAACAGAATAGCCGAAAGACGCCCCAGCAACATCATAGTCCAGCCAACAGCGAGATGACGATACATGGGCTGCGCAAACATCGGGAACGCAGCGCTCATCAACGATCAGATGAAGACGTTCCCGCGATGGCAGAGTTACTGAGGTCACTCCCGCCGTCTCCTGCGATTGTCCGAGTCCATGAGCGCGAGGGATGGAAGGAGCAAGGAATGCCGTCGTTTGTCTATCTAAATCCGATGTCTTTCTGCCTACCTAGGTACATCCCCGACGCCATACATACACCGCAGCATCCCAACCGCCCGCCGAACCCCATGAAAACCTAAAACGGAATCCCCCCAATCTCCTCCTTCGCCCAATACCTCCGCATATTCTCCGCGCCCAGCGTCCTCACCTCCTGATCCAAATGCGTCCACAGCACATCCTTCCACGTCTCCATCTTCCCCCTCAGCACATCCATCTGCAGATCCTCCTCCCCACTCAGACACCTCTCCAAATACTCCCTGAACCCATCCAGCCCGGCATGGATCAGCTTATGCTGGCGCAGCAGCTCGGCGTTGTTCTTGCCCCTGCCGACGCGGAACTCGGGCATCTTGCGCGCGAGATGCGGGAAGATGTGCTGCTCCTCGATGGCGTGGTGCGTTTCTAGATGCGACGCGAAGCGCAGGCCCTCTGCGATGAATTGCCGGATCGACATGCCTTGGGGGCGGCGCCCGCTTGTGGCGGCGGTCCATTGGATGTCCCATGAGTGGCGGAGCATGGTGTGCTGGACGTTGTTAGACTGGCTTTTGTAGGAGGGGTGAACGTACAAAGTATTCCATCTTGTCGGCGAGTTGGTTGTAGATGCGGAAGTCTGTGGCGGACAGTGGAGGCAACTCCGGTTGTTGGGGGTTGGGGACGCTCATTGTGAATGGGCGGCGGATGGTAGAAGGTATAGAAGGTATAGACCTGGTGGTGCGTGGGATATGGCGCCAGAGGATATTCATATAGTGGAATAAGGGACTGGGGACGTTTTATCTGGGGATGTTGATGAAAACGAGGGTCTTTTATGGGGACAAATCAGACGGCCTGCATTTGATTTTGCTCAAATTCTGAATTAGTCATGGTGAGTCAGCGGTTGTGGGGCACATAAGTGCTGTCCCCTCCGAAATATATATTTCTGTCGCTGGTTAAATCCCCCTTCACCCACTTAACGGTTGGATAGGAGAATCCTAAGATCCAGAGCACTACAATGTCCCTACTGAGGGAATAATTCATGGCGTCGCAAGTCCGTCGTTGCCAAACAGTCCTAACGAGATTCTAGTACTGATATCACCATTGCTCTCCATCATAACCTGACTCTGCCTGGACTTCACTTGCAGATTATACCAAGCTGGCCAGGCCGAGACTGCGCCCGTCATATAAATTCTGCCGAATCGACTGCTTCCACTCAAGACGGGTACAGGTACTGGTGATACTGATCACTTTATCTAAAGCCATCGCCATGACCGCTCTCTTGCTTATGGCAATATAATGTTCCTTTGGACATACGCGTTGTTTGTAGAATCTGAATTCAAAATATTGCAGCTATCCGCTTCGCAAAGAGGGCGATGATAAGTTGGTGTAAGGTGGTAACTCCAAGAGTTTGGTATGTCTTGATTTGGGCATCTAGGCACCCAGACATCTCGCCTTTTCTTAAAATGTTTGGCTTGTTCTTATGGGAGTTGGACTTGTCTTGCTGTTTTGTCCAGGCTGGCTCCTTCCCCGGTTGCCGATCAATGCAGCTGCCACAACAATCCACCTGCAGAGGCATCCGCACACTCCTTCCGGCAAAGCCCCCGTGCCTTCCTTAATCTTCAGCACTCTCGACATCTCGCATCTCAACCTCTCGACTCCGTCTCTTTCCGTTCCCTTAAGGGCCCTCAGCTTTATCCCAAGCCAGCTACGTTCTCCACACGAACACATCCACCCGTCCACACGAAACCCCAACAATGTCGGAGGCCCTTTCCCTATCCAACGCCCTCCCCCTCGCCCTCCTAACCGCATCAACGCTCATCCTCCTCCGCCCGGTGCTCAAACCCTTCTTCCCGGAACTCCCCGAATCCCGCGAGCAGAAACACGACGGACTCGTGGCCAAGATCACGGAGCTCAAAGACGCGGTCCATAACCTCCGCACGCAGGTCGAGACTGCTACCAGGACGTTCCAGAGAGACCGGGATGAGTGCGAGCGCTTGATGCGTGAGAATGAGGCGCTTCGTGGTGAGCTGCAGAGGTGCAGGGAGGAGATGAGGAAGTCTGGGGAACAGCTGGGGCGTGCGAGGGAGGTTGTGGGGACGGGGTTTGATGGGCAGGTTGATGGGCGGGTTGATGGGGTTGATGGGGTTGATGGGGTTTATGGGCTTGATGGGCGGGTTGATGGGCGGGTTGATGGGCAGGCTGATGGACAGGTAGATGGACAGGTGGATGGACAGGTCGATGAGCCGGTGCAGGTGGCTGAGCAGTGAGGGCAGAGCGGGCTAGGCACACTGGCAATGAAGATGTCCATGGATGCAAGCTGGAGTTTAATGGTCGATGAGACTAAAGCCATGAATGTGGATTCTGATGGGCGCCGGCTGCAAGTGGAAATCCAAAATTAAATTACTACTCAGCGCCCTGATTCCGCTTGATAACTGTCATAACCTCTGCAAAGGCCCTCTCGTCTTCTCCGCTCAGAAAACGTCTATAGACCATCTCCCAACCCACGCGTCGGAACCCGTACTTGTCATCCAGAGACCCATAAACGTAAACTCGTGCCTCAGGATCCCTATTCATTTTGGCCAGCGCTTGCTCAACCCATGGCTCACCGCGCCACTCCTCCCTAAATTCCAGCGCCCCCTCATCCCCAGGTCCATAAAGCACACGAAACTCCTTCAAACGCGACGGAGAGGCGGCCACAATCGCAGTAAACAGATCGGCCCAGCTCATGGACGGCCCAACCCCCGCATGACACGCACGCAGGGTAACCGACTCCAGGGTCTCTTTATGCCTAATACAAAACTCACTCAGTTCCTCGCAAACAACGACATTGCCAAGCTCCAATCTCCGCAATCTCGGCATACTCGCTTGAAACACCCCAATGTCGAATCGATACCTATCGTGCCAAGCACCCAGGATCCCGGTCTCGCGGGGATCGAACGAGAAAGATTCAGCAGAGGCCAGATGGTCGAAGAACCAGAATGGTAGGTTCTCTGTGAAACCAGCGTAGATTTCTTGCGTGTTGATGTGCCACCCGGCGCCGTTGTCGAGGTGTGGGAGGGAGAGGGCGAAGGAGTTGAGTTGGGAGAGGAAGGATTGGAAGGAGGGGGTGGAGAAGGCTGAGATTGTCACGAGGGGGAGGTTTGAGAGTGAGAATGCCAGTTTGCGAAAGTTAGAGCGGGAGGTAGGGCTGGGATGGGGCTGGTCTGTTTTCGTGTCGTGGTTCGATGCAAGGGCGCGGTAGCTGGATGCCATTACACCGCGCCAGGGCGTGACTTTTTCTTCGTCGCCTGCTTCGTCGGGGTCATCGACGAAGGCGTCGTTAGCGGATTCCCAGATTTCGTCCCAGATGAGGGCGTTTGTGGGGTCTTGGGGGAATATCATGCTTGATTTCTTGAGGTTAGGAAAATGTGCTAGGTTTGAGAGCATGTGGTCTAGGGCTGGCGGGTAGAGGGTTTCGAATGTCTCGTCTTCTGAGATTAGTCTGGGTCTGCAACGTGGATGAGTGACGCACCTGGTGCACAGGTTATGGTGTACCGTAGCTCCTTGACGTGTCTTGCTACACTTCCCTGCGAAACTGCGAGTACAGACGAGGCGCTTTTGTTGTTGTTGTGCAGGTCAAGGGTGCGGAAGAGGCGTGGGGCGAGGATGTTTCGGAGGCCTTTGCTTGCGCTGCTTAGGGCAAGGAGGTCGTTGAAGTGCGGATGTCGTCCATGGCTCTTTTCAGGTGTTTGTGCGGGTGTAGGTGCATGCTCGTTTAGGATGGCAATGACGAGGTACCAGACGTCGTCGACCAGGGCTGCGGAATACATTCTTGATAGTATAGTTGTGTAGTTGAGAATTGTTTGGGTGTATGAAAGGACTTGTAGGTGGAATAAATGCAGGCAGCATCACGTGAAGACTGCAGCCTGGCGTTTGCCCTAGCCTGCACCTGCACATGCACCCACCTGCAGATTCCCCGGTTGTTCGGGATTGTAGAGTGGATCACTCCATGCAGGTGGGACAAATGACTGTCTCACGTGACAGCGTCGAAGCCCTACATGGCCCCGGGACCAGGGACCTGGTTGCTCTCTCTAGCAGCTCAAAGGGTAGATTTCAGAAGGCAATGGCTATTTCCAGGCTTAAAAACGCTTATCCTAGCCGATGTCTATCTGCTATATCTACATCTAGGAAACCTTTGCCGTAATGGGAAAACATCACTCCAGATACAGCTGGTTACACATTATCCACTCAACAGGCTCGTCTTGACGAGCGACGGGGTGAGGAGTATAGGCATGGTATGGGATTGGTTGTTGTATCACATGAAGCGCTTGCCTGGGGAAAGATCTGCCATCCATACCACCGCACTTGCAAAACCTCCTAGAACCCCAATCCACCACCGTGCAGGCGCTGGGGGGGGGTTTGTGATACCGTATCAGCACGCCCACATTCGTATTCGCCGGCTGATATATATCAAAACTTAATATAGTTAAAAAGTCATATTAAATAAGATTTAAATTATTAAATTTAATATATGTTAAATAATAACACAAATTATTATATAATAATTTATATTTATAATAATATATATTAATAAGAAAATATATTAGTAAGCCTAATATATATTATTATATAATAATAAATATTAAAAAACTTGATATTTTATAAAATTTAAAAATAATAATAAAATATTTTATAAGTCACGTGATTCCCCTAATATATATTTTATTATTATATTTATTACTAGTTTTAATTTAAGATATAATATTAACTAGTGATATAATATTTATTATTATTTATTTAATTTAATAATAAGTCACGTGTTTAAACTAATAAATAAATTAATTATTTTAACTTATAAAGGGATTAAACCCCTAGCTTATTTAAATTATATAGTGAACTATACCACTAGACTATATAGGTCTATTATTACTAAATATAGTGAAAAGCTCAGGTTAAATAAGAAGAAAAATAAAAAAAAATAACTTTTATTAACTAAAAATAGTTTTTAAAACCTCTTAGGCTTTCCTAAACAGGCTAGTTTTTAAAACTAGGTATGACTAATTTTTATCTATATAAAATAAATTAAATAAATTAAATAAATTAAATAAATTAAATAAATTAAATAAATTAAATAAATTAAATAAATTAAATAAATTAAATAAATTTAATAAAATATACCTATCATAGAAATTATAGAAATTATATAAAACCTTTATTCTTATATTAAGCATATATAGTAATATAGAAAATATAATAAAATAAAATAAATAAGGCCTTAAAAAAATAAAACTTAATGATAAAATTTTATAAAATATTACTAACTTTTTTTAATAAAATAATTATAATTTATAAAGTTTTATAATAAATTTAATATTAAAAAACTTAGCTATAAATTATAATTATTTTTTATATTTTACCTTTTTAAATTATATTATATTTTAGTTATATAAATATAAGTTCTTTTAAAAAGAATTTACTTATTAATCTATAAGTAATAACTAACTTATAATTTAATTATTTATTTTATTTAACTTTAATTTTATTAATAAATATATATAATATTTATATTTAAGCTATTTTTTAATAAAAGCTAGCTAAATTTAAAGTTAATTAAAGTAAAAAATAAAATAAAATAATTAATTAAATTATATACTAAAATTAGCCCTATAATTATTTTAATTATTTTAAAATTAATATTTTTATTTAATATTCTTATTTAATATTTTTTATTAATAAATATAATATATAAAAAGTTATTTATTTAATAAAATAATATAAAGATTATATTATTATTTAGGTATTTTAAAGTAAACCAAGATAAAAACTTTTAAATTTTTTAAATTTTTTAATCTGTTTCAATAAAGTATACTTAAAAGATATAAAGTATTAAAAATAATATATAATTAATTTATATAAGGTAAAATAAAATTATAATATAAAATTATTAAAGATTATTTAGGGTAATATTTAATTATAAAAATCAAAAAAAAATATTATAAGTTTTATTATAATTAAATAAAATATAAAAATAGTTATATAATAAACTTTAATTATATATTTTATTTATTTATTTTAATATTTAATATTTAATCTATTATACTCTTTAAGTTTTTTAAAAAATAATATTAAAAATATATTATCATATATAAATATCTTGTTAAGAAAACAGCTAATTATATTATTAGATTTAAGTTAATTAAGCTTTATACTAAAGGCTGTTTCTAATAATTTAAAATATATTATTTTATTATTTTATTATTTTATTATTTTATTATTTTATTATTTTATTATTTTATTATTTTATTATTTTATTATTTTATTATTTTATTANTTTTATTATTTTATTATTTTATTATTTTATTATTTTATTATTTTATTATTTTATTATTTTATTATTTTATTATTTTATTATTTTATTATTTTAAGGACTTATATTAAATAAAAAACCTATTATTATAATTTTTTCTTAGTTTTTTTTCATACTTTTATTATTTAATTATTTAATTATTTATATTAAGCTTATTATTATATTCTACCTTAATACTATATTAGTTTTAATATTAATATAGTAAATACATATATATATATATATATTAGCATTAATATACTATTAATATAGTATTTAATACCCCTTTTAGCTTATAAATATTAAGTTTAAATTAAAAAGTATAATATATATTAAATGGCCGAATTTATATCAGACCTATATAATATATATCCAGATTAAATAATATATATTCTATTAAGTATATGTATACTTTTTAGGAAAGATATATATTAGTTATAAATATATATTAAAAATTTAATATATATTCTTTAATATAGGTTAAATTATATTATATATTATTAAATAAAAAATATATATTTAGAAGTAAAATATTTTAATTTAGATATACTATTAGTACTATAATTTATTTTAATATAATATTATAATAATATTTATAGCTAATATAATATTAGGGCTATACCAGCACTATACTAAAAACACCCCATCCGCCGGCATGGCATGACAACCAAGCAAGAGAAACCCCTAATAATGGCCGCCCCAGACAAAGACAACGGCATCTCCCGCGGCGCAATCACAAACCTGGGCTACGAAGCCGTCCTGCACGCGCTGCTCAGCCCAACCCTAATCTATCATTCCCTCGCCATCGCCGCGCCCCCTTCGCCATCAACACAGCCCTCGTAAACGCCAGTAGGAGCGGAGAGGCAGCTGTCTCATACATCACGTGTGGATATCTAGCTATCTATCCTGGCGATCTGCGTGTTCGTACATGGATGGCTGCACGTCATCAATACGCTCTGCGCGGCTTGGATGGCGCTGGTCCTCCTCGTCTTCCTAATCGCCCTCCTTGTCACAGCAGACGCGGCCTCCACAACGAGCAGTACGCCTTCGCCTCCTGACATTTCCATCTCGGGCTAGGGCACACTCTCCTTCATCGGCCTCCCCGCCTTATACACATTCTTCACGGTGGGAATGCTCTCCTCCACGGCCGAGGGAACGTCTGAGCCCGCGATTGCCGTGCCGCGAGCTATAAGTCTCGCTGTCCCAATACTCGGACTAGCAGGCCTTTTTATACTACCTATCTGCTCCACGCTCTCCCCGCTGCACACTCTTATTAAATCATCCTACGGCCAGCCCCTCCCGTCCTGTTTCGGGCTGTCATGGGCTCGAATGAAGGCGGACTAGGTCTGGTAATTCTCATCCTGGTATTGACGATCTTTCGCAATAATAGCGTCACCGCCGCCAGGCGCTGTACCTGGTCCTTTGCGCGCGATAGAGCTCCCGCTAAGCTGGGTGTGGGAACGTCAAGCCGTCCAAGGTCCCGCTGCACGCGCTGCTCCTTGTACCGGTTATGCAGGCGCTGCTGGGTCTGATTAACCTGGGCACGTCGGCGCTTACGGCGTTAGTGTGGGTTGGAGTTATGCGTGTGAGTAGTAGCCATCTATTTCCGGTGGTTGTTGGTCTTGTATATGGACGAGCGGAGGTTAATGGGGCACGTGGAATATGGTTAATGGTGTTGGTGGCCGGGATACTCTCTCAGTTGTGCTGTTGAACTAGGTAGTATGCCTGTGTCTATGCCGACGTCAAGAGAGGGGATGAATTATGCGAGGAGATGTAAGTTTCCTTTTCTCAATGATTCACGTCTTGAACGTCTAACTAGCGGGTAGAGCATACAAGGGGCCGTCAGATTTGGATTGATTAGGGCGTAGGGTGCGTCCGCGGCATTCAAGATAAAGGACTAAGTCCTTTTTTTATTTTGACTAGCTATATACTCATGCCATTACGCTCAGTCTATATCTTATGCTAGCCTGTTGTAAAGGTGTAAGCTATACACCTGTTATGTTTGAAGGTTTAAAGTGAGTCGTGTGTAGATCAATAAAATTAAATACACTGCCGTTGGATAAAATTCTCTTTAGCCGTCTGCGAGAGTAAAAGAATAATAAAGATGGTGAATTCTTATTCAATCCGTAAGTTCACTACCAGATCGCTCTGTATTATCCAGTCGGAGAATCCGTCTTTTTTCAATATCAACATGCGGCTTGTATACCGCCCGGACTAAAAAAGGCATTGCCAATTTTCTTAAGCAAGGCATAGAGTTCTTGCACATTGAGTTCGCGAACGGAGCTGGAGACAGGTTTGTAAAGTGTTCTCTCTGGCGCAAGGGTCCCATTACTGGTTTTGGTCGTCTTGTGCAGATTGTACCTGCAGCTGTGAAGGCGTGCGGTTGGTTCCTGCGTACCCGTCAACAACCATTATCATCTCCAATTACAAGCAAGTTGGAAAGAAGGGTTGGCATACCAATTGTTCCACGTCCCCCATCTCAAA